CCCTTCCTTCTAGACCTTCTGCAATGGTGGTATGAGCATGTCTGCTGTTGTCCCTGCATCTGTTCTCAGTGCTTCTGGAGGGATTCCATCTGGTCCTGCTGCTTTCCCACATTTCAGTAGCTTTATGGCGCTCAGGAATTCGACTTTCGTCGAATGATTTGTGTTCACTTGTAGTTCTGCGGCTGCAGGCGGTGGTCGATTCAAGAGTTTTTTGAAGTGGTCAGCCCACCGTTCCCCTAGTTTCTCTTCTTCTGTAATTATATTTCCGTCATCATCTTTTATTGGTTTCATCTGTGTTGATCTCTTCCTTTCCAAATAGTACCCTAGTTATTTGATACAATGTTATCAGGTCTCTCTTACCTGCAGCCTGTTCTGCTTCACTTGCCAGTGTGTCATAGAAGTGTCTTTTGTCTTTCCGCGCACTCTTCTTCACTTCTTTGTCCAGTGTTTTATACATTGTACTCAGATCCTCTTCTCGTTGTGCATCCTTGCACTGGTTTATCTTCTGCTTCACCATCCTCCTCTCCCTCCTCTATCAGCTCCCATGTGTCCGTCGAGATCCATTCCACTCTTTGTCTTCTTTTTTCTTTCTTCCTAATACGGCTGTGCAGGTTTCTTTCCACATAGCTTTCAAAGACTTCCAGTGTTCATCCACACAGGTTTCTTCAGGGATGTTCCTCGATATTTCCCATTTTGTCTTGATGGCTGCCATGAAGATTTTCCCTGCAGTTTCATCCTCCAATTTCTGGGTGTTGAACTTGAACTGTGGTCTATCACCAACTTCCTTGAAGGCTTTTAACTTGATTTGGAAGGTAGGTTCCTTCCACTAGACAGTGAGTGGTCTGAACCTACATCTGCCCCTCTTCTTGACCTTGTGTCAAGTAGGCTGAGTCTCCGCTTTCTTGAGATTGAGATAAAGTCGATCTGATTTTTAGTGTGTCCTGGTGTCTGGTGAAATCCATGTCGCTTTGTGGATATCCTTTTGTTTGAACACACTGCCTCCAATCACCAAATCGTTGAATGCACAGAATTCTGCAAACAATTCTCCATTCTCGTTCATTTCACCTAGCGCTTCTCGACCCATGGTTAGTTCTCTTCCAGTAAGGTCCGCTCCCAGTTTGGCATTCATGTCACCCCATCCATTAGAATTTTGATATCGCCAACTGACGTCTTGTCCAGTGTTGATTGCAGTTGTCTGTAGAATTCCTCCTCCTTCTCTTCATCTGCATTATTTGTAGGTGCGTAGTGTAGCATTGTATGATTGTGACTTTCCTTCCTCTTAAGTGGAATCTTGCTGTCATGATCCTGCAGGAGATTGGTTCCCACTGCATGAGAGAGAGCCTTTGATGCTCTTGGAGACATCATGGTAACCACTCCCTCAGTGTGCTCGTGGTTGTCGTGTCGTGTGGGTGACAATATCGGAGTAGATTATTGACTCTCCAGTTTACAGTTTGGAGAGTCCACTTCCATTCCACCTGCTTTCGCAGATTCCTAGCACTTCAATGCTATACCTTCTCATCTCCTTTGCAATTCGGGCAGCCTTGCTAGGTTCAAACATAGTGCGGACATTCCATGTCCCCATGCTTACTTTCGCTTTCGTCGGCCAATTGACTTCCCGAAGGCTTTCACCAACCGGCGTCATTTCGTTTCTCCGATTCCAGCGAGAAAGATGATCTTTTGAATACCTTCAATAATGTTCACCGGGTTATGAAGTTCACCTGCGAGGAAGAACAAGGAAATAGTATTCCTTTCTCAGATGTCCTCCTCACCAGGAAAACGTATGGGTATATTAAAAGGAATATTTTCCGAAAGAACACATGGACTGGTCAGTGCATAGACTTCCACAGCTTCACACTGATTCAAAATTACCTTATTCTTCCATCGTTCTTGGTTTGATGACATAACTAAACCACAAAGAAAACTTGTTGAAATGCACATGGTTTGGAAATCGCTTTTAAAAGAAACTAGACGAATCTGAATCCCACTGCTAGCCGTCATCCAACATTATTGTCAAGATATAGGCAATATCGAGGCATCCGCGCAGGAGCCCATATGCAAATCGGAACCGATCAATTCGGTCCAATCAACGATGGGATAATACAAGCAACATCATTTAGTTAATGCAACCAAAGTTCCTCGATCCCTGTCCTTTAAAATTGCCTACACCAGCCCATTAGACCCCGTCGCTATTTCTCCTTCCCGGTTACTTGCAGCCGTCCTAACTTCAGCAAGAGCTGGAAGGCCCATCTCAATGTCCAATAGGATAGCGGGTAATAGAATAGTAGATGCGGATCAGTTAGACTATTCCTCCAAGTGTTCTGTCTATCGGTCCAGTCATCTGTCCTGTGGATGGATAGCAGGTTTATCATTCTTCGCTACAGTTTTATTGCCCATTAGCACTCCCTCCAGTTTATTTGATCCATATGAATAACTGTCTACTCTTACTCATCATTGTGATATTTTTCGCCTCTTCAGCCTTCACTACCCACTACTGATCGCAGTCATTGCACAGGCTTCTCGTAAGCCTATATTTGACTTGTTTCCCGTCCTCATTGTGCTCGAAGTTTCCAGAAACGTGTTTGTGTGCATCCATTAATTCCGAAAAAACCACTAAGACTTGTAAACTCGCTAATCTTCTGAGAACCACGTACGGTCGTTAATGCCATTTTTACAGCAAACTGCAGATGGTGTCAAGATTCTTCCGAGTGGGCGATTTTGATCTGATAATTGTCTAGTCACTTCTTCATTAAAATTCGCTTTGATATTCTCTTCATCGAAACTATTTCAGACTTCCCTTGTTGCTGTAGTTTTTTCACGTCCACTTACATACAGACACATGCATGGTCACTGTTCACTTATGTACTCCGGGAGCAGAAACAATATTCCACTGACCCTCTGATAGCAATATCGTCCATCTGTGTCCACAACCGAGTTGAAGTTGGTTAGTGCCACGTTAGACAATGTCTCTCTTTATGTCTGAATTTCATGCTAGCCAGAAATAAGTAGTTGTTTGAGCATATTTGTAGCAGGCGATCACCGTTATCTTTTCGTTCGGTTGGAATTCCGAAAGTGAAATCTAAGTGTCTTTCTGCTTGTCATAGTCTACCTGTTTGTGAACTAGAATCCCTTGCAATGACAACCAAATCTGAACGTTTGGTTTTCAGTAAGAGATAAAACACATTTCGATGGAGCTCATTTTTCACTTCATCCAAAATGCAGTCAGTTGGTGTGCATGAAGAATTTACAAAGAAACAACGGCTGGTTTCATTATTGTTTTCAATTTTCACTGCACCATTTCGTGGGACAAAGATCAGGCGACTGTCAACTGGGATGCAGTTGAGTGGTGCACTTTCTGCCTTAGCACTTAGTGTTATGCTTACACATGAAAGACTATGAGAACTAACCACTGAAACTCCAGAAACTCGAAAGGTGAATACTGAAGTTTCGCTGTACTGGCTTGGTGAGACGAAGTGAATAAATGCACAGCAGATGTCCATGGTTTCACTTAGGGAATTTAGTTTTCGTATACAACGTAAGGGTAACTACATTGAAAGCTATGATACATAGTTTGCAGTGTTCTCCGGAAGTCAGGGATGCTACTTCGTAAACTTGAATTGTTATTCAGGAATGCAGAGTTGAGAGGCATTAAAGAGTATTCATCGGAAGATGTGAGGAAAAGTTAGAAGGGTAAGATGTGGAAGGTTAACAGTGATCTGAAGAAATCTGAGTGTTGATAGAGTTGTGAGGTTGGTTGACACTTTCCGACTGTCTATACCATAGAAGGTTACATTTTCCTGATGGGTCCGAAAGAAATTTAATTAGTAATGGTCGATCGTGGCCGCAGAGCCCGTGGTTTAACTCTGGTCGACTTGCATCCAGCTGGAAAACCCAAAACCTCTGAGGCACACCGTACTGCCAACACACCCTTATCCACTCAATAGTATGACTTTACCATCGAACACCATCATCTTACCACCATCTAACTGACATTTCTGGTATAGTGGAACCTCAAAGAAACAAGTGCTCCTAATCAACATAGCTGATGAATACTACTTTAGTCACCTTTGACACAAATTAATAAACGCTTAAAAGAGCTTCTCCTTCGATGTAGCTTCAATGTTTACTTCCGATTTGATGATGAAATCTACAAACAGATGATGTGGCAATCGGTTCTTCACTAGTAAACCTCTTAGCTGACTGCTATGTGCCAAGCGTAGAATACACCAACTTACCAACAAAAATCGATAAGTTCTATATCTACAAAGGATATACTGATGATTACTTCATAGTTTGTTATGAAAATATGAATCTTGCAAACCTGCTTTTATACCTTCAACAATGCCTACTTCTCAATCAAATTTATTCTCGAATCAGAATATCAAACTGAACGTTTCATTCTCTTGATGGTCAATTCCAAAGAAAAGATGATAATTCATTTCATAGATCAATTTACAAAATGTCTAAGTGGAAAGGATAGTTTATTTATTTTTAAAGTTCAGTCCCTTTAAGTAGAAAGAGAAATTTTATTCATTCCCTTTCCTCGTGGACTTTTTAACGAAGTCTAGTAGAAAATGGTTCGCCACTTAGACTCATAAATAAGAACTTAATACTAAGGAACATAATTGAACGAACACATTAGAGTCGAAAAAGATCCTTTTACTATATCTTGAATCCAATAATAACATTGATATAGATATCTTCAAAAAAACGACTATCAACATCCTTATTAAGAGCATACTTCACTGCCAACCTTCAAATCATTTCCTTCTACAAGAAATATTTTGTTCAACCTGACACATTAAGCCATATAAATCAAAGTATACCAAATTACTTGTTCATGAGGAGCTGAGTACAGTACTATATGCGTGCTTATAAAATACACTGCCTGGTTGCTAGTAAAGGGAATAATAGAAGTACATCTTCAACTCAATAATAGAAGAAATAAATAAATATACGCTATAAATAAAAAAATAAAAGATAAGGGTGATTGATTTCCTTACTTGAGTTTGATAGACCAACCATTTAGATTCTGAAAATGAAATTCGTTCAAATGTTTTATCTTGATCTGATAACTCAATAACTGTATTTAAGCGTGTTTCATGATTTATAGTGTTTACTTCCAATCCAACAGTGTTATTCAATTGACTTTGATAAGAAGTAATATTAGTATCACATGAATGATCAACATTAAGATGTTGTTGAACAAGAACACCCGAGGCTAATTCACCTAAAAGTTGTATAAAATCTTCATCGATTTGATTAGGTTTCCAATCACTTTTAGCCCAACTGTAGGTAGATTTCACAGAAGTTTGAATTGTCTTCCAAGTGGTTAACTAGGCGGTTAAAGATTCCAAATAGGAAAGAAATGGAGATATTATACAATATTTTAACTGAAGTACTTTCTAGAGGCCCTCAAATGGTAATCCACAGGGGTAAATTAAAGCGATAATGTTAAACATCTATTTATATAATTAAAGAATTTGAGCATTATGGTAGAGTATAACTCCATCCTCTATCCTTCACTAATTGCATCACACAATGAAACAGTAAAATTTACTGATAAACGTTTTGAGGACAATTTAACAAACAGGACTCTTTTCAACGAATTTATTCTTAAGCTATATCTTCGTATATACGTATGATATTTAAAGACTGTTATCCGTGAGGAAGATTTAACTTAAATAACCCTGACCTTTGTGTGCAAAAGAGGTATGTACAGTCTTTGTCTCTACCTTGGCCTTAACCTATTTTGGTTTTCGCGTGCTTCTTCCCTTTTTTGTTTTTTCAACTTCCTCTTTTGTTAGATTAATCTTCATACTCTTATATCGTCATAATCATTTTTATTATCTTTACATTTAATAGTTTCCGGTGTTACTTCATTCGGTTTTCCTAGTAATTGCAACTTCCAACAAAACATTCTAATGAGAAACCGTGACCTATGGAGTCAACCAGTCGGGAGTGAGGTAGATGCCAACTGAAGACCTTGGGTGATAGTCGCGTTATATCACGAATTGACAGAAGTTGGAGACTGTAAACCACTAAACTCCGATCCGGTGGCTGAATGGTTAACGCGTTCACCGTGAAACCTGAAGGTCCTGAGCTCGATCCCCAGCCGGGTCGTGGGTGCGTACTGCTGAAGAGTCTCATACTAAGACGAAACGGTTGTCCAGTGCTTCCAGGTTTTCAATGGTTCCCCAACTGATGTCAGTCCGTGATGAATACTACCTCAAAAACATTTTCAATTTATTCCAATTAACTTGTCGCATTCATATTACCTAATCCTTTGATTGTTTATTAACTCTACCATGTTTTCACCCCTTTTTAATCTACATGCACCTTATAAACGATTTAAAAATCTTACGGAATCCCTTTTGTCATCAGTCAACCTTTACGTCATCAACTAGCAACACTATCATTATAAACACCAAAACCAAGTAAATTACTATGATAAATATTCAGGCGATATCGAGGCATCCGCATAGGAGCCCATATGCCAACAGAGGTCGAACAATTCGATCCAGTATAACAACTGAGAATTACAAGCATTATCATTTTGACTATCTGAGATAGCTGTGGTTTAGCAGACTAGTATTGATGCTAGGTGATGATTGAACGTGGAAAGAAAACTTGGACCGTGGCTGGATTCGAACCAGAGACCACCGGGTTTCCGACCCAAAACTCTACCAATCATCCTTGGTGATTGAAGTGAAATAAAAATCTGGTCAGCAGTTGGGTCTTATAGCTCAGAGCAGCAGACAGGAAACCAACTAGTCGCTAGTTCGAATCCGGCCGCGGTCTAAATTTTCATTACACTTCCAATTATAACATAGTATCAATTACAAACCTAACCCAATTTCCCATAGCATGGCACGATAAGGTAGGCAGTGGATTGGCATGCGCAGTACATGTCCAAGCCATTCAAATCGATGAAGGCTCATAACCCATCAATAAACTTGTCTATCTTGACTATCACCCTTCAACTCACCTCAACATTCCTCACACAGTAATTTCACCGAATGCGAGCAATGCTACCAAGACACCTGTGTTCGAAAACTCAATGGCCGTTTCATGTCTTCCACTTATAACGGCCATGTCTCACAGTCGTACAACAGGACAGAACGGACTGAAGCACAGTATACTCACCCTTCGATAGATATTCCGATATCTCGCCAGCTGGCACCACAAATAATGAAGGTTGGCAAATGCCAAACGAACTTTTTGTATCCGAGATGAAATTTCGTCACGAACCAGCCCATTTGGCGGGCTGATGCAACTTCCTGAGTAAGTGAAGTGGTCGATATATTCCATTACTTCACTCCCTATCATTAAACTCGGAGCGGTTGCAGAACAGTATTACACATTTAACCAAACTTTAAATTCACTAGAAGTCAAATAGTACTGTAAACAGCTTTGTCACCAACAGATTCTGTCAATAATTGGAATCACGAGTAAATGAAAATCTCAGTTCCATATCTTTTACCGAAGGTTTCAGCCATCGAACTAATCATTATCCTTAATCATACACTAAATGTCATGTCATTTCAAAATATGTAACAGATAATGAGGTCTACAGAACATACACCAATGATTGTATGGGGTCACTTGAATCACAGTAAATCTGTTTTTGTGTTTAATTATGGAATGTCAGTGAATATATGAATGTAAGAAAGAATTAGACACTCACAGAATGAAAATACCTTTTAATTAATTTGCTTTACTAATGAGAAACTATTGAACTTATGTCACATAAACATTCACAGTTACAATTACACAATAACAGAGATATAGTAATTGTGTAACACTACTTTAAAATGAATTAAAATTAGGTGACTTTTCGATACTACTACAAGGAAAATATACGAAAGTTGGATAAAGATTGATTCATTCCGTTTATTCACACTGTATTCTCTAATTCGAACAACTTGTCTACATAAAATCAGTCGTTGAAGAAATGCCACAATTTAACTAGTGAACGCATAGGAAACTTAATCATTTCATCATCATCGTCAAGAGCAACGCAGGACCAGGCATTAGAACATAACGGTGAAAGTTACCACATCTTATATCAGGACATCAAGTAAAGAGCTAATGAAATGGACGACTTGTTCCTATACAAGATAATGGCTATTTGGTGACTGGCTTTAACACCTTTACTCTTCACATAGTTCAGTAAGTATTATAATTAAAAAATAACGTAGTTGAAAGTATCTAATGGAAAAAGAAATAAATACATGAAAACCTCAAATATAAAAACCGTGCTCCATCAACAAACAATGGATGCCGAGGGTAGTACTACTACTACTAGTAGAAGCTGTGGTTTAATGGTATAGACCCCTAACTTTCAATCACTAGGTCAGGGATCCAGTTGTGCCCTACCTCCTAAGGTTTAGGCAGCCAAATAATATCTATAAATTTTCTCACACCACGCTTGGCTCATGCATTGAGTAAAAAGTTGAAAGTTTCATTGTTATGAGTACGATACCTTGACCATGAAATTTGTAGATGGTCACAACTACAACTACCAAGGTTTCTATTGCGAACAACTTATCAGAAAACAGAGGAGACTTTAAAGGCCACCCTAGCAACTAACGAAATAACCAACCAAGTTGAGGCATTTTCACTGGCATATCATTTTTTATAGAATTGAGAAAGATGACAGGTTGTTTTATCAGTTGCTAGGATGGCCTTTAAAGTCGTTCGAAAACAGCTATAAAGAATATCATGCAGCCGTGACAAAATAGGAAAAAGTTAAATGGGTCGGTAATCTACAATACAATAAATTATATAACTTACTATTCTATAAGCTTCTGTTTCTGGATCTGGGACACCAGCATTTTTCAACTGACTTACAAACTGTGCAGCAAAAGGTGAATACAATAGAATACTTTGTTCAGATGTTGGCGCTGAATTCTAAAAACAAATAATTGTACAATATACGACTAGTTGAAAATTAAAAAGCATCGCTGATTTAACTAAGTATAGAGAGCCATCATGACAATCAAAACACTCTATATATCCTAAGATTCATTAGATATTTCACCTGAAATAAAACAATGAAAGTATGTCAGGTCTAGTAGAAAAAAGGAACTTCAGTGCTAAGTAGATGAAGATACCCGACCAACAATAACAACAAGTACCAATCATCATCAACGGGAGAAATCTAAACCAAGGTGTCTCCACCTACCAACGCCCTCCACCTCCCCCTCCCTCTCCCCCTCTCAGAGACACCATCTTCTCAAACACAAGTGGCAGCAGAGGAACAGATAAGGACGTCAAAGCCACGATCACAAAGACAGCAACACACCCCCTCATTCAGTAATCTGAAATCACTCTGCAGATACACTCCACTCCACTCCACTCCACTAAACATAAAGCGTGAACAACATCCACATTTTCAACACTAATCTCACTCAAGTCAGTGCTTCTATCTCATGGTTCACACACTTCGCAGCGCATTACAAAAACCATTTCCAACAAACAACTGCACACACACTTCATCAACACCCACCGCCTACGCTCACTCAATACCCACACCGAACATCAGATAGATGGTCAGAATAATTACAAGAAGCAACGAGCAACTCACTCCGGCCAGCCAGCCAGCCAGCCAACCAACCAACCAATCAACGAACCAGCCAACAACCTATCACCCAACAAATATACAGAAGAAAATGGAGATGGATTGAACTAGACATACACTGAGAAGACCATTTGGGAACATCACGCGCTGAGACAGGTCACACCCTCCAGTCGAAACCAAGTGGGAAGCGACGAGTTGGGCGTCCGAGGCGAGGGTGATATGGATGAGATCATGTGAGGAAGAAATCAGAGCTTATGGACAGTCATGGAGGCAGGTTGAAAAGACAGTAGAGTGAAATGGCAACGTGCAACTGAAGCCCTATGTTCAACTAGGAACCAAAGTGAAATAATTAATGAAATAATTGACATAAGCGAAGAAATGTCGTAGTTCTTCATTCCCAGTTGACGCCCATGTAGAGCAATACGAAGTGGGTGGTGACTGTACCTGATATAGCGTTTACCATAATTGCTGCAGTTTATTTTGTAAATCGCATATTTACTACACTTAAAATATCTGCCTTTCTCCCCCCCCGCAAAAAAAAACAAATATTTCAGAAATTATGAGCATAAATGCTGTATGGAAACACTTTAATTGTTCTTACAGAGCTTAGTGAATCCTCAAGTGTCGTAGGAATCTTTTCACGCAATTCATACCATAATCTCGCCCACCTTCTGAGTGTTCTGAAACGCGACTGAAGAGAATAAGTAGAACGACCAGGAAAATATGGAAGAAGATTGGTGAAAATTTCTGTTGCCATATCACAAAAGAAAAAAAAAAACAGTGGAGTCGATATTAGTGCAAAACTTACTTAAATATTTACAAAAACAACTACTGTACCATAGTGATAAGAATTCTGGTCTACTTACGCATCATCATATTTAATTGAGACGAGTCATTTTGTTTACCATTGGTTGACTATACGCTTGTATCAAACGCCAGTAACTTTGCAATAATATATATCATCGAAAGCCTATAACCATTTCATTCCGTCTGCCTATAACCATTATGTGCCACAGTCATAAAGTAGGGTATATATGGATATATTGTATAGAACACATCTCCCCTATTAAAGGTAGCTGCATTTCTTATCGTCCGAAGAAATTTAATGGATAGAATGAAAAAAGAGAAAACTATCCCTGATTTTGGCTCCTATGGCAAAATCTCAACAATTGGTGACAAGTTAGTTGGTTGTGGCTAGCGGAGGAATCCAAGACACGTGTTTCGTCCTATTTGGGGCTTGTCAAACAATTCAATCAAATAAAAACAACGGAGAATTGCAAGTATATTAATAAATAGTAATAACTAGTACCCGGTGTACAAGAAGTGTCTATTGTGCCTTCGTGGCATACCAGATAAAGCCTTGGCATCTGAAGCGATGGGCACGAGGTTCGAGTCTCAGTGAGAACAACATCACTCACTGGGGTGCGGGTACATCCAGACGACGAGTCTCAAATGGGACAAAACATACGTCCTGAATTCTTCTGCTAGCCACAACCAAATTAAAATAATTAGGAGCCTATTGGCATATAGGAGCCTATATGCCAAGAGAGGTCGAACAATTCGATCCAATAAAAACAACGGAAAATTACAAGTATATCAATAAATAGTAATTGGTAGAAACATGCAAACATTTTAGCCTTCACGTTAAGTCTTGCTTTGGGTTTGAAACAGCTTTATCTGCTTCGACAGTAGTTGAAAGATCGATGTTTACGTTTGACTCATTTTAAAATTGGATAGTATGTGAAGCGAAACTGAAAGACAGATGGATTATCGTAATCTGAAAGTTTATTATAAATATAGCCTCCTTATACATCATGTTTTTCGGACCATAGATAACTTCCGACCACTTCGCAATAACGATGTCTTTTCTATCTTATTCCCTTTCGCATTCATTGGTACTCCTGGATATTACAAAAACTCTTAGTTTATATTTATAACTGTTAGCACTCTTCATTATAACCTGAGATTATCAGGATATTTTCAGACGACAATCACTTTCATGCTTGAACGAATGCCAAGTCATTTCACTACCCCCATCATTCCAAGCGCAAGCTCAATCTTTTCACCTTCATTTCAGTCACATAGAAACATTCTGACTGTATATTTCTTACACCATTTCAAGCGAAGATATACAATAGCTTAAAGTAACTTACGATGAATATTTGTTTGTTAAGCGGTTAGGCAACTTCAGCGTTTACATTTGAAAGAGTTGAGATTATTCAGTCCAATAAAGTGAATCTTACTGACAACTTAATGCATAGGAAGTTTGTGTACCACTTATATCGGAGACACAAAACACTTAGGGAAAAAAAACCACTGGCGAAACTGATAGTCAGATACACTTACGAAGACTTGGACCTGTTCTCCAACATCCCATTGAAACATATGGTCCGTAATTCAAAACCAAACGATACAATTTCTGATCTTCATAACATGTCCAGGGTTGAAATTGTTCACAAAGTTCTACATACCTTTTCCTGCAGGATGATGCACTTCTACCTGGTAGAGCATTAGTGACTAATGCCCATGAGCCTATTCCAATACCTCCACCATGACCAACACGTCCACCAGCAATTCCATAACGTTGAACAGCCATTAAAAGTTGTAAATCTTCCGCAAGAGAAAATGAATTAAGTAAAGAAGATGCTTGATTGTTTTTACGTGGAATAACGGAGGCAGTTCGGTCTGAAACTCCTTCCACCTTTGGTACAATATTATGAAACGCTGGACATATTATAGGTGCTCGTGAACGACACTCGCTACGCGAGCGAGTTGGATGATAGGCAGAAACAATATCCCAATCCATTAGACCAGGAGAATAGACTTTAAGTAAATTTTTCAAGATATCCATTAAGGCAGTATCTTCTGTAGTAGACCATGGACGATACTTAAAAAATAATCAACCGGATGATAAAAGTTTAGCAACAGAAAAATGAATAAGAAATTTATATCTTACGTAACTGATTTTCACATAGCATACTGATTTAGAGATATGAACGAAGGAACGAAATGCACTCAGCGACCTTGTGCATAGTCGTGCAACAGACAATGAAGCCAAACTTATGGTGTGCAGGCTAGTGATACTTACCTGGCTGCCCAACCCTCAGCAGGTGGCACGGGCTTCGAACCCGTGACTCACTAGAGTTGATAGTCATCTCCCTAACACACTAAGCAACCACCACCATCATGGAGACATAATAGCATTCATATATTACCATTCATAATAAACTCATCATTATTTTATCGAAAACGCTGCTTTACATATTGTCCAGGTGACTGGCTTTACAATTTTTATTCAATACTTTCCACCCTTTTTTAATAATTGCAATTTTCTCAGTCAGATTTAAAAAATCAGTTGGCAAGAGACCCGAGACTAAGGTTTCGCATTTGTTGGCACTCATCAGTAAAGAGCCCATACAAACATATGGAAACTAGTCTTCTCTTGGTGATTTAAACTTTTGTTACGCAGCACTGAAGTCAAAACATTTGCTTCTCTTAGAGCATGGCAATAGAGTAAATTGCACAACCGTTTTACCATTAATTACTTCGAAATTGACAGCCATACTGGTAACAACCTGATGACCAGTTTATCTAGGTTATAGAGCCATCACTAAACAGACAAAAACATCTGCATGGCTTTTCAAAGGTTTATGCTATCCTTCTGCGCAAAGCAGACTTTTATACGTAGACAATAAGGCAGTCCGTACGAGACGTTCCTCGCAGCAAATTCTCCATATCCGTGTATCTCTCCTTTTAACTTTATCTTCCGATTGTGTTGAACCGTTGTTGTATCACAACTTAGGCTGCTTTATCTTTATCGGTGATGAAACTTGTCGAATAACAGAGGCAATTAAAACATTTCCATAATTTTTAACTAAAAGTCGGCGAAGATCAGCCTACTATAACTATTATTAAAATAAAGTTAATTTAATAAAATTGAGGTGATCTGCTCAAATTTTTGGCTACCAATAATATTTCATCAGATTTCTCCTCCTTTTTGCTTCTTCTAACTATTCAAATGTCAACTAATCGTAAAACATACTCTCACCAACTCCCAAAATCTCTTCAACTCATCGTTAAACGCGTTAACAACAAGACTATGAGAAAATATCACAGTAGATGGCAGTCGGCTCCTGTTCACACAACACATCATATAGCTATTACAGGAACATATAACTAAACACAACAAATTTTCATATTGGATGAATGAACCTGCATCATGAAACTCACAGGCGCTTTTCTATCCGACTCACGTACAACAACATACAAACTAGATGACCACCTAAAAACTACTCGTTGTTGTGCATTACTCCCTATCATATTATTATTATTAGTAGTAGTAGTATTAGTATTCAACTCCCATGGCTTTTTAACTTGAAAATATTATACAACAAGTAAATCTGTTGAAATAACATACTGAAAACTCCAAAATGTACTTAAGGTTATTGTCTGGAATAAAGTGATTATTATTATTATTATTATTATTATCATTATTATTATTATTATTATTATTGTTATTATTATTATTATTATTATTATATCTCCGTGTAGGCACTGTACTTGTGTATAATTTCAAATTGATTTGCTATTCAGATATGATGTATTCGAAACAATACCCAGTAATACTAATTCAATTTGGAGGTTTGTGGGGATTTATTTATTGATTTAAGTATGGCATTCATCATGAACAGACACTAGTTGGAGAAACAGCGGAAGCAGTGGACAGCTATTTCGTCCTAATATGGGCTCCTCAACAGTGAGCACCCACGCCACCCCGCCCAGTGATCGAACCCAGGGTCTTCAGGTTCTGCTATCAGCACATTACCATCAAGTTACTGCGTTATGAGTGCGCAACTGATGTTAGTTCACGATAAATACCAACCTGAAATCAATAAATAAATCCTTACAAACCTCTAAATAGCTTTTTTTTCTGTTGATTCATACACAAGATTTTATTGTCAGCTGGATGATTATGATGGTTTACATTAACAGGTGAGATTAAGTTTCCTTTAGTTTCAGTTAAGATAGGATTTTGTTTTGCTGACCATTGAATCTGTGCTTTTCATTTCATCTGTTAAATTCTACAGTAATATCATTACTGAAAGAAGCATTTGAATGCAACATTTTGATCATTATGTTGGTACACTTGACTCTATTATGAGAAATTCTTTCAGTCACGATGTGCATATACTAAGCGATGCACCCCACCTATTGTATGAGGTCTAATAATACTATCTGGCTGAGGAAATCTCGATAGATGGAGTGGATTTAAACTGACGACCCAGTGTGGTTCAAAGTATGTTATCGAAACCAATGAACAACAGTTTCGCCTAACTATTGCTATGCTTTAGATTTATTTTGGTAATTCCAAAAGGTATGCCCACCCATGAAGACTTGTTCGAAACGTACAGAAATTCAATGAATCAGTTTCATCAATGGTACCCTTCACTAGGTATTCAGATCAATTATTACCATTACCTATTCTGATCAGAATACGCCAATCCCCTACAACACCAACTACAAAGTCATCGACAGAAATCAATAAACGCATCATCCTACCATACATAAAGAATATATCAGAAATCACGACAAGATTACTGAAACCACTTGGTGGAATTGGTGTGGCTCATAAACCAACAAATTCCCTGCAGACATCATTACATAGACTAAAGGATGAGACAACCAAAGAAGGCACACCGAATATCATTTACAAAATCAACTGCTACAACTGTAGTCAACACTACATTGGACAAAGTGGTCGCCCTCTTCACCCTCTTCGTCTACATGAACACCAACTGGTTATTAAACGTCACGACATTTCATCACTCATCTCAATGCACATGGACAACAACTATGGGTATGAATCGAATTTTGATAATGCAGAAATCTTGGACAAAGGGAGGAGATACAAAGAATATCAGAGGATTCCTAGAAGCTTGACATTCAGGTCAGACAGTCAGTAATCAATAGATGTATAAACACACCCAACGTATCAACCAATGAGAAAAATGATAAACGATAGAAAGGTCAGAGATCAAGCAGAAGAACAGCCAACAAGAAAATCTATGCAGTCAATGACACAACAATCAAAGGAAACAACCAATCACAAACCACTTCGTCACGGTATGCTACTAAATCACTCATGGAGAGATATTGACAGCTCACTTCATGCTGAAGTTAGTGCTGATGATGTTGTCTAGAAGGACGATGAAAGCTTCACGATTAAATAGCCCACCTTAGTGAACATAATACAAGCAATATTCTCAATATATTCATAATTACCATTATAAAATTAGGATTCAGAACAGTTTGCCAACGTTGAAAACATGCAAGTACGGTACGATTAGTATTTAAAGCTTTGCATATTTCCTCCCAACGACCAGATTCACCAAATTCCCGTACTAACTCCGTCAATCTTTTATCCTCTTCTTTGGACCATTTCGAACGATTGATATTAGGTTGTAGGCGATGAATCCAAGTCAATCGAGCATTATTATCATTTATACAATTTTTACCCTACAAATTGGAAGGCGTAAAATATTACCACGTTATCTTCAAAAGATAAAAACGACTGATTACATGAATGGATGAAGATTTAATTTATAATAGTTATCGAACACACACACACACACATTAAGATATTATAAACATCCAAATCACAGTTGTTACGAATGTCCTGGAGGAAGTTGAGCACTGAGTCTGATTGAATAATCATAAGAAGAGGTTGAGTGATTCGGCCCTCTATAGCAACGGGAAATCATCACCTGCTGCCCAAGAAGTGGCTATCGTACTCCAGTGGCTTAGTGGATAACGATTTGGCATTTGAAATGAAGGGTACTTGGTTAGAACTCTTGTGAGAACAAAATCACTCCACACTGGGATGCATGCACATCCAGCTAAGGAGTCCCAAATAGGAAGAAACGCACGTCAATATAACATTATAAGCATATGTTTTAATATTGCTAACTATTGCTACATTATCTATATTGTTATATTTCAGTAGCATTTCCTTGAAACAGCTATCCAAAAACATCTTTGTTTACACTTATTCCCAAAAATATTAGTCACTATGAGATTACAGCACTTCATCGTTTTTAATTATACAAATGTAAAATATCTCAAGCCAGATAAAATCATTTTCAAAATAATACTCCTACTCATAAACTTTAAATAGAGTGCTAGAATATATGCATATCCTATCTGAGGAATAACAATTGTTGAATGGTTATAATGAGTAGTAAAATGAGGCAACAGATGAGTTGATACGGTACGAACTTATTGGGACATTATATTTATGTGTGGTCATATCTATCCAATATGATAAAGCTCAGACGTTTCACAGGACTACATATTGAGATATGCGGATATAGTAGATCATGTACACTTAATCTGGATACTGGACAACTGGTTTGCCTAAAACAGGGAAGAAGACAGTACTGAAATGGAAGTATCTACTTCAATAGAAAGAGGATGGAAATAAAAGCACATGTCGTGGATTCATATACAACGGGAATGCACTTGAAGTAAACAGACAAGTCAGCATATTAAAAGTGGAAGAACAATCAATAGGAGAATAGTGTTATTAAAAGCAGTAGAAATGCACTCAGTAGTCTTGTGCACATTCTTGCAGTAGATAATGAACCATACCTATTGTGTGAGAGCTATTGATACAACTTGGCTACTCAAACCTCAGTAGCTTGGATGGGGTTCGAACAAATGACCCACTTGGTTGAAAGTTATCTACTTAAATTAATCAGCCATAGCTCGATAGCTACAAGGTGGCAAAGGTACATTCAACTTTTTATCAAGTAAATTTTAATGAATTTTGGCAGAAAGGGTTTATTCTCGAGGGATCTAACAACCCCGGAAACTCTATAGTCTTCTGCAAACACAAAACACTTACTTTCGTCTAATTAGTATACTCTACTAAATCAAATAGACAACTCGACCATATGAGAATTTAGGTATCCTTATATGAGATGAACTAACAAACTCAGGAGCCAGAGTAGATAAGCATAATCACTGTTAACTATAGCGGTGTAGATGAAATCATTCCCCATTTTCTCACTGGTATTGAAAACACTTTCCTACACCTATTTTACCTTGTCGATAAATGTCTTCCTTGCTGATAATCTTTTTACCAATATTCTCTCTATATGATCTTAAAATGTGGTAGCTAAAACGTAGTTATACAAGACATTATGTTAATCGATCCGCTAGGCTTCATCAGCTTAACCCTTTGCCAGACAGACAGAAGATCAACGTAGAACCTCGTACACAAGTGCTCTGGTCCAAGTTACTACATTTTACAGAAGTATAAAAAGAACAAGTGGATAGAAAAAGTATGTAACGCAAGATCAAACAAGATAAGGTTCAGTCTAAGTGGATGACCGACATTATTTCAAGCACCTTAACTCATATAAATACCCTTGGCAAAGAAAAGAGCTTGTAGTCAGTGCTAACTTAAGATGTATTAAAACTACTAGAAAGGTTTGATAACGAAAATCTGATTAAAAAGTGATATGGAAAATAAGGTTTTCCACTTTATATAGCTTGCAGGAGAAAGTGGAGATGGTTTGAACTAGACACACACAAAGAAAGAAGACCCTTTGGGAACATCACGCGCTGGGACAGGTCACACCCTCCAGTAGAAACCAAGTGGGAAACGACGAGTTGGGCGTCCGAGGCGAGGGGTGATATGGAGGAGATCGTGTGAGGAAGAAATCAGAGCTTATGGGCAGTCGAGGAGCCAGGTTGAAGAGACTGTAGAGAAGAGAGTGAAATGGCGATGTGCAACTGAAGCCCTATGTTCAACTAGGAACTCAAAGGATAAACAATACTAACAATAATACTCTATATAGCCAAGGCAATACGAGTATAATAACATGAAATAGATATCTTTGTTTGCCTATTACACACTGCATGATTAAGTACTATTTAACTATGCATCAGAATGAAGCAAACTTAGTGAGGCTGGTGTTTCCCAACATATCGTTCCTTACCCATGTCTTTTCTTTCTGTATGACTTATCATTTTCAGCTAATATCAACTCTACCAGATATGCTGATGATTGTTGTGTATCAGAGAATGTTACAAATGTGATTTATCTCAGCATGTATTTTTCTTTGGACCCTCTCTGCTCCTCTCATATACCTTACTAATTTCAAAAAAAATCTTCTGCCTAACCTACTACATTGAAAAGCTGACAGTATCTGGTATAACTCAGACTCTTCTGTTGTATTTTATAAACTTTTGCATCTTGCCTATTCTCGTCTATTCTTACCCTCTGTTCTTTCTTGGGCTGTTGAAAAAAGACTATGTTATATTGCGTAGAACTTTGAAGACTGTCAGCAGAATTGGTGGTGTACTTATAAACCTAATTCAGACTGTTATAGACAAACATATTAACTCACGTAAACATCTGGTAGGAGTTATTTTATCAGATGACCGGCATCCTCTTCACTAGAAGCTCTCTGCGTACCAGTCCTTAGGCAATATCAGGAGCAAGTATATAAGACTTTATGCATGTACTATCAAATATAAAAACTCCACAATACCGAAATTAGCTCATATTCTGTACAATGAAGAAACCATTAGAAATGAGCTAACGCATTAACTTCTGTTTTTGAAAGCAAACTAACTAAAGATTACACAGCTTGCTGTTATTTAAGTATTATGAATCTAATTGCTGTTTTCCTAAGTTAACTTGGCATTTTCAACAAAGTTGTAGATGGAGTAAATATTCTCGTCTTTTATTTGTAATTTATACTTATTCCATTCTATCATGTATAAATCTACATTGTCCCTGTCCAATTGATGCTATATGACATGCCAAGAATTCTGTACATTATTCCCGAAAAATCTTTCAGAATAAACCCATTATTGTTATTATTATCATTATTACCGATTATGATTATTGTTACTAATATACAAGAAGAGCAAACGATTGAAAAGGGGACTAGCCGGTAAGTCTTTCTGCACATCACAAAGTTCAGCTTGCTAGCATATTTGCCAGTTAAATTCCGAGGTTTGTGTGGATTTAGAGATTTTTTAAGTTGTTACTCATCGTGGACTGACATCTAAATCCCCAAAAAAAACCCAAATTCAATTGATCTAATGCTCATCGGTGACTAGCTTCGAGAGGTGATTCCCGAAGTCCCAATAAGAAGTCGTGACTAGTGGGGCAAACTTGGTGACAGTGAGGACAAATGCTCGACAGTGACATTCGGTGATGGTCGTGCTATTTCGTGAACTGAAAGAAGTTGGAAATATGGACCACTGGATTCCGACCCAGTGGCCCAACGGTGACGTGCTGGCCATGGAACGTGAAGGCGACGGTTCGATCCCTGATAGGGTCGTGGGTGCGCATTGCTAAGGGGTCCCATACTAGAATGAAACAGCTGTCCAGTCCTCCCAGATTTCCAATGTTCCTCCAATTGATGTCAGTTCATGATGAAAACCAACTTAAAGTATCTCAAAATCCCCGAAAACCCCCAAATTCAATCACTAGAAATATTTGAGTAAAAGTAATTGCTTTTCTTTATATTCTCTCAAGCATACATATCACTGAAGATTCAAAGGTACAGAGTATACGAGCGAAGTAATCCTTACACATATAAACGATCCAAATATATTTTATTCTGAATGTTAATCCAAGCTTCAAAACGTTATAGGTGTGTTTCATGTCTGAAGAATATCAAACCACGTTTTAGGATTAATTTCAAACCAACGAACTAACGACTTTAGTCGTCTAATTAGTTGGTGTATTAATTGTGAATGAAACCTCAGAAGCGATGAACGCCACATTCATTATCATTTAATAAGTCATAAGAAATCTTCAGAATTTCTATTGGCTCGTCAAGTGTCGATCATGAAATGTTGGACAAGGAACTTCCTTAATGAATGGTTAGGAGAATGAAAATATAAAGGAATTCCTCCTGTATATATCCATAATGCTGTTTGTGGTAAACAAAAGCACCATAAAGTAGACAAATTATATAGGATAAAAGAAAAATCTAATGCAATATCTTAGTGACTAAGTAGTAATTGGGGGGTTTTCAACAGGGCTTGTATCAACCAGAGAATTCTTGAAAACCTGGGAGCGCTGGATACTTGTATCATCTTTGGAACTCGTCAGCAGTTCGTAGCCGTAAGGGATGGGACTTAAGGCTGTCGGGTCTCATGGTGAACACGTTACCACTCATCCACTTGGTCAGAATCCAATGACTGACGTTTTTCAACTTCAGTCAATTCGTGATGTGGCACGATCATCGTCTAATGTCATCGGTGAGTATTTTACCTTACACCCAATCTGACCGATCCTTCAGGTCACATTTTCTCATCCTTATTGTGCCACTAGCTCATTATTGATATGCTATGAAATGAACTTCACAAAATCCCTTTAAGAAGCTATGATCTATTTGTTCAATCATGTTGGAGAATACTCATCGATAGCACTGAACGATGGTCGCGAAATATCAAGAAATGACAGAAGTTGGAAAACTTAAGCCACTGGATTCTAACCCAGCAACCTAGTGATAACGTATTCGCCACGAGACCTGACTGTCTTAGGTTGAATCCCTCACGGGGTTGTGGGCACGTGCTGCTGAGGAGTATCATACCCAGTACTACCCAGTACTCAGGTTCTCAAAAGTTCTCTGCATGATATCGGTTCATGATGAAAGTCCTTTGAAGTCAATCAGTTTTTCACAAACCGAATTGTGTAGGTATTAATTATACTGATATAAGCTCAATATCATCTTATTGAATTACATAAACATTTATACGCCTGAATTATGCCTCAAATCTACGATTGATTTCGATTACCAAATAGTAAAACCTAGAGAGCAACAACCCAACCAACGCCAACAACAACAACAAGCGCCAATCAATATCAACAGGAGAAACTTAAAGGAAGTATCCTCTTTCACCTACACCTACCTAGGCAGCATCGTTTCAACTACAGGTGGCGGCACAGACGAGGACATCAAAGCCAGGATCGGAAATACAGTAAGACAGACGCTTATTAACCTGAAACCAGTGTGGAGATCTTCTGCAGTCAGCATGTAGAACAAGATCCGGATTTTTAACTCTAATGTCAAGTCAAGCCTCCGTATGGCTCAGAAACTTGGCGTGTCACGAAAAGGATTTCCAACAAACTACAGACATTCATCAACAACTGCCGCTTACGCTGGCTCGATACTGAAGATCAGATAGATGGCCAGAGAGAATAAGCAACAAGGGACTCTGGCTGGCAAAGAACCAGTCAAGAAGCTATCGCTGAACAAATATGCAGTGGAAGGAAGTGGAGATGGACTGGGCATGCACTGAGATCATTCGGGACATCACATGCCAGGCCAGGCCGTCGAGTGGAACCGAGATGTGAAACGGCGAGTTGGGCGTCTGAGGCGAGGCTGACATGGAGGAGATCGTATGAGGAAGAAACGAGAGCTTGTGGGCAGTCGTGGAGCCAGGTTGAAAAGGTTGCAGAGAAGAGAGTGGAATGGAGACGTGCTACTGAATCCCTATGTTCCACTAGGAACCCAAGGGTCATATAGTATAATAATAATAGAGAGCAACAAACAATCATCTCTGTCATTCTAGGCTGAAAATTCTTATTACCTCAATATCATTTTGAGACTCAGTATACTCTAGTATTAGTTATACTAGTTAACCGTGAGGTACTGGACGAACTGATTTCAATAAACCAAGTGTTTTCTAGCTAACGTACACACAGAACTACATTAGAAGTTGATCTGTTCCATATTAGATTAGTTTACTATTTTACCAGTTTGAACATTTTGTGCGAAAAATTCCCATTGATACATCTACAAAAATGAAGAGAAATCCAGCCAGTAAGTTCCTTTCGCTGTTTTCTTGAGTATTTTGCATCTCGTGCGTCTTTTTAACACAGTGTTAGTTAACCTATGTAAACGTAGACAGAGCATATTAACAGCATACAGACGAATGGAAATGGTGTTTAGTGATTATCATGAGACTAAGACGCAAACAGATGGCTTTAATTGAATGTAGAATAGAAATTTACCTGTATATTTGATATTTCAATCCAGTTAGTTGGGGAAATTATACTATCAGCTGATGAAAGTAGTTCATACCAATTTTGAGCAGATTGTCGGCAAGAGCTATCAGAACGTAATTTATGAACTCCATTATTTTTAAAAATATCTTGGAAGGTAGATTCTTCAGATTCCTTGAATCCCATGTTAGCTATGGCAGAAACTAACCATTTTGGAGGTTTTTTAGGCATTAAATGGATCTGATATAGTTTTGATTCACATTCTTGCAGTTCAGATAGGAGAGAATGACTCGATTCCATGGATGATATTGAATCTTGTTTACAAGTTCTCTCTGACCCCGATTGCCTTTTATATGTTTTCGAGATTTTACTTAGCAAAAGGTCTCTTTTGTCTTCCAAAATTTGAATTTGGCGGTTACGAACACAAGTGGCAACAGCTTCAATTAAAAAAATTAGCTCCTTTTTCAACCCTAAAAGTGAACAAATTATCCTCATAAAGACAAGATGAACTCATAAAGTGAGTTTTAAAATAATCTTGTGCTCAGAAAACCAAAACAAGATTTTGCTGAAAGTTTTACAGCGTGAATCAGAGCTTCTTCGGAGGAATATTCAAATTTCTACTAAAGGATATATATATATAGCTGCTTCAGCACTACGGAGTGCCACAAACCTTTATCAACCTCATTCAACAGCTAACTGCTATACGATACTACATACCAAGTGATTCACAACACAATGGAAAGCTCAGTGATGCCACTGAAGTGAAGATAGACAGGAGTAAGACAAAGTTGCCACCTACTATCACACATGATCTTCCTGATTGTGGTCGACTGAATCATACAACAAACTGTGAGGAGCGAGAAGATGGACTTACGCTGGCTGGCTGCACCGATAAAAAGACCATAGAAAATTTGGATTTCGCCTGTGATGATTTATGTCTACTGTCTAATGTCGTACAAACACGAAGATCTACAGGCGAAAATTAACAAGTTGGTAGAAGAGGCGAGGTGAGGCGAGGCAGAGAAGACAGGCCCTCCTTCATGTAAACATAGAGATGGCACAGATGATCAAGATACCCAAACAACAACAACAACAAGTACCAATCATCATCAACGGGAGAAATCTAAACCAAGGTGTCTCCACCTACCAACGCCCTCCACCTCCCCCTCCCTCTCCCCCTCTCAGAGACACCATCTTCTCAAACATAGGTGGCGGCAGAGGCACAGATAAGGACGTCAAAGCCACGATCACAAAGACAGCAACACACCCCCTCATTCAGTAATCTGAAATCACTCTGCAGATACACTCCACTCCACTCCACTCCACTAAACATAAAGCGTGAACAACATCCACATTTTCAACACTAATCTCACTCAAGTCAGTGCTTCTATCTCATGGTTCACACACTTCGCAGCGCATTACAAAAACCATTTCCAACAAACAACTGCACACACACTTCATCAACACCCACCGCCTACGCTCACTCAATACCCACACCGAACATCAGATAGATGGTCAGAATAATTACAAGAAGCAACGAGCAACTCACTCCGGCCAGCCAGCCAGCCAGCCAGCCAACCAACCAACCAATCAACGAACCAGCCAACAACCTATCACCCAACAAATATACAGAAGAAAATGGAGATGGATTGAACTAGACATACACTGAGAAGACCATTTGGGAACATCACGCGCTGAGACAGGTCACACCCTCCAGTCGAAACCAAGTGGGAAACGACGAGTTGGGCGTCCGAGGCGAGGGTGACATGGAGGAGATCATATGAGGAAGAAATCAAAGCTTATGGGTAGTCATGGAGCCAGGTTGAAAAGACCGTAAAGAAGAGAGTGAAATGGTGAAGCCCTATGTTACACTAGGAACCCAAGGGACAAATAATAAATTATATATATATATATATATATATATATATATATATATATATATATCATCAAATGATGCACACTGATTTCTGTGGTAGATAGAATAGATAGGCATAGCACCTGGTATTGTTGCGTAGTGGCTCATGTCGCTAAACCTTATGTAAGCACATCAAGCGAGAATTCACTAAGATGGAAGACGAAAACAAGAAACCAGTCAGAAGTGATATAAAGCTGTCAAAAGAGGCTAAGGAAGAATGAAAGAATACTGAAAGTTAGTATGACGATTAAGATGAAAAAAAAAAATGTTTGAATATATCTGAACCAGTGACATCGATTCCGAACCAGATCACTGGTTTCCACTGTCATGCGGACCCCAAACAACAAGTCTACATTTCTCTACACGGCTCAGATCAACAGTCATGCCATGTTTCAGTATGACCACCTCTAACCTTTGCCCAGCCTGAACCCACTCCAGTCAACATTGTGTGACTAAGCATGCGTAACATATATCCCAGCCCCCTCAGTCAATGAGGGTTAGTAAATTAATCAACTGACTTTTCTCTCCTTTCTAAAACTCTACACTTGACTTCTGCATTGCTGACGTGGTGACACTACGATACACAGTCTGTGCTACGAAAACAACAATGGTCAAACACGTGAAGCTTTCTCATGTTCTCTATCCTTAATGGCTGTGTTTCACCGATATACGGGAGAAGACAGCGAACTCTTGGTTGTATTGTGTTCTCTGAGCTGGGTTGTTTAATCGTGAAGCTTTCATCATCCTTCTAGACAACATCATCAGCACTAACTTCAGCATGAAGTGAGCTGTCAATATCTCTCCATGAGTGGTTTAGTAGCATACCATGACGAAGTGGTTTGTGATTGGTTGTTTCCTTTGATTGTTGTGTCATTGACTGCATAGATTTTCTTGTTGGCTGTTCTTCTGCTTGATCTCTGACCTTTCTATCGTTTATCATTTTTCTCATTGGTTGATACGTTGGGTGTGTTTATACATCTATTGATTACTGACTGTCTGACCTGAATGTCAAGCTTCTAGGAATCCTCTGATATTCTTTGTATCTCCTCCCTTTGTCCAAGATTTCTGCATTATCAAAATTCGATTCATACCCATAGTTGTTGTCCATGTGCATTGAGATGAGTGATGAAATGTCGTGACGTTTAATAACCAGTTGGTGTTCATGTAGACGAAGAGGGTGAAGAGGGCGACCACTTTGTCCAATGTAGTGTTGACTACAGTTGTAGCAGTTGATTTTGTAAATGATATTCGGTGTGCCTTCTTTGGTTGTCTCATCCTTTAGTCTATGTAATGATGTCTGCAGGGAATTTGTTGGTTTATGAGCCACACCAATTCCACCAAGTGGTTTCAGTAATCTTGTCGTGATTTCTGATATATTCTTTATGTATGGTAGGATGATGCGTTTATTGATTTCTGTCGATGACCTTGTAGTTGATGTTGTAGGAGATAGGCATCTTCTGATAAGGATTGATAAGTAGCCGTTCTTCTTTAGGATGGACATCAAGTAATTTTCTTCGTTTCTCTGTGAAGTTGTTGTGCTGCAGTGTGTTCTCGCTCTTCTGAGTAGAGTCTGCACGCAAGTGATTTTGTGTCGTTGGGTTGTTGCTATTGTAGTTGAGGATTTGGTCAGTGTGTGTTGACTTCCTGTACATTTGGGTTTCCAGCTTCCCCGTATTTGTTCTATTGACCAGAATATCCAGGAATGTTAGTTATTCGTTTGACCCCTTCTTCATTGTGAATTTGATGTCACTGAAAACGTTGTTGATCAAATTGTGGGTGTTTTCTATATCATCTTTTTTAATGATGACAAAAGTGTCGTCCACATAGCGAATCCAGAATTTCGGTTTGATCACAGGTAGGATGATGGCTTCCAGTCTCTGCATCACTGCTTCTGCAATTAATCCGGATATCGGAACGATGTAAGCTTCACGATTAAACAACCTAGCTCAGAGAACACAATACAACCAAGACCACCCACCTGAGCTACAAATATTCTCCACTATTTCAACGTAGTACACTCTGTCCTTAAAAAGTAATCAGACGATCATTGCAACGTCACAGATGGAGTAAGTTGGTGAATAGCAATCGACCCTTTTGCATCTGTACCGAGATTTTATCCTTGTATGTAAGCTACTGGTCAGCTGGTTTGTTGTTCAGAGTGATTATTTACGACTGATTATTATAAATTTACATTACTATTGTCATTCATTACTGAAAAATATTTGGCAAGAAATTTGTAACAGTTATGGTTCAAGCTAGTATAGTGACGAAATTTAATATACATCTTAGCTAGCAAATAACCAAAGGGTTAACTCTTGCAATGCCAGCAGGAATAGTAAGTCACAAAACTGCAAAAATCAGCAACCACTTAAAGGAAATTGTAATAAAACGTAACTTCAACTTGTGAGAGAGATAAAAAGTATTATCCGGTTGACCAAACTGAATAAGTAAAATGAAATATGAATATCCATAAGCACACAGTAGTTAGTGATGTTCCCAGGTTACTTAAACGTCTACTCGTTTCTCAAGTACAGTGTAAAGTAATACTAACACTTCATAAAACTAAATGCCCTTAGAAGAGGAAAACACATAGCATGGTCAGAATCACCATGAAATCTACATTTCTGATTCCCAGTCATTAAGCAACTAACTAGAATTTAACACAACTTTTTGTCAGTTGCAAACTAAACATTTTCCCCTTTGCAACAGTACACAAGTAATGTAACATGACAAAAAGTGTTTAGGAAACCAAACATCTGAACATATACAACTTTCCTCGCTAGGATAGTCAAGTAGTTCTTAAAAGAAATAACAGGATGTGAATGAACTATCGCTGATGAAAAATAAAATGAATGTTGTAGTTTACTCTCTCTACAGAAAGGTTTTATGTTAGTGTCTGACTGTGAATGGTGTAACGAACAAATATGCAATCCCAATCAAAGCCCTCTACCCAAACTCACAATCCATGTATGGTCGTCTTACGTTGAGTTGTAATCTGAAATAACAACTACCAGTGATGTTCATCAACGATGACCTTTATCACTGTTGCTGTTCATGACGGCGCATATGTATCCACTCCTTGACGTTTTCTATACCTTGAACATCTGAACCAGTTTGATTTTCAAATTTCTTCACCTTTCATACACCTTTATCTACTTTGAAACCTTTTTTTTTCACACATTTGTTCTTTAAATGCTGCTGTTATGTATGGTAACTTGAACCGATGCACTTCCAAATGAGGTTGTACGTTGATTTTTTTTATCTAAATTTCAACAATTATGACTTCTTGGTTAAAGTGGTGTTACCGATGTAATGGACAATTAGTTCATGTGGTAATCCTACAAGTTCATCTACTGGACTGCATTGAACTGCTCTTACTGGTGTATTCATGAATTGGGTCAGAATAGGTGAAATGGTCTTCAATACTAACTACTGAAAAATCAGGCATGTAAACCGTCGTGGATTGACACGTATAAGTCAGAAAGGTAGAAAAATTCAACGCAGAATCTTGCACACAAATTTATCGGCTCAAGCTGTCACATTTCACAGTAGTATACAAAGAACGGGTGAAGAGAACAAGAGTAATATCAAAATAGACAAAGTTGTGTGAGAGAATAAACAATCTCATGATAACGGTTAGTGCAAATATTCAAGTTTTAGAAGTCAATGAGTGAATACATCACATCTAAGCCATTGTGACCGATTTCAAGCCACGTCACCAAGAGTTAACAAACACTGATTCCTTTCATCTCGAAGACTTTACGCAGCCCACAGTCTACATCTCCCCACACGGCTCAGACCAGCAGTCAGCGACTTCATTAACCAGTGCTACATTATGCTCTGGTCACCCCTCAAACCTCTTCAAACCTAATCCAACTTCCTATAGCATGACACGATAAGGTAGGCAGTGGATTGGCATGCGCAATACATGTCCAAGCCATTCAAATCGATGAAGGCTCACAATCTCATCAATAAACTTGTCTATCTTGACTATCACCCTTCAACTCACCTCAACATTCCTCACACAGTGATTCCATCAAAGGCGAGGAATGCTACGAAGACTGTGATCGAAAACCCAATGGCCGTTTCATGTCTCCCACTTATAACGGCCATGTCTCATAACCGTACAACAGGACAGAATGGACTGAAGCATAATATACTCGTCCTTTGATAGATATTTGGATATTTCGCCAGTCAGTGCCACAAATAATGCAGGTTGTCAATTACTAAACAGGCCTTCTGTTTACCAGCTGGGATTGCGTTAGCAACCAGCCCGTTCGGTAGGCTGATGCAACTCCCTGAGTAAGTGAAGTGGTCGATATATTCCACCACTTCACTCTATATCATTAAACTAGGAGTACTTGCTGCAAACCAGTACTGTAGTATTATCTTGCATTCGACAGGTGCCATCGAAACGCATCCCAAACATAGCTAGGTTTCTCCTCAACCCATCTCACATTTGGGTAGTGTCTTGACCTATTAGGACGATATTGTCTGCATACTCAACTAGATGACCTCCAGGGAGTAGGTAAATTCCTACGAAGTCAGACGTTCCTAAGGTCATGTCTATTCGTAAGAATATGACGATGCTAAGTAGGGATGGCGACAGTGGATATCCCTGGGGGACACCACTAATTGTCGCCAATTCTAATGACAACTTTCTGTATGCCCTTACATGGCTGCAAAAGCCAGAGTAGAGAGCTTCGATAAGCATGACATACTCGCTCGGTACTCCCTTTACAGTCAGACGCTGCCGCAACACTCACGATCGAAAGAGTTAAATGTTTCTTTCCGGTCGCAAAATTTAGCAAATGGCAAATGACCGGTAAGTATCCTTGTGTTCCAGGGCCTGTTAGAGAGTGGAAATATGATCCATGCACTTTTTTCCAGCTCTGTCTGAAACCTGCATGGTTTTCTCGAGTTTGCCGTTATCCAGCTTTGGTTAGCCATTGGATAACTATGGACCCTACAATCTTCGACATGATATTGGTCAAAATAATTCCCCTATGGTTGTCATATGAAGACTTCACTCCCTTCTTATTAACTGAGATGGCTAGAGAAGTTGACCAATCTGTCAATTCTCATAAAGACTATTTCACCAGGACAGTATATGTCACGACGGAATCTGTGAAAGCTGCTGATAGGATTGATAATGTTATCTAAAATTTTATCGGCAAATACACCCGCAGGTTTCTTTTAACATACTTCTCAAACTCAGTACACTATCCTATGAATATCATCTGTAGTGAATTTTCTCTGAATGCATGTTTATTTGCATTTCCGGCTTATCATTTTGATTCATCCATAATTAGCGGATATTTTCATCCGCAGTGAAAATTAAACGTAATAATAATCACTCCAAGCAAACATGTGGAGCATACCCAACTAAAAAGTCGAGAAAGATATCATATCTGTGCCAGTGTTCTTGAATCACTTTAAACTCTCATGTAATCTGAACGGAACGTATTCAGCTACCTTATGCACACCTATGCAGTAGGCAATGAGCCACATATATTTTGTGATGACTGGTTACACCACCTGGCTGCCCAAACCGCGGTAGATGGAGTGGGGCTTGAACCCGTGAACCATCGGTTAAACCCCGCTTCACATGTTTTTGAGACCAGTATACACCATCTTTGACTAATACCATTAGTTGCATGTGAAAATTTTGCTTGTTTTGCAGGTAAACACTTCGAGTCTCAGTGAGAACACGAACTCCGATCTGAATTTAAAAATACAACTGAACCTAGTTTAGGTTATGTAGTAGGTTAGGAACCACACTTATTTTGAGGGATTGCTGTACTACTCAGTCTCCTAGACTGAAGTAGGTGAAGTGCAGTCTAAACCCAGTTTAAGATAACCAATAAGTATTTTTCAAATCACCTATTGAGCTTCTAGTCGTTCAACAGCAAGGTGTCAATGAAACGTCAACATAACGATTCAGTCTGTATAGAGCCATGACATGAGTTTCATGATAAATACTTATAAAGCAAGAACGCTCCACGCTCGTCGCATATGAGACAATAAAAGTTACTGTTATCAATAAAGAAAACAGAAACAAAAGTTATCCCTTAAGTAAATTTACGAGTTCCACCTTCCAATCAAACTTTCCCATTCATTTAAAAACTTCAGGTGTAAATATAAAAGGTTCGTCATTTAGCCTATCAGATGGATATTATATTTCAACGTAATATAGTCAATTTTGTATGTTACAAACCACTTGCTTTAAGAGATATGTCTAAAACTAGCGACCGACGATATCAAATCATTTCACATACTCTTATCAATACAGTCACTTTCTGAAGTGATTACTCAATGAAGTATGCAACCGTTACCAATATTCCTTTTTACCTTTGGGAAAATTTTTTAAGGCGAACAAACTTATTAAAGTAACCTGCATACAACTAGCATATAACCAGCTTTCAATTAACAGAGGTGCAAATTTCGCACCACTCCGTCCCTTCATCAGTCATTTCGATGATACAAAATAAAGGCATACCTGAATTATATCTAAAATACTAACACATAAACGGCTTTTATCACAGCACATAATAATGTAAAACTATAATTACGGAGAAGACCACTTCGAAAATATCAAGGTACAATGCGCTTACATCTTTTTGCCGATACAGAGCGAACATCACTCAAATTCCATTCCTTTCTCTGAGTTCTAAGAACTGTGTCAGTGTTAGGAGGAGGTACCTTAGAGTTAAATATATTTATCCAAATTAATTACCTCTCCGTTAGAAAGCTTTAAAAAAGGTTTGTGCAATATCCGATCAGGATTACAGGAAACCATATAATCACCAGATAAGTCTTTCTAAAACAAAAAAAAGAAAAGCGCATCGCACATTGCAAGCAATAAAATCGATAGGTTCGGAATTTTATGCGAATGTTACTAACTACATTTAAGGGATAAATTAATGTTGTAATTTATGTTAAATGATTTCAATAGTTGGCCAAATGCTGAAATGAAGACGCTATGTTTAAACCATATTTTGAAAACAAACTCTATCGGTTTACGCTTCATCTATTTCAACTCCAATTATTCTGAAAGGACATCAGTTCCACCAAGTTTTCAGATACATCTCCCTGACCAGTGCCAACATGCACAAAACCTAGGTTCAGAAATCTCTATAGATTACTTCCAACTACTTAAAGTTAATTAGCTCTTCCACACCCCTTCTTGTAAATGAAGGGAAACAACTACCACATTTTACATTTGTGCCGTAGACAATGAGCTATACCTATTGCAAGAGATAATGATACTAACTGGCCACCGAAATCTCAGTAGGTGAACTGGTGTTCGATTCCATAAGCAACTAGTTGAAAGGTATAGTTCCACATGTGCCAATAATACAAACACGATCTAATTCCATTACCACGGCTAGTTTTGATTGTTCCTCAACTTCTGTCAGTTACAGAAAAGGTAATGCTTGAGTTCAAACCTTATTAAGACAAATGGAGAAAAAGACTGAAACCAAAACTCACGAATAATGTCCCACGTTACGTATGAAATTCAGAAAGATTGATTTGCAACAACTGTTCATTTTAATCTAGATTTTGGGTATTTTCCCACTAGCTTTATAAGACTTATCGCACAGGTGAGTTTTGAGTTTCACCATTCTTTATATTTCTGGCATGAACCAACAATCATCTAATAATTTTAAGACATTCACAAAAACTCAGTTCATAATAAAAGTGTTGAGAAAGGTTGCATGCTACTTCGTTCGACATTCTCCTTGACTCTAAGGTGACAAAAGTGGTAATTTGAAGTTGGTAGTCAACTACTGGTTAGTTTGTTGAATGATTTGGTTTCACGTTTAGTCACTACACTCAACTTAATCAGTCTGCTGGCGTTAGTACATCTAAGTTACTGCGTGTTAACTTAGAGCAAGACAAGACCAACACAAAAATTATGACAATTAGTTGAACTGGATAAACATAATTGACATGCCAACTCTTCAAGTTCAGGTTTCTGCAATAAAGTCAAAAACATTTTGAGTTTTCTACTCAGAATGATTTCATGTGGCGGTACGCGACAGGCAGAACAGGTATACGAATCAACGTAGAACCTGACATTGAAGCGCACCAGTTCGTCACATTTCACAACAATATCCAAGGAAGAGGAAGAAAAAAAGCGATATTAAAGTGAAATACAATCAACAACCATGTACTAGTTGATGCAGTAGGCGATGAGCTACACCTATTGTCCAAGTGCCTTTTTGTATCCGAGCTGAGGTTCCATAAGTAATTAACGCATTAGGATTAATGCAGTCTCACAAATAATTGAGGTGGCCAATCCATTTCACCATTATACTACCTATCCTTAAACTGAGATTTGAAGTAGATCAGTCCTTATGCATCAGCTTATAAATGACAAGTCAAATGCGTGAAAAACATAAGGTTTTTGCTAAGGGCATTCGAAAGATCCCATATCTTTAAGTAGTAGGTTTAGATAGTTTAAATACTGTATGTCAACTATATATAGCCCTCTGGCTAGTTAGTCGAATCCAGAGAGACTGGAGATAGGTAGGGTTACGTTCATCAGAACGTCTATATCTATCAAGCGTTCGGTCGAATATAGTGTGAATGGATCCCAAGATTTTGCAAACAGGTTTTACATGAACCTGTAATAGATTTTGGCTACGATACTTAAACACTAATTTGTGATGATGGTAACTTACGAAAGCTCTACATATACATGTATCCAGCAATAAACTGTAATCAATAATTGGAAGTTGACGGTGATAACAGGCTACTTAAATCCTGATATGTGGAATGGGATTTAGCTTAGTGAGTCACTGGTTGAAAGTCATGTGCCTAAATTCAAGCTAGTTAATGCTTGGAAAACTGAATATTTCAACACTTACATTGATCGGAAAAATGCAGGCTGAGAAAGTCAATAACATTTTAAACAATCTTTAAAGACAACCATACCATCGTTAGTGCTTTAAACGCATGTACATATTGTATAAATGTATTTTATTCTCTAGAGTACCAGTGTTGTATATTTCAGACTAACTTAGCTGTCTTAAGTTGCTACATATCATTCTTTGAAGTAATCCATCTGAGACAATCATACGATATTCAGTAAACTACATTCGCATATATTCATTACCAGAGGATTTTCTATAAATTTAACACGGAAAAACCTATTCATAAGTGATTTGCACACAACCTGGGACTTAAATTTAGGATGACAGGATGCTTCTAAATCCAAACTTGATATAATTAACTAATAACTTGTACAAAATATACAATAGGTGTTGGTGGTGGTATTTGTCTAAGTGGAAGAAATAGACAGCATGTGTCTCTTATCTCAACACATTTTATTAATAACTTTTTATTACCAAACCGGTTTTGTTAGTGTTTTAAACTGAGCTATAAAGCATAGAGTAAATGAATTAATTATTTCACATCATTTTATTCACATGAGCAACCACTCAGAAACACAAAGAATGCTTACTATCTTCAACCACACTCATGGAATGTAGCCTGAGCATAAAAATAAGAGTTGAACGGCGACCTAAGGAATTAGTGAGAAAGCCCGACTGACTACTTCCAATACTTCGACAAAACAATAAGAAGACGTAAATTGTCTGAACCGTGTAATGTTTTTGCGCAACACATTTCGAACTATCTGATCACACACGTACTTGTCATAGGTATTTATATAAAAACTCATGAAGATAAGGGGTGAGAAAATAAAAAGGGGTCAGGTAGGAAGGCTGACTTAAAGGCCGAATAACAATGAAAATCAATAGACCGAAAAAATAATAGTACATCGAACTTGGTTTTCAATAGTTGAATTTACCAAGGAAGATTTAATGTGACAACAAATTGTTTATGAACACATAAAGGTGGTTTCAACTTCCTAATGGCTAAGGCTTCAACAAATTTCAGGATCCCTCCCCAACATGTTTTGGAAATAGGTGTAAAGGAAGTAGCCACATCAATCTTGTGACCTGTCTCAACAATATGTTTGGCGATCGAAGAACTTGGACGTCTGCTACCAACATTTATGGGTTCAGGTGATTTAATTTGCTTCTGAAGCCACTTTGGAATATGTTCCGAGGCCCTTACTTGCATGGATCTATTAGTCCTCCCTATGTATGTGTCACCACACGTGCATTTGAATTGGTAGATACAATGGGATGTGACATTATCGTTCACATGCTGTGGGGGTTTGGGGGAATATACGGGCTTCGTGGTTTCGATTACTCGAACCCTGGCTGCATAGTAAGTCCTTCTAACAGCAGCGTTAAGTCTCTGCTTAAGGATTGCACTCTGAGAGTCACCTTTGTACGGAAGGCTGATGAAGACATCCTTCTTTGGGACTGACTGCAGTTCTAGTTTTGGCGTTCTGGTCATTTTGTTCTGCCTGATAAATGTTGATGGATAGTTATTTTCCAACAAAATACCAGTGTTCCTCTTTCATCTTCTAAAGTATCCTCGGTGCATATTCGTTGAATTCTGCTGAATAAGCACCTTACTAACGTTCGCTTGCACTGAACTGGGCAAAAGCTATGGTAATTCAGATATTGCCCTGTCCATGTAGGTTTTCTGTAGATAGATCGTTTTATGGATCCATCCTGCCTTCGACTAATTAATATATCCAGGAACGGCAAGCAGTCATCTTCCTCTCACACATGTCAAGGATATGCTGTTCTGTACTTCGTTCAGTCGGTTTAGAATTGAAGTAGCCTGATTTGAGTTTTCACAAATAATCAGGATATCATCAACATATCTTCGATACAGATGGGCTTGGTCTATTAAGTTCCGGCTAAGTTCTCAACGTGTGACATAAATATGTCGGCTAGGAGGGGACCTAAAGGACTTCCTATAGCGACACCATCAACCTGGCGGAAATGTTCGCCCTCAAAGGTGAATTTAATATTGTTTGTACATAAAAGTAACAGCTGTTTTAGGTGATCCAAAGAAATGGGTATCGGAAACTTATGCACAGAAATATAACCACATAAAATGTCAATTGTCTTGACCAAAGGGACATTGGTAAATAATGAGTTAACATCAAATGAACACATAAATTTACTCTTTATTTTGACATGCTCAAGGCATTTGATTACTTCAAATGTATCTTTTAAGGAATACTTACAAAATTGCTTCTTAATGGGATCCAATAACTCCACTAGCCATTGGGCAAGCTTATGCGTTGGCGACTTACACATTGACATTATGGGACGTAAGGGGTTGTTGAATTTGTGTACTTTGGGCAAACCGTAAAGATGTGGCAATCGGGATTCGGTTGCTTTCAGTAGGGCGAATTTCAATACATCGAAATACGAAGGGGAGACAGACAAACTGACGTGAACTCTTGAACAGTACAGCAGTGACCTAAGTCATATTTCCTAACACTGCAACTAGCAAACAATATTGCAAGGGAAGCAACATACGTTTCATTAATTCAGAAACCAAATACGATCCCCTCTCACTGGCCTAAATCACTGACCATCCCAGTCCTCAACAAAAGAGAGAAGTCCCCTTGTGATAACCACACAATAATCAGCCTGACAAACATAGTGTCCAAGATCCTAGGTTCCATAATTCTCCGACACCTGAGTGGAGCTCGGGAACAGCAAGCCCGAGAAAACCAAGCAGGCTTTAGACCCGGACGCGGGTGTACCGACCAAATATTCACACTGCCCCAGGTACTGGAACACAGACACGCTTACCAACGCCCAACAATAGCTGTACTTCTCGACCTGAAGGCGGCATTCGACTCCGTTCACCAAGAAGTCTTATGCCAATGTCTCTCATTGAAAGGCATGCCGAGCAAGTACATCACCACCTTATTCAAGGCCCTCCACTAGAACACTTGTGGGCACGTTGGAGCCTATGATGAGATGTCCAGGGAGCTATGCTCATCCAGTGGTGTCCATCAAGGGTATCCACTCTCTCCATTCTTATTCAATTTTATCATAGATATTCTTATGCAGGTCTCCCTCTCGTCACCAGGTTACACAGACGTTGACCTAATCATAGGAGAAGTTTCATTAGACCTAGAATATCCAGATGACATAGTCAGTCCTGTTAAGTGAAGACACTGACAAGATGCAGAGTCTTCCGAACACTGAGTGGCAATTTGAGAATGTTTGGGATGCGGTTCTCACCACCCAAATGCAAAATTTTCCTCCAGGACTGGTCTTCAGGGGTACCGCGGTTAACAATAGAGAGTGAAATGGCTGAGTTTGTCGACCACTTCACTTACCTGGAAAGTAGGATGAGTCCTGTGTTGGTGGCTCAGTGGCCGATGAAAATTCGGCATGGATACAAAAGGCTCGGTTGGCTTTCGACAACTTACGCCACCTATGACGCCCCCCACGATATCTGATTGTCTATTGAGGGTCGCGTGTACTGCACAACAGTCCAGTCTGTTCTCCTGTAAGGCTGTGGAACATGGCCATCGAAAGTGGAAGATATGGGAAGGCTTCAAGTGTTTGACCACCGTTACCTTCGTAGTATAAGCCGTATTCCGTGGTACCACCACGTGAGTAATGCAGAATTCAGGTGTAGAATTTTAGGGAGTAGAGGTAAATCAGTTGTGACGGGGTTATGAACCTTCATCGACTGAAATGGTTAAGACACGTACTACGTATGCCTAGTCATCGATTGCCTCGTCACACAATGTAGGCCGAAGTAGGTCCAGGCAGGAAAAAGGCCTGAGGTGGCCAGACTAAAATATGGCATCAATGTATGAAGTCTCTGACTGTTGGTTTGAGCCATGTGAGGCGATGTAGACTAACCGGTTGGGGTCCGCGGGACAGGAGGAACTAGTAGCTGGAGACTCTAGGTGATATGGCTCAGAACCGATGTCAATGGCTCAGATGTATACACACATTATCCTCATCTTAACAACGCTATACCGAATCTCACCATTTTCTCATTCTTCCTTTCTCTCTTTTCGTACTTCATGTTTCTTCTGACTAAATTTCCTTATCTTAATCTTGCACCTCACTGCCTTTCTACTTGGTGTACTGTACTGAGCTAAGGCAGTAATGCCTGGTCCTATGTTGATATTGACGATGATGATGAACATACATCTCAGATGGTGCAAGATTACTATCTTCGACTGATTTACTTTTTATATTTAACCCTCCAAGTAAACTTTAATAATGCTCAGCTGGTGATCCCAGGGTACATGAGAATGTTTAGAAGACACCTATAATCGAACTCTTGCAGCCTTTACACTGTTCACTCTCACTGGTCTTGCCTTTCAGTGCGACAGTAGGATGTACTGTAGGTTCCAACATAGCTTCATTTACTTTGAACGCAACAGCTGGATAGTGTAACATACCCTCACATTCGAAAACGACAGTGTGGTAAATACACACTAATTAGGTGTTGTGCTTTTGCAACTCATCCGCTGGTAGGCATACTTAGCACAATAAAACATCTTGCGTGCTGCGATTCGTGAAAGCAACATCACAAGAAAGCCGGCAGGTAAGAAGTCCATGCTGAACACTCAATTTCGGCTGCAACGTTCAAAAGACCACATTTTGTTAATGTTCTTGTTTAGTCATGACTCAATCCGGTACATGTTTTACGTACTAACAGACGAACCGAATGCTACGTCATGATAAATAATGCTACCATATTGCTTACATATAATATCTTCGCAAGTGAGTAGAGCATATATGAGTACAGTATTTAAACGCCTAGAGTCAGTTTGAATATGGCCTTTAAAGATGGATCATAGGCTTACATTTGATTTTCAGGTATAAATAATCGACCGTGATCACCACCGCACTAAATCCGAAACAGTGAGGGAAACAGTACCATGTAAGTACAACTACTTAATAAACACATTCCCGAAAATCTCTCACTGTGCCACAAGCTATTTTCTGTAATAATAAACATTCATAAAACCGGCACACGCACTAATATGTTAAGATATGCGTCGTGGTTGTTGTGTAAGAGTTAATGATACTAAGCAGTCCCTCGGATTGAAGAATATAAAGCAAGATACGAGCACAGAACACTGCAGGAAAGTCGGACAAACCCTACTTTGTAGCTTTCAATCCCCACAACTAAACAGGACTTATCGACTATGGAAGGTAACAGCACAATGTAAAAACTCACCTCGTGTCATAAAACAGTGGTGACTGAATTAACAGCCTAGCCGGCAGATACTTCAGGCGATCTATGGAATTGACGGGTAGATATCAGCCAAACATCTTGTGGTACGCCACCGCAAACGCATCAGTATCCCCAAAAATATCAAAGATATTGCCCAAAAATTGCAAGGATTTCAAGGTCCACCGAAAAACAGTATTCGCAGTGGACCCATGGTTTTCAAAATAATCCACACAGACTCCCTAAAAGCAGAGTTCGTAACAAGTATTCACACCTGAGGATGCTTAATTGCAAAATAAGTGTGCAGCAGTTTAATGGCAACCTATAGACTTAAATTTCGTGGAATATAATTAGTTTCGAGGACGCACTCGAAAACCCCGGAATGCACATGACCAACCATATGAGTAATTATTTATAAGGTTGGGACGTAAGCAGTAAATCCTACGCGTTATATCCTTCTGCCTAGCTATCAGGGTTTTTAGGGAAGCCTTACTATCGACTTAATGTATGCCAAAAACATCGAAAATTTATAATGGAACATTAGGAGCTACTTAACTCACCAGATAACGATTAAATGTTTTGATCTCATCTTTGATTGAGGCTATAATTTCTGGCAGTATATGCTGAACCGTTTTATTGACAATCACACAATCAACAACATCCTCACTACTACAGGCTTGTCTGCTAACATACATAGTCCCGAAAAATTTGAAAAACGTTCTTTCTGGCAAGGTTGCTTTGTCTAGGCCAAATAGTCTTTAGCCTTCAGCGAGAACAATGTAAATAAATAAATAAATATTTTTATTATCATATTATGAATTTAACATGACAAAAGTCAGCTTACGGCAATAATCAAACTGATACTCGGCACGCTTTTTAAAAAGGAAGTGTAATCTAGCTGTGAATGTATGATTTGGCTTTTGCGGTGGAAAAACACAGTGAAAGCTCTGGCTTTCGTTTCATTCAAGCCTCAAGCTCGAAAAGAAAGTGACCTAACCTCGGTTCCAAGTTCGGCTGAATCGAATAACCATAAGGTTTTTACTCTTTTTCAAGTCTTAAAGGGTATTTATGTCCCCCTTTTTATGCTTTTTAAGACAGTGGTTGCCAAACAACAGCTGCACAGGCGTTGGGGCTACCGCCAAGCTGCTCGTGCCGGTACGCAGCGTAGTACCTTCAACGGGTGGTTCGGTGACTCTTGCGCAGGCTCAACGCAAACTGAGTACACTAAGCTCAGTGTAGCGTCACACACTTCCCCAAAATCAATAGCCTAGGGTTTGACGACTTTCGACATTGATGCTGACCTTGATAGTTTAACTGGACTCGCTAAACTAAAGGCACCCGGTCAAGCATCCTCGCCATTTGGCACGCTGTCGTGTTACGTTGCATTGCTCGTATTCGACTCTCTAGCCAGTTAGTTGGAACGCATCGGTATTTTGGCACAACCATCCAAATATACTATTCCATCCGACTACACTATCGTGTTCCTCCTTGGTCTTGTATTCGTGGGTATATAACAAGTCCGAATAATTAGTGATTGGTCTTTGCGTCTGTCAAGTTCGCACCAGGACAAATCCTAAATCAGTATGCCTAGTCATGACTGGCATTAACGCTTGTGTGGATTCGAGCTGGAAGATCATCTTGAGAACATCATCAACATGTTAATGGAAATAAAAACGAGACTGACAGTAGACGGAAAAGAAAAGGAAGCTGAAAAATTCGAAAGCAGTGCTTAAATACGAGGGTTTCGGATTTCGGAAACTGACTAACGAAAGAAATGCTCAAGACATCTGACAAGAGTAATGAAGCTGTTTGACAAATAACATGATGCTCCTCAGTGGTGCAATAATATCAGCGGTCCCACAATCCTTCAACAGGGTTTAGTTATCAATAGATGGAACAGAACAACACGGTCATACCGAGCTAGGATGTCCAAGATAATGAGTGGACATCCCTCATGAGGAATGAAAACAGTCAGTTTTGAACTCCAGTTAAACCCATCGGGTGTAAGACGGCAGGAAGCTTCGGAAGCAGGCTCCAGCAAGACAGCATTGACGTGGAGAAGACCAAAACTAAGCCTGCAAGAACCTCGTGTGGAAAGCAGGCCACGTGAGTCTCTCATAGACTTATCGAAAAGAAGGGTTAACTGCCCATGAAGGAGGCCAAAGTGGAATAAAAAACCCAATTTCGATAAAGAACGACCAGGCGTCAACAGTTAATGAAACAAACCACTCCACGAATTGATTCAGTGACCATCAAGAACCTGACGGATGGCCCTGATCTCCCATACAGCCCACAGGATATGGAAGATAGGGCTCTGAGAGAAAACACGCAGAAAACTTATGCAGGGCCACATTAGGCCAGTGACTGCAACTGGGCACTCACACAATCCCGGTCCAATAATTAAGGATAAGCCGGGGCAACTAAAGTTAACATTCTCTAGTTCAGATGATGTTGAGGACCTGCTGTCGGCATCTCACGTGCCAAAAGCTGAAGTGAAGTAAGGATACCACCAGATATTTTGCACTCCCAGGGAGTGACAGTGAAGAAACTTTTAGGTGGCAACCGTGAGTCATACATTACAGGAAGGAATCCGATACCTGAAAACCAAGGCACCCAGGATATTAGCCACGATGATCAGACCTGCAAACTGGTTTGTATTCACGTAACCCATGTTGTGTGAAATATATATATGTATTATTATTAGTGAGTGGAAGTTCCCTAACACAGATCGTCCCATGGCTGCACAAGAAAGATGGTGACTCCAGACTGAAGCAGATCAAAGTTGTCTTTCCTGCCTTTCAGGTGACAGCATCCACGCTGCAGGCATCCTAAGCAAACAGAAATCGCCCGCTATCTGTGGGCGTCCCAACAGGTCGTAGAACCAGGGACCGCAACTAAAACGGAAAGAATTTGGGGCTGGTAAAGGTGGTACCGCTGGAAGAAGCATCAATCTTGTCTGAACCTCTAAGTATGTTATTTGAGAATTCTAGGTTAAGGTAGAGTACCAAGCTCTTGGGAGTTGAGCCACATGACGCCAACCTTCAAAGGATGTCAATGAAGCATCCGGAAGAAATACAGACCAGTGACGCCCCATTCATACCTTCCAAAGCGATGGAATCGTCATTGCACGACGGGCTGAAGGATCGCCCTATGAAGACCACCTTCTTCATTCCTCAACAACAAAAATTTAGAAAGCAGCTCTCTCTCCCATTACTGGTCTGCCAGACACAGTCGGTAGACGGACTGGTGCCGTCGACCGTCGAGGTTGAATTCACGTTTCCCAACCAGACTTTGCCGAGGCGTTTGATCGTGTTAACCATGACTGCCTTACTGACAGATTAAAAGTAATTGGGATAAAACCACTGTTCAGTGGCTGGTTGTCTTCATATCTACGAGGTCGTCTACTCAGAGTTCCAGTGAGTTTCCCTGTCTGAGGAAACCGGACTTCCTAGCGGTGTTTTTCGGGGTTCAGTACTAGGGCTCTTCTTTTCTACTATGTGTGAACGACAAACCTCAACAGGTTTCTTCCGAAATCTCCATCGTTGCCGACGACGTGAAACTATGGAGAGAAATCGAAAGCGAAGGAAACAGTGTTTCTCTACAGGTAGATTGAAGCCGGCCTCAAAACTGGACGGTCCGTAATGGGCTGGCATTTAATCCTGAGAAATGCGAAGGGCTTCACGCAAAAAGCAATACATGTCATATATAAAGCCTCAACGGCATGGAACTAGAAGTATGGCTAACAAGGAATGACTGGGGCGCTTTAGCCTCTCAAGATTTAAGTTCTTTGCCAACTATGACAGAAATACACCATGCAGCAACTTGGAGTCGGTAACCCTGGGACTAATTTTCGGAAAGTTCGGTCGCTGATGTTTAAACCGAAGTTTTAACAGCTTCTTAACGGCCTCACCTGGAGTTAGACACTGTCGTCTTCCCCCCTTCTCTGTAGAAGAATAACCAGGCCCAGAACGCTTCCACTGGCTCACGATCAAATCTGCTTAAGAACTTAGGTCTAAAACCTATAGAGAACAACTGGTTGCTCCTGATGTAAATCCACCGGAATATAGAGGACTAAGAAGCCACTTGATAATGACTCGTGACATCCTGAGCACTCCTGGACACCCACCTTGCCATCTTAGGGAAAACATGGGGAAACTACGCCCGGAAGGTAGCAGGTTATGTATCAGACACAAGTTCCGTCCCCTAAGAGTTGTCAAACCCTGGAATGCTGTTCCTGTAGAAGTGATCCAGGCTATTTCGTCTGTAGTCTTCAAACTCCGCTCTGGTGCTCACCTGAGATTTGGGCGGGATCTGCCCATAATTAGTCGATTTTTTGCATTGTTACCGTCACAGGTTAATAACCGCAAGAAGTGATCCCCGGGTTCTGGACTCAGAAGCCGGTAAAGCGAAGGCTTATCCTATTCCACCAACAACCATTCCAACCATGTGAAAGGAGCTACAGTTCTTGGGCTCTCCTAAGTGGTACAGAAAACAGGACAGTAAACTTCACTAGAATGTCGGAGGTGTCTTCAGGTTATGCAACGGACGGAAACGTATCACTTTTCATTAGTCGCTCAGTCTCTGAATTTAGATTATATTCGTCCTTTCTTTTTCACCCGTAGGCGGCATCGAGGCAGTGCAATATTCGGTGTTTGCTTCACAAATAATCGACATTTTTGAGCCATCTGCACAGTTCGATGTTGCACCAGATAAAAGTCCGCCGTGACATCATCCCTTGTGTTTGTAGCTTCACTGACAAGGAGAAGTCCCCTCAGCGATTTCGGGAATCAGTAGGTGTAATAGTAGACTATTAGAACATAGTAAATGTGGCAGTACTTATCTTTATGAAGACAGTTTTTTGAGTGTTCACTGAAGAAGCTGCCAGTGCATGTTTCTACAACCAGCTTCCACTACGTTGGAGAACTGACACTCTGATGGGGAGTGGAGTAACCGCGTCACACCTTTCTCCCTGTTGACCTCTAGGGTAATCCGTCTTACGGCGATCAGATGGATTTGACACCAACAACACGCGCAGGGAAAACTCGTAGTCCCTAAGCTGTCGTTTTCGCGCCCTGACGATCAGCTCCCTACATGACCGCAGAAGTCTTTTTCATGACTGGGAGTGACTTTGGAGGTAGCGGTTGTCTACTTGAGGGTTTTCTTTTTCAGATTATTGGCTGGATGATGAGGAAGAGCGAAGAAAACGCTGACCAGATAACCCGACCCTTGCAGTGTTCTGAAAGCACCTACAATTAAGTATTAATCGCCCCCCCCCCAAAAAAAAAGTAGTGAGGGAATGAGAAAATAAGAGTAAAACGTATCTATGGAAGATGAATGTCACAGGTAACAATATGCCGAAGGTATGCATCATATTACAGATACCACGGATGGGTGATACAGGACAGGATGAGCCGATAAATGTTGGTTGTAAGCAGTTAGCGCTGGCGTATCTATTGAGCAGTCGCTTGAATGTGTCGCCTGACGTTGCTTCAGCTATTTCTTTCGGCAGGGTGTTCCGTGTCACACACACTTCGTGTGAGAATTTAAACCTTTCTTTCACCTTTTCTTTCTGGTAAGGCATGTGAGCGAGGCTCCCGTGGAAACGTCGGTTTTGGGCCGATAATGGTGCCCTTTTGGGGTGATCCACTTGATGGATGACCTTATAGGCTGCTGTTGGGTCTTCTCTTTTCCCTCAATGGATCAAAATGGTCAGGCTGAGTTGTCTAACATGCTTCGTGTATGTTCTGCCTGTCATTCCATTTCAGCTGACTTATAGATATATCAGCTGTCGGGCTAAAGGGTACAATATGAGAGCAAAAATTTGCATCTGGTATTTGTCTTACAAAAGAGAGTTCAATTCTTATAGGCATCGTGCGTTCAGGAGTTTTTTCCTCACTAGCTGGTAGTCCGGCTTCAAGCAACTGCAGAACGCTTCGGGCTCAGCTGCTGACAGTTTCTCCCTGGTTATCAAGGAAAATTTCACAAACATGCGATTGCTTTGCCCAGCAGAGGTCAGAAACTCATATCACCCGCCGAACGATCATCCTTGGTCACCATGCAACCAAATCGCGATCCTTTTTCATGCGGTCGCCAACAGACGTTTGTTTCAACTTTCGCCTTTAGTCCTGCTGCTGTAAAGCCAAGTTGAAGTCCTTGCCTGAAAAACCTATGTCTACATCTCCCTTTCAATCTTAAGTTGAGGGTCAGCAGATCGAAGTCTACAGCGAGGGTTACTGGTCATTAGTTGCTGAGATAGATACCAAAGCAGTATGGAGCACTTATTCCTTGTGCTGTGTTGCGCACAGTAGAGACCTGTATGCCAATCTTAGTTAGTACTTTGTGTGATTTATGGTGAAATAGCATCACAAGTGGTCTGGAAATTGGTTGAATGCACAATCAGTGGCCCCCTTGACCCTCAGGTTCGTGCTGATATTTATGGCCACTCATCCTGCTTCATGTCCCTTCTTCATGTTCGGTACGGACACTTCCCGCTTCAAACATCTGACGACAGCCATGCCTCCGCAATAAAAAGCTCATCCATATGCAGACGGCACCATGCTGTTCTCAGCTCCCGCAGTTTAGTTCTAAGATGTCTATATTACTGTGAAGGCATGCCAAAAGGCCACTTTCTGGGCTTGGTGAGGTATAGTGAATCGCATGGAGGTTTTTGTGATGGATAAAATTCTAGTTACCGGACCCTACTGAGCTGGCAGGCAGCCGTTTCCCGGTTCCACCTCACATCCTGTCGTTGGTGTAAGAGGGGTGTTTATCCTGAAGTCTACAAGAATTAGGGGCTGTCTTCTATCTTTTCGTCTGGGGGATCGTGATTCGACTTCACACTACCGTATGCCGCCTCGTGTTTGATCCTTCACGCGATACCAAGTTTCATGTGTCTCTGCAACCTATCCCTTAGAGTCGAACCGGACCGCTAGAAACCTAAGCGTAGAAATGCTTCGCAGGTGCGTGGATCTTCGTACTCTAGCTGTACCACTTTTTCCGCCAGGCATCTCCACAGATCGACATCGTGGAAGTTGCGACCGTAAATTATGAATCCCCGCCACTTCACGAACTCCGCCTGTCACCGCTGCTGCAGTCCTTTACTGATCACCGGCAGCACGCTAACTTTCCGCTTCTCTGGTAACTCGTGGCTTATCCGCCACTACCCTTATATTTAAGCCATCTGTGATAATCTTCACTGAGGTACACAAATACACCTAATTTGGAGATGAGTACTGGTGTGTGCGCATACTTTTGGTGTATTCGGAGCGAAAAGAAAGGTGGAAGCTCCTTAATGTACTCCATGAACGCTTTCATGGCACACAAGCTGGGAAATATGCTTCTCGAAAAGATAAGCGACTCTCTGTGGATCACCTTACGGAATGGGAATGCTGTCATTGGTTGAATGTGCACCGTTAGTAACCATGAGGTCCCACCGATTACAGATCCACAAAACGCACTCTCTCTTCCATATGATCACAAGATCATATGCAGTGACTTCAACTGACCTGAAATTAGGTGGGCTTCACTCAATGGTTCTGCTAGGTATGCCAATTTTTCAAGTGGACTAGATACTTTCGGATGAAAACAAATTGGTACTACTATACGGGATAACAATGTGCTGTACCTAACATTTTACTGCAACATAAGTCCTCTCTCGATGCATGTAGCCTCCAAGTCCACAGAAGGGGATCACACAATGGCAGTGTGTGCACTTCCACACCCTTCAATTAGCACCTCAGTTGATACTCGCACTCCAGAAGAAACGAGAAACGGAGACCACAATAAAACCGAATGGGTTCTCTTGTTTCCACTCATTCGGTGCGACGACTGGGAACTACACATCGCCAATGCTGGCCTCAAACCAAACCTAAATATATTTTGCTGAAACTCAAATACCTGTGTTGATACCGTTGCCCCATCAAGAAGTTCCGAAAAATTCCTCTGACCGGCAGGCAGCTGCACCCTTTACTCCTCGTAGAAAGTTACGCAAACTCTTGATGAGATGCTAGCACTATGACATCAGTAAACGCCGGACGACCCTTAGTCTTCTAAAAATCTACCTCATTTAACCGTATGATGAGTGAAGACCTCACCGCCCCATGGTTAACATACATGTAAGCGTGAAACCATTTCCAAAAAGGAGGGGTAGATTCTCCGACAAAGTACGTGCAACTTACAGCATGGGAAAGAGAATTAAGTTAAAGAGGGACATGCATACGGAAAATACAACCACTACTCGAATTCGCTTTTGTTTTTCTGCTTTTTCTATCTTTCTTTCGCGTTGTAGGCAAACGCATAGGCTCTGAGAGTTGGCTTGATCATAGATGGTACCAAATTTTTCAGGAAACAAACCTGCGCTGAAACTACCAGCCATTGGTCGTGTTACGGCGAATCCACTGGATAGCACGTAACGAAGATATGAATTTCCAGAGTTCCTAAAACCCAAAGCGAAACCGACCAAATCCGAAACAGCTGGCTGTCAAACAACAAATGCATATTAAAACAGTAAGTGAACCCTGTGAAAATTGTTCTTTGCAACAAAACACATGTACAAACTTGGCTACAAACCCTCGATTTTGGCGGCTACTGCAGTTTCTATCCAAAACGATATAAATTGGTGACACTAATCGAAACAAGTGGCTAAATACGGTTGCACAAGCGAATTGAATGAAGTCAGATGAAATGAGTGACCAACGTCTTTGAACACATTATGAGAACAGGATCCAAACATACGTAACAGATCGAAGCCTCACTACATTGATAACAGCAAACAACAGCGTACAGAAACGAATAATGCTCTTAGAACTACGGATTTATAATTGTCAAAACCTGAGATTAATTGCGAAAGTGGACGCGACAGTCCCAAACATATCGGCCAGGGTAGAGTGGGTTTAAAAGCTATCCCTAGGTGAATGTTACTCGCTTCTCTTTCCAATCCTCTTTGAGTGACAGAAATAAAGCTGGTTTTTCTTATTTAGCAGTGTTCAGGTGGGTGTAAGTAACGGAAGTTGTTATGTCTTCATAGGTTGTAGTTGTCACCATCCGCCCGTTGGAGGCGGTTGGTCGCTGCACTTTCCTTCTAGGCGTATTAGGGAACGGAAATTGGCGTTTGCGTTCAAAGCACTGGACGCTGCAAATTAACTAAGTTGACAATAGCTCTGAACCCGTGAATTCCTGCTGTTCGATGAAGTATATTGGGTTATTTAACCATACTGTGCACCGTAAGGTTTTAATATCCTTGTGTTGTGCTTACTACTGGATCCCACTGTTGTTCTCTACTGATCGATCGACATTTTTCTGTGGCACATCCCAAGCTTCCAACACTACTGCTGTGTCACTAGGTTTAAGCGGCTCATTCCATATAGTGGCGTTGTCAAATTCATTCTTCAGCTGGAAATAAGTGGGCTATGTGGCAAAGAAGCCACAACCTTGGTTTCTTCATGGGCAATGACCACCCTGTTGAAGTCTATCTCCTATCACGTGGATTTATCTGCAGAACATCCATAGCGTATCTTCATCCCTGTTAACAGTTGCTACTGGCACACCCAGTGAAGCCTAGATACATAGCATTTGGTGATTGTTCAAATGAATTTTGTAGCCAGTCACGTCCTCTGACCCCCTTTTTCTGCAGAAAGAAGAATTGACTCACGAACGCATTGAGAGTTGATTGACTTGGGTTAAAGGCCTATGGGGAAGGACTGGTAGCTCTTGAGTTGTTCCCTCTGGAACACAGAGGACTGCGAGAGGTTTCAGTAACGGTCTGCAGTTTCTTGGGCAGCCCTGGACATCTAGTCCATCCTTTCTTACCCTAATTGCAACACCAGTCTCGAATGAAACACGGAAAAGAAGCCTGGGATGCAGCAGGTTAAGCGCCAGGGGGAACTTCTAATCCCTAGGAATTGTTAAGTCTTGTGATGTTCTTCCTGCAGGACTGGTTTGGGCTACTTAATTCAGTCATCCAAATTCCGAATCAACACCTACTTATATCGTGAGCGTGAGCTCAATCATAACCAACTTGTTTTTCCTTTTGAAACCGTTTTTTCTCTCACTTTACATGGACGTAAGTTAGCAATAGAACACCAGACGTGGTCTGCTGCCTACACACAAGGAAGTCAGATAGGTGAAAGCTTATGCTATTACTTTACGAACCGTCTGAAATCAGGTTGTTTTAATGCTTCAGAAAGTCTGGTTACTCAAGGGTCTCTGAACCAGCGAGTGTTAAGGTCTGGTTCTGTGCATTGATTTATAGTAAATCCAAGCCCTTTTGAGTGGACTTAATGCACTCACTGATCGTCTTAAATACCTGTTACTGATAAATACGTTTGTAGAATCCTATGTTGAATCATCACTTGAGCAACCACCACACGTGTATTAGGGCTAATTAAGGCCTTTGGAGGTGGCCAATTGCATCTATTGCACCAACATCTATCAGAGATCTTGAACTATCACGAAAGAAAAGTGAACTTAAGTTTTTAGTAATTAACTGGCTTAATTCAGACCTGTTTAAACGTACTGGAGATCGAATATATACTAGTCTGTCCGCAGAAGCAAACGGGAAGTAACATTGTCAAGCTTCAAAATAACTTGTTTCCAACAAAATTTCAAGAAGGGGACTGCTCAGTTACATTGAAGTTTGCCAGCAAGTGTTGATGGGGCGATCTTTACCTCCCTGTTATAGATGTCTACAATCGATAGTGGGAAATAATTACAAAAGGTATGGTATTAACACTAGGCTCACAGTGTCATAAGACTAGCACTATACATTCTTCTTCTCACTTATTTTTGCTACACATGCTACCATGCTTCGCGCAAACCACTCAGCGTTGTTAAAACAGTTTTACATAGTCCCGAAAAGAAAAATGTGGACGGTACTAGTTCCTTTGGTTGGGCGCCGTTCGGTAATATTTTCTTTCGTGAATAACCGTTTTCAGATAACGAGAACTGGAGCCAACTACTGGGAGGACTTGAGTACATTTATTTGTTCACATATGCCGCTTCAATGGTCTTAAAGTGAGTTCAGTAGGTATAAATATATGTTATAGTGGTTTTCTTGCAGAAAGGGTCAATTTACGGGTTTTCTTATCACTTGGTATGTTACTTAGTGGGGTTTCCACAGTTACATTTGGACTTGCTGCGTACTTGGAAATCCACCAGTACTCATACTTCGTCCTTATTCAGGTAAGAATTTTTACATTCCAACTTTCAGGTGTTTTCTGGACTAGTTCAAGCTTCCGGATGGCCAGCCGTTGTCACTTTGATGGGAAATTGGTGGGGAAAAAGCAGGTATATTTAAATCGAAGATTTTCAACTGATACTTCATATGTATTTGCTGTTTGTTTGTGTATAGAACCTAAACAGGCCATTGCGAAATATTGTCTGAGTTTTTTCTGATTGCGCCCTAGTTTTGGGACGATGACACTATCTGAATTTATAACATGGCGAATAGTGGTAGAAAACATGAGGTGACTAAATTTTTGATCACCGTTGCATTCGTAGCATTGGAAGTGTATCATAGTGCCATTACTTGATTAACGTAAAGTCAAGTGTAGTCTTTTAGGTTAGAAAATTCAGCTGATGGGGTTGTGAAAGTGCATTGTCTCATTTGGTTGGGACATGTGCGAAGCATGCCTAGTGACCGTCTTCCTCGTCGCACAATGTTAGCTGAAGTAGGTTCAGGTTGGATAATGGCTAGAGGCAAGGCATATTTAAACATGGCACCACTTTGTTGTGTCTGCCCATTGGCTTGAGCCCAGTCAAGAGATATGAATTTCGTGGTTGGGATCCGTGTGCTAATCCTAATCAGTGGTTGGAGATTGTGGCTGATGACTCAGAAATGATCTCACTGGCGCGGGTAAATCTACACATCTTCATATTAATGGTCGTACCGAATTTCGTTACTTTTTTATTCATCCTTGTTTTTTACCCTTTTTGATTACTTTCTCCCTTTTTCCTTTATTTCTCCTGTTAATGCATTCTCTTTTGGTGTGCTGATATAAGATTTGGCAACATAGATTGGTGTGCGGTAATGGCAGGCTTCTCATCGATGTTGATTGGTTGATGGACTATGATAACTAGTCAGAAGAGCCACTGAATAAGTGTGCAACTTAACACAGTAGTCTACGAATTAAAGTTGCAACATTTCACATTAGTACGGAATGAGGAGTTGTATGGAAAAGAAACGGTAGTAAGGAAAATTAACGTGTTCGGGAAGAGCTAATGAAAATGGAAAAACGTTAGTTCCGAAGGTGATAACCGCAGTGGACATAGAATTGTCGTTGAACTTCCTCAGAATGACTGTAGATGTTTAGATTGGGTCATGTAGAACTTTCAAGGTACGTGTCTGAGGCAGTCAAGTGATATGGTTTAGAATCGATCGTAGCGGTGTGAATGGAATCTTGTTTTGTCTTGCAGTTTAGGATTTGGGACCTTCGGTCTACACCTACTAACTCATTAGTTCCGATCCCCGCAGTCAAGTAATACCATATGCTTTCATACTATGTGAATTATAACGTACTACATAAACCTGTATCAGGTCATTAATTTGCGTTGTTCTGCTCTTGCTGTGGAAATGTGGCTGTGTTGTTACTCTGTAAGCTTTTATTCCTTGTCTTACTTTGTGTTTTTTGTCTCTTAGTTTTCTTGCTGTATATTTGTTTGAGTTCCTTTCGGTCTTCCTATGTTTAGTTTAAAGGTTATGGCTTGTTTTTCTTGTACGTTGTTGACCTTAATTTGTTTTCCTAGTCAGTTATATGTAGAATCACGGGATTTTATAAGGTTCAAGTTTACTTAGGGCTTTTGATTGACTAACCTCACTCTACATATCGCTCAGTTTAAGTTGTGACTGATATTGAACGTTTCTCTTTATAACTACACTTAATATGCTATATTTAGTGCTTTTAGCATCTAAACTGGCTGTTTTGTGCACTTTTTATAGACGTGGACTCATTATGGGTCTGTGGAATTCTCATACAAGTTTAGGAAATATTTTGGGATCCGTTATTGCCGGATTTTATGTTGAAACAAATTGGGGCGCTTCATTTTACTTACCTGGTGTCATCATGATCTTCGGCTCATTGGTTGTTTATTTGACGTTGGTGGAGCATCCTAATATGGTGGATTTTAATGCAGCCGATTCTGACCGGGAAACTACAAAAACCATAGTGTTACGAAATACGTCTGAGGTATTTTACTCATTCATTCATGATACCTGCTAATGAACTGTTTTTTTAAGATTTCATCTTCATGAGAGGTGCATGCAACTGCAAATTTGTATATTTTTTTGCGGTAATATCTTTTGTAACCACAAAAACAATGTGTTACTGCATTCATTATTAGGAATGGTACACAGAGAGCTGATATTGTGAGCTCAATACAATTTTGGTCACTTTCTATTCCAAGAAAAACTGAAGAATGATTCACGTAGTAGTTCTAAAGATTAGTTCTCGACCACTTTGCCAGATGGCCTAATACAACTGTTAAAGTTCTTTACAGTATATGCAAGTTTGAGTACTTTTACACTTTTTTCCTGTTAAATAACTGGGAATTATCGTCCGCTACAAATATACACCGGTGATTTCAGTTGGCTATGTATAAAGCAACTGGCAACAGTTAGTCTCTTATCTTTTTAAGATTGCAATTTAGGTGGCCAAAATTATCTATCTGCATGCATTTTGACACACAAGGTGGTGCAACGTGTACCCAAGTGTCGGCAAAAACGACTGAGTTTTCTCAGACATTGTTAGGTGCAGGCGGAAGACAGCCGAAAAACGTTAGTATGTTACCGAAATGATATTTGAAAAGCTTCCAAAACGTCATAGAAACTGACAAGGGTGGGCGTTTAGATCTGCTGGGGCATTAGCCTTGGGTAGCTTTAAGTCTCGTTCATCTAAAAGGTTATTTTTAAACTATATCTACCCTGGTAATCCTTATCGTATTTAATGATTGAGGTCAGTATCGAGACTTTTTCTGTATTATCTTTCTTATTCTCGCACCACTATCATAATTGCTTTATTTAACCTATCCTGCGTTAATATATTTTTTCAGATGAATCTCCCCCTGTAACTACACTATTCTAACCATATGTATCATTTAATAGAAGGTTACCAGTGGTAAATTGTAGTCACTTAGACAGCTTTTGACATCTCACTGTAAATTGATGCCTCCTTCCTTAAGAACGATAGTCTGTTAGTCTAGCGATTCTTCCTACTTATTGTCAGAATGTTATTCTAGTGAAAAAAGTCAAAGAAAGGTGTGTTGATAATCCTTTATTGAGATTTGCAGTAAATCAAGCTTACTACGGTTGATTCGTTTACTTTTTGAGTTGTGTTTGCTCTTATTTGTGACTGGAACTATCTTGAGTTAGTCTTTTCATATCAGTCAGTCCCGATAAATCTGCAGAAGTTCATGGAGTCACTAACTTTTGCTTGCGAGTGATTGACTTTCACTGAATATTACACCAAATTCGTCATTTTCATGTATACATGTGTAGTCACCTTTTCCCTGAATTCAGATTTAATGCTTCCCCCTTCCAGTCGCACACAGGGGCTTCACTGATATTTGATTTGTGGGGCTGTATTGAGGAACTTCGGTTTGACCAACCAGACAATATTTGTATTTTTCAAACACTTGTAAAGACGCCTTAGAATAAAAAGTGAACACGATAGAAATCCCTATGGTGGTTGCCAGTAACACTATCGATGAACCAACGAAGATGATGATTTTTATGCTACTGAAGGTAATTTACCGTTGTTGAGTGGACCGAAGTGATCAGCCACTACTGGGATACGGGCTCCGATATCGTCTTTAATTTCAGTTTGATGGTTACGACGGATAGTGGCTAAATGAGTGCCAAATGGGGCGCAGCGCGTGTCCTGTATTCCACTGCTAGCCGCTATTTATCATTACTACCAAAGATGATCATTTCCTACAACTGCATTTTGACAGTTAATTGATCCTGATCAGCATTAACTTTAAGAACAAGGAGGGACATTGTTTCTTGTTATCCACCGACATTAAGTCAACAATGGATACAGACATATCATATCGCTACTGTTGGAGATCGACAGGGGGGTTTTTAGTCTTTTAAAGTTTGGACTTGAGTCGTCCACTGTTCTGAAGAGGTGTGCACCTGTTCCTCAATTATTATTTATTATTATTAATAAATCATCATCTTCGTTGGTTCATCGATAGTGTTACTGGCAACCACCATCGGGATTTCTATCGTGTTCACTTTTTATTCTAAGGCGTCTTTACAAGTGTTTGAAAAATACAAATATTGTCTGGTTGGTCAAACCGAAGTAGGTGAATTGTGGTGTTAATTTCCTATTCAAGGAATTCCAGGTAATTGTATAGGTTTGAGTTCGCTTACGAATCACTAAGAGTTTCTATGTAAATATACTGTTAAGCAATAGTTTATCGTGAGGACTGATAATAGAAGGGCCGTCGAACGGTCCATTGACAATGACATGATATACATTTGCATTACTGGGTGATCAACACTCATGAGAACAAACTTGGCTGTTTAGTTTCAGTCGGTTACGACCAGACCTCAAGACTGAAACCCATTGGTGATCAAGAAGATTGACAGACTGATTTTATCATATCACTCAATCAAAAAACTATGTAAATACAATGGATGAAACTGGAATATCGTATAGAATAACGGTGTATGGTCAAATCAGCGTAAATTGGGTTTCGTACAACAACCAGCTACTTCTCACCAATGTATAAAAGGTTACGTTCCTATCTTCTTTGACACAGTGAACCCTATCATTCTGCTAAACTTGTATCCCGTGTCATAGTTAAAACATTAAGTAACCTAACGCTCGCATATAACATGCGGCTTTTACCTGGTTATTTAGTGATGCTTGTGTTTTTCTCAAAGGATAAGTAACGATGTAGTCGAATGCACTGACCGCTCCACTTTAGCAGTTACATCAACCCAAACGGGCTGGTTGCTGATAGAATCTCAACTCGGATACAGAACGCGTGTTTGACATTCACCAACTTGCATCACCTCTGGCGGCGATCGACAGGATATCCGGCTACTTGTTAAAGGACGAATATATTGCACCCTAGTTTGCTGCTCTGCTATATGGTTGTGAGATATGGCCGCTAAAAGTGTAGATATGCAGAGATTACAGGTTTCCGAATAAGGATTTTTCTCAGCATTGTTCTTGTATAGTGCAATCACTGCATGTGCAATTTCGAGGTTAGACGAAGGGCACTAGGCAAGCAAGTTAGGCGATAAAGCTGTGAACCTTCATTGATTGAGGTGGCTTAGACATCCTGAGGCACTACCTACCTTGACGTATAATGTTAGCCGAAGTTGGATTAGGTTCTATAAAGGCTCAGGGTTGGAAGACCGAGATGCGACAGTAGTCCATGAAGTATCTGAGTTGATCTGAGTCATGTAGAGAGGTGTAGACTTCCTGATTGGAGTCCTCAAAGCGATAAGAATCAGCGGTTAGCGACTTTTAGTGACATGGCTAAAAAAACAGTCACAGGGGAGCAGGTGTATTCACTTCTTGACGTCTTCTAAATCTTGAATATCTGAATTAACCGTTATCTTCAAATCGCTTATTCTCTCACACAAATTTATCTGCTTTGATATTATTCTTACTCCATTCACTTATTCTTTTAATGCAACTGTAAAGTGTGTCAATCCGAACTGATGTTCTTCTTTGCGAGGCTCTAAGTCGATTTTGTCTGTCTGTAGTTTTTCTTGAGCTAAAGTGTGACTAAGCTACTATGCCGTAAATAAATGCTGCGAATGATGGCTCATGTGAGGTGAAAAGCGCTTGGTTGGAAGGTGTCACTGACACATGATCCACGAAACAAGAATGACGTTGGCTGACAGTTATCACGGACGTATACATGTGTTCTTTCTGAGCAGTATAGTGTATGAGCATCCTAGTTTTTTGGTTTGACCATTCAGTTTTCTGTTGATGAAGATAGAGACAGGTGAATAAACCCCACTGTGTTACAAATGAATCATACAAATCCATTAGTCTCTCTCTGTCTTCTAGAGAATCATTTTTAGCCTTTCTACATCGAGTTAAAAATTATATTTGCTCAATGGTACTATTACTATCGTTATTGTTATTATTGCCACTATTACTATAATTATATTTGTCTTTTTGCAGTCAAATCTTAGTCGACAAATGTCAGACAAGGATGACATGAAGCCGTTGATACCTAATTCAGAGGCCAGCCGACCAATCTCCTTCATAGATGCTATTCTGTTACCAGTAAGTTTATTCAGAGATTTCATAAGGTGCACTAAATTATACCATAAAAATTGCACAAATACTTGTATCATAATGATATTAATAATAATAATTCACAGCATGATGTTGTACAGTTCCCTCTTTCTGTTCTTCGATGGTTACAAAAGAATTGACCAGATAGAAACCAATTTCCCTCGTTTAGATGCAGGGTTTGAAATTTTAAATGCAATGTGCGGGTTTCACCATAAATCTGGTTAAATGAGTTTTTGGCATCACTCTAATTATATATGATGCAGTTTAAGGTTTATTGGGGGTTTTATTTTTAAGATAGTTTTCATTACAGACTGACATCAGTTAGAGAGCCATTAAAAACCTGGGAACAATGGACAGCTAAGTCGTCGTAGTGTGGGACTCAGCGGTACACACCCACGGACCCTGCTAGGGATCGAACTTAGGTAGACTTCCTGAAGTTCTAATGAGAAACCGTAAACTGTAAGGTCAACCAGTCGCGAGTGAAGCGGACACCAACTGAAGGCTTTGGTGTATAGCTGCACTATATTCCAAATTGACAACAGGAAACTGTGGACCATTGAACTCTGACTTCGTGGCTGGATGGCTAACCCGTTCGCCGTGAAACTTGGAAGTCCTGAGTTGGATCCCTGACGAGGCGGGGTTGGGTTCTGCTGTGGAGCCCCACACTGCGACGAAACAGATATCCATTGTCCCCTGGTTTTCAATGGTTCTTCAAGTAGTCAGTCCGTGATGAATACTACTTCATAATTGTGATGCACGATAATACTAGTAATTTAGCTCAGTTGGTTTATGACTACCCAGCTGTCAAGTCAAAATTGAATGGAGCGCATGGTGAAATCTGTAAAATTGAGTGCTCAAACAATGAGTCACGCTGTATCTCTGTTATTGTGGCCTAAATAACTTGATATTAGAGTTTCTAACTTTGCCACTGAGTGAAACAAATTCAGAATATTCAAGAGATAAATGCGTTTTGGATATGAAATATCACACAGTGAAACAGTATGACTTATTAGATAAAGTTTCGAACAGAATTTATTGTTCATATTCATATTTATCCAGTAAGTAATACTGTTTCACTGTTTAAAATATCAAATAAACAGCTTAATGTGGAGTTATACGCTACCACATTGCTCAAATCCTAATCTTACAGCAAGGCTAACAGAACTTTTTTGATATATATCTAAGTTTACAACGATAATGTTATCAGACATTTGAAGGAGTCAATATATATGTACTTCTGTTGCTAGTCTAGCACCGGTTTCTTTTATTTCATGGGTTGTAAGCAAACACTTTAAGGTTTATGTAGGTAGTGTAGGTGAACAATTAGTAACCTAATTGTTGAGAATGTTATATCCCCAAAAATAAACGTTTTATGCTTACATTTTATAAATTTTGTGCCTTCTGTCATGCATGCATCCTTCAATTTTACCGCCTTTTTGAATGCTGTTTTCCTTTGGTTAGCCTCTAGCCTTTAATATGCTACTTTGACTGTTCGCTTCAAGAGCACTTACGTTGTATACAAACGCAAGAGTTGTGTCCCTAGGTTCTTACCTTCACACTTGGATTAAAGTTAACTTGATTCAGTCCAATAGTGTTTTCTTCTTGTTTTAGCTGAGGCAGTTGTTAGGTATCTTATCGTTCATCCAGTAACTAGATTATGCATCCTCAATTAACCGTATCCGAGAATCTCAACACTAATGACTTGCTGCAATACCTTCGTCTGGTATGATAGTGTTGTTTTCATTTGTTTGTTTGCTCTTTCTCTCAATTTATCTTGATTTGCTGGATTGAAGTGTGATGAGCTTGATGATTAGGTAATTATACCCGGTCTTTTGTCATCCAACGCACTGCTACTTTAGGGAATGTCTGACTTTAAGTTACACGCGTTCAAGCCAAAATATGTGTAGTGGTGAGGCTGGAAATTTCTTTCAAAGAACTAATCATTGGTCAGAAGTGTGTACACAGTATGCTGGTATTAGGCTGGTTGTAAAACTCATCTAATCTAAAAGGTTTATCAATTATTTCCTACTTTTTTGATTGGTAATAAAAACGTCAGTTGTTTGTTTTCAGACATATTTTTGACTTTCTTCACCGCTTCACCCCACCTCCCACATCTACCTCGGTATACTCCTCTTATTTATTTTACAGAATGTATTCACTTACTCAGTCCTCCTATTCTTTGCAAAACTTGTTTCCTACACATTTCTTTATTGGCTTCCAAATTATCTGACTATCGTTGAACACGTGTCAGCTGGAGAGGCTGCTCAGCTTTCGATACTATTCGATATTGGCGGAATAGTTGGTGGTGTATTGATAGGATGGCTTAGTGATGCTCAGGTAAGTCTTATGTCATTTATTTCAAAGTCGATCGTTAGAAATTGATAGTAAATTCGTATTTTGGTTTGTCCCACCGGTCACAGTTTCTCACTAGAACTCCGGGACTCTCTTCTGGAAGCACTAGATGGTAATTCGGTCTAGAGGTTTGTAGGGACTCATCTACTGACTTCAAGTTGGTATTCATCACGAGATGCCATCGCTGAGGGTATTGGATAGCTGTTTCGTCGTAGTGTGCGACTTCTCAGCAGCGAGCACCCGTGACCTCGCTTCGTCAGCAATCGAACCGAGGACCTTCAGGTTCTGTGACCAGTAAGTTACCATTGAGCTACTGGGTTGGAATCCAATGGTCCATATTTCCAATTTCCGTCAGTTTATGACAGCGCGATCATCACCCAATGTCATCGTTGAGTATTTGTTCTCATAGTCACCAGGTTTGCCCCACCGGTCACAACTTCTTATTAGAAGTTCAGGAATAATCACCAATGACCTTCATAACTGATAGTTCTAGTATCATTGTACAGTTTCGGTCTACCCTACTTGACGGACTTACTATTCAATACCATAAAAAGTACTGCAGTGCTTGATTAAGTGATGAGTGTTAATTTTCAGTCTCAGTAGGAATGAGCATCAACTCACTGGAGTATATAGCCATTATCTGACTGTTGGCTAGGATAATTATTCGATTTTAAAGTTTAATCAAAAATGATAAATAAATACCAAATAAAACGAATTTCTATGGTTACATTGACAAAGATAGTGATTTACATCCCTGATTGCTAGTAGTAATACTACTACTGCTTCTATCACTAGTAGTAATGATATTCATATTTTGGTCATTAGTTCATGTTCCTGGGAGTGTTTCTGGTTCAGGCAAAAAGACGTTACAAGATAAATTAAAACATAAGGATATTACACACCACCTTACTCTCTCTCTGGGATTGTTGTCTAAAAAGGTTCATACTGGTTAGAATTAAAAAAGTGACATCAGCTGACAAGATCACTGTGTTGTGTATGCGTTAACATATAAGGGTAAACAAGTCAATAAACATAATATTACATGAAGTTGTTTTTATCATAGCTTTAGTGAGCACAGATTGTCAGTCAGTTTTACTATTTATTATTTATGTTGACTGGATAGAGGCAATCAACAGGAAGCCCTGGCCAACCTAAGTTTCGTGCTTTTTAGCACTCATCAGCAAAACGTATCAGAAACCTTGACGGAATTGAGATTCGAACCCCTCGAATGCCAAAAAGCATGAAACATAGGTCTCGCATGACTTTCTGCCAAATGCCTTCATCCAACTAACATTTCTTTCAGTGCATCGCGATGATGAATTCCCTAGCCTTGTGACCACATTGCAAAATACTCGACCAAATCCGATCAGCACTTCAGATTAGATAACATGAAGTTGTTTACCCTCTAGTAACCAACCAATCTATTTGTTAGTTGTATTAAAGTGCTGTAAACAGCATTCTTATGATACATCTACTACTTTTCTTCCTACTGTCTTTGGTCTTCTGTCCCAGTTGAATGCACAGAACCGTAATGCAGATGAAAAGACAATTCGAAGACGTGCTTTCGCCTGTGCTGTTATGCTAGCTTGTGCAGCACCTTTGGTGAGTTAAGATTTTTGTTTGTCTCAATATGGTTTGAGTTTGTTATTTATTGAAAATAAATTCACATTTTTTTAATGTAACAGTAATGATCTCTGCTCAACAGTTTGTATATTTTCTATACTTCCTTTGCTTTATCCATAAGTGCGTTTGCATTTTGGTTAGAAGTCATTCATTGACGTTGGTTTTCCTTTTTCCCATTATTAACCACAGTTTAATTGCAATCTCGTAACCAGTATGGCTGTCTTCCATATAACGTAATACTACCAAGGGTAATTAATAATTCTAAGTGCTGCCACTCACTACCATTTGGAGGAACATTCACAACAGTAACGGTGGTACACTGTAATAGTGTAATTATAACTAGACAAACACTTACCGCTTAAAGTGAATCACTTATAACTAGTATTTGAAACTTCTTTCAAAAAACAAAATCCCGTAGGAGAAATTAATGCTACCAAGTACCTGATTAACTGAGGAATGTTTCGAGTTGGGGGTCTAACAATCTGGTTACACACCTGTGTTGGCTGTTCACTTGGTTCGAAGACAAAAAGCAAACCAGTGCCAGAAATAATTTTGTGGAATAATCTTCGTCAGAGTGCTTGTATACAACTGGGAACTTTCCTTTTGTTATTCTTTGTCTTTTAACTAAATGCAGTACGGCAACGTACTGGCGACGGAATTTGGAGGTTCTGGGTTTGACCCTGATGGGGTCATAGGTGCGCACTGCTGAGGAGTCTCATACTAGGACGAAATGGCTGTTCAGTGCTCCCAGGTTTCCAGTGTTCCTCCAACTGATCCCACTCCATGATGAATACCTACTTAAAATCAATAAATCCTAACAAACCTGCAAATTGAATTCATCTAGTGCTCATTGGCGACTGGCTTCTGGAGGTGATTCCTCAAGTTCCAGTGAGAAGTCGTGACCGATAGGGTAAACTTGATGGACGTGAGGACAAATACTCAACTATGATACAAATTGGTGGTTATTCTATGTCGTGAACTGACAGAAGTTGAATTCCGACCCAGTCGCACAATGGTAACGTGCTGGCCACAGAACCTGACGGTCCTGGTTCGATCCCTGGCAGGGGGTGGGTGCGCATTGCTGAGTCCCATACTAGGACGAAACAGCTATCCAGTGTTTTCGGGTTTCTAATGTTCCTCCAACTGGTGTCAGTCCATGATGAATGCCAACTTGAAATCAATACATCCCCACAAATCCCAAGTTGAAGAAAAGCGGTGTCATAACTAGAACTCTTGTAACAGTTCTACATACTTTCATGCTTGTTTGCTGCTTGAATGAGACGGCATTAGTTCCCGAATTTCCGGGAAATTCTACTGTTCCAGGGACAGGAAACCGACTTTTCTATGTTGGGGTTATGGCTCATTAGTTCTGGGTTCTAACCCGTTTCCACCCACCCACATTTGGTTAGCTAAGTAGTATCAATAGCTGTCACGCAATAGGTATGGCTCACTACTTACTCCACGGTTGTGTACAAGGCTGCTGAGTGCATTTGGATTCGGTTTGAGTTCCCTTTATGAGCAATAAATTGTGTTCGAAATATCATTCAGTAGATGATACTATACTGTCTCCTTAATTGGTCTATTTTACAAACAAACTAACACAGAATTATAATCTACCACAATGCCCAAGCTCTACGCCTGTATAGAAGTCCTACGTAGTCTCACTTTCAGTTTTTTTGGATTAAAAACAAAGTTTAGAACTAGGCCATTGTTTGTGATATGAAGTGTCTAGTTGACTTTTCCAAGTTATCATATTTTGAGGTTAAGCGCTATAAATAAATATACTTATAATTCTACGGTTTATTATTTTAGTTACTGGTTTATCGTTTCATGACCTCTGCAAACTCATTCATATCACTATGTAAGTCTACACAATACTGTTTATCTTTTATCGGTATTTAATTCCCATTACTCTTAAGATAAGTACAGTAAGTTATTTATGTTATGATTCACGGTATATATAACGATACAATGCTCCGACACAATACGATGAACGACAGAACAATGACTTCTCAACTCGATATTCAGCTGGCATCAGAAGAAGACGATGGTATTAAAAGTATATTTACTTCAACCGAATAATTTCGTAGCTGAAAGCTCAGTCGTTTATATATCCTTAGATGGCCTTGGTCAAAGAAAACAAGATAGCATACTGAAAGTGTAAAATGGACCAATCAGCGTTTGGTATCCTAAGCTGCGGTAAAAATAAGTAACGTAGCATAGGGCAAAAAGGGCGCGAAAATAAGGTTTGAATTTTACAATGATAATATGAATATATTATAAGTTAGTTTTTTTTAGCGATCAGACATCCCTAATAATTTATGTGTTATCCCTTGACTCAGTCGGTCATTAATTCCCCCATAAAATCTATCACAAGTTGTGTTATCAAAAATTTCAGTAATAATTTTCACCTTTTTTTCCACAGTTTCGCTCAACATTATTATTATTATTATCTTTCTTTCAAACATATACGTTCTATAATCTTTATTTTGGTAGTCACCTGGACTTTAATTCTCACATGACGGTAAAACTTTCGTGACTGATTTGCAGCTGCTGCCGAAACAACAAGTATAAACGAGGCTTAAAAATATATTGACTTCATGAATATAAGACTTTGTTGTCACACAGCTACACAGTATGTCGGATAATATAATTGGGGAGTGTTGAAACCATAGTGCTGATACTAAGATCTGCCGGCTTTCTTGTGATGTTGCGTTCACGAATCGCAGCACGCAAGATGTTTTATTGTGCTAAGTATGCCTACAAGCGGATGAGTTGCAAAAGCACAACACCTAATTAGTGTGTATTTACCACACTGTCGTTTTCGAATGTGAGGGTATGTTACACTATCCAGCTGTTGCGTTCAAAGTAAATGAAGCTATGTTGGAACCTACAGTACATCCTACTGTCGCACTGAAAGGCAAGACCAGTGTAAAGGCTGCAAGAGTTCGATTATAGGTGTCTTCTAAACATTCTTATGTACCCTGGGATCACCAGCTGAGCATTATTAAAGTTTACTTGGAGGGTTAAATATAAAAAGTAAATCAGTCGAAGATAGTAATCTTGCACCATCTGAGATGTATGTTCATCATCATCGTCAATATCAACATAGGACCAGGCATTACTGCGTAACGGTCCGAGTTGCCTTAGCTCAGTACAGTACACCAAGTAGAAAGGCAGTGAGGTGCAAGATTAAGATAAGGAAATTTAGTCAGAAGAAACATGAAGTACGAAAAGAGAGAAAGGAAGAATGAGAAAATGGTGAGATTCGGTATAGCGTTGTTAAGATGAGGATAATGTGTGTATACATCTGAGCCATTGACATCGGTTCTGAGCCATATCACCTAGAGTCTCCAGCTACTAGTTCCTCCTGTCCCGCGGACCCCAACCGGTTAGTCTACATCGCCTCACATGGCTCAAACCAACAGTCAGAGACTTCATACATTGATGCCATATTTTAGTCTGGCCACCTCAGGCCTTTTTCCTGCCTGGACCTACTTCGGCCAACATTGTGTGACGAGGCAATCGATGACTAGGCATACGTAGTACATGTCCCAACCATTTCAGTCGATGAAGGTTCATAACCTCGTCGCAACTGATTTACCTCTACTCCCTAAAATTCTACACCTGAATTCTGCATTGCTCACGTGGTGGTACCACGGAATACGGCTTATACTACGAAGGTAACGGTGGTCAAACACTTGAAGCCTTCCCATATCTTCCACTTTCGATGGCCATGTTCCACAGCCTTACAGGAGAACAGACTGGACTGTTGTGCAGTACACGCGACCCTCAATAGACAATCGGATATCGTGGGGGGCGTCATAGGCGGCGTAAGTTGTCGAAAGCCAACCGAGCCTTTTGTATCCATGCCGAGTTTTCATCGGCCACTGAGCCACCAACACAGGACTCATCCTACTTTCCAGGTAAGTGAAGTGGTCGACAAACTCAGCCATTTCACTCTCTATTGTTAACCGCGGTACCCCTGAAGACCAGTCCTGGAGGAAAATTTTGCATTTGGGTGGTGAGAACCGCATCCCAAACATTCTCAAATTGCCACTCAAAGTGTTCGGAAGACTCTGCATCTTGTCAGTGTCTTCACTTAACAGGACTGACTATGTCATCTGGATATTCTAGGTCTAATGAAAATTCACCTGTGATTAGGTCAACGTCTGTGTAACCTGGTGACGAGAGGGAGACCTGCATAAGAATATCTATGATAAAATTGAATAAGAATGGAGAGAGTGGATACCCTTGATGGACACCACTGGATGAGCATAGCTCCCTGGACATCTCATCATAGGCTCTAACATGCCCACAAGTGTTCTAGTGGAGGGCCTTGAATAAGGTGGTGATGTACTTGCTCGGCACGCCTTTCACTGAGAGACATTGGCATAAGACTTCTTGATGAACGGAGTCGAATGCCGCCTTCAGGCCGAGAAGTACAGCTATTGTTGGGCGTTGGTAAGCGTGACTGTGTTCCAGGACCTGGGGCAGTGTGAATATTTGGTCGGTACACCCGCGTCCGGGTCTAAAGCCTGCTTGGTTTTCTCGGGCTTGCTGTTCCCGAGCTCCACTCAGGTGTCGGAGAATTATGGAACCTAGGATCTTGGACACTATGTTTGTCAGGCTGATTATTGTGTGGTTATCACAAGGGGACTTCTCTCTTTTGTTGAGGACTGGGATGGTCAGTGATTTAGACCAATGAGAGGGGATCGTATTTGATTCCCATATACTAGCTGACATTTCCGTTAACCTGACTAAGAGCACTCTACCACCATTCTTTTATACCTCAGCAGGTAGTCCGTCTGGTCCTGTCGCCCTTCCTCGTTTCAGGTTACCTGCCGCTTACTCGACTTCCGCTAGTGTTTGAGGACATATCTCAATGTTGCATTCAGGATCCGACTGTATAGCAGGCAACGCAATGGTGTCTGGAGGCCAGTTAAACTGTTCGTCGAAGTATTCTGCCCATCGTTTCAGTCGTCTCCCCTACGAGTGAAATGCAGATCCTTCCTTCTCCTCTATAGCCTCACTGACTGTTGTTGACCTTTTCCTCCCCCCCAGTTTCCTTAATAAGTCTAAGTAACTGTCTACTGTAACCGATTGCCGTTGCCTTTTGCATCTCTTTGGGCTTCGCTGCCCACCACTGTTCGCAATCGTTGCGTAGACTTTTAATCAGTCTACTTTTAAGTTGCACTAGCTCTTCATTGTACTCAGAGCGTGGAGGGATGCATTCACGTGCATCCATTAGTTCGGAAGAAGTTGCTGATTATCCATCAGCTCTTTTTAGCCACTATTTTGGAGTCGGTTACAATCTTCAACGCTGCTTTTAAGTCCGCTGTAAAAGCAGCGTTGAATACTGAAGATAAACAGGCAGATGGACGTAGAATCTGGTAAAGAAGTACGTGTCAATTCGAGTTGTTGCGTGTCATGGCAGCAAAAGAATACATTGGAAAAAGTGATACTACGGCAAACAAAAGGGTTTAAGAGAAAAAGGATTAAGTAGGTGAAGGTTAACAGAATCATTTGTTGTGAAGATGATAAACAATGTGTACATCCGTGTCATCGTGACCGATTTTAAAGTTTATCACTGAGATCTAAGTAATTTCTGGTTGTCACACAACATCGGTTTCTTTTTCATCTCCGCCTTCTCTACCTTCCACTACTTGGAGTCATCAGATAGACACGTAGTCAATTTACTTTTAGGTTGCTTTCCCTCATGTTTATGATTAAAGCCAGCCAGAAAGAGCGGTAGATTGGCTTTCACTAACTTTCCTATGTAACTTATTTACTGTTTACGGAGAATGAATAATTCACCGAATTCCACCTGAATGAGAGTTACTGTCATGTTTGGATAAATGCTTAATTACAACCTCCCTAAATAAGCACTTGATTTTCTCATCTTCCAGGCGAACACAAAACAGTTTCATTGCTGTTTTTTTCTATAGGATCAAACACATACTTACCTGGGCTAACGTGTGATCAGAATCCAAGCAAGTACTTCGAAAAACGTGACTGTTCTCCACTGATCCTCTCTAACGGTTGTTTACAGCGATAAGATCTATGTTAACGATTGGCTTAATGTCGGTGGCTGCCAAGCGAGACAGTATCTTTTTGAAGAAGAAGTTACTGTTCACCAGAAACGAGTGGTTGTCAGGTGAAACTTGTAGGCGACAATCACTTTTGTCGGTTAGTTGACATGGAATTCGGTAGGTGCTGATATGGCGTCTTTCCTGTTAACTCAACTGCTCTACATGAACACTGTTGATAGTTTATAAAATAATTGTGTACAGACGTTTTGCCTTGTGTCATTTAACTGACAGGTTTTCAAAAGTATAAGTGTAAAACTTGGGCACTGTGGTCGATTATAATTCCATTTTAGTCTGTTTATTAGAAATATCACACGTTTTGGACACAATTTATCAGGTGATATGAATATGGACAATAAATTGTGTCCGAAACGTTATCCAGTAAGTGCTACTGTTTCACTGTGTGATATTTCCAATAAACAGACTAAAATGGAGGTTTTCAAAAAACTCATTATTTTTTATATCAGTCCAGTTGTAGTTGGTAAGCTCATAGGCGGTGGGCTATAAATCAACATCGATGGGTTTCACGTTCCTTTCTAGTTGCTGCAGATTCATTCAGCTGGGCAATGCATAGATGGCTATCAACTAATATTCAGACGAGAAGTATACTCTCCTCCTTAACTCGTGATACAATCCACGTGAACTGGTTCATCGTATTTTCAGACACTCATAGGGAGAATTTTGCAAATTCAATACATTAACCCAGTGAATAACTACACTTGAGTATTGTATTCATGTCTCAAGAGCATAGCATACATTCATGATCCGATATGCCAACAACTGAAAGCCGTTGTCCTGTTATTAGAATAAGGTATTTGTAGATCAGCAAGTGTTCAGTTACTTTAAAATACGTGTTGGTATATCACATTTTCTCAGTTTGTATAATTCACTTCCCAAATATAGGGGAGATATTGTTGTTATGATACTTGTAATTTGTCGTTGCTATGTAGGGCCGAATTGCTTGACCTCTATTGGCAGATGGGCCCCTACGTGAATATCTCGATACTGCTAAATATTCATGATGTTATATTGGTTTTGGAGATTAACAGAGAAATCTAGGACGCGCGTTTCGTCCTATTTGGGATTCGTCAGCTTGATAACCTGCACCTTCAGTGAATGATGCTGTTCCTACTGAGACTCAAACCTAGTACCCATCGCTTCAAATACCAGTGGCTTAGTGGATAACGCTCTGGGAACTGGGTTCTAGCCCCAGTGGGAATAACATTAGTCACTGCGGTGCAAGTATATCCAGCTGACGGGTCCCAAACAGGATGAAACGTGCGCCCTGGATTCCTCTGCTAGTCACCAAGATCAATAAAAAAGAGATAATTTACTCTTTCTTGTGAATGGTAGTTTTCTAGTACAACTTACTGAAACTGTTAATTTTTTTACCAATCTGTCTATGGCTTTCCTAAGAATTTTAATGGTGCTTTAGAACTGAAGAACTACACTATTAAGCACCCAATCAACTGTGAGACATGATTATGACCGAATCTTCAGTCTCTGCCAGTTTCTGTAACATAGACAAACTTACTACTAGTACTGAAATCTAACCGTACTGATGACACTTAGTGGCATATTTTAAAAAAAAATATCTTTACTCTTAGTTGTACTTACATGTTGTGGAGCAGCAGTCAATGGACCTTATGCACTAGTAACAACTGCTGTATCAGCTGACTTGGGTACTCAAACAGCCTTACAAGGACGAGCTCGTGCTTTGGCAACAATTACAGCTATTATCGATGGGATGGGATCATTAGGTAAGTTTATAAACCTAACAAAATTCAGAGTCTTTCTTTTTTTTATTTATTAATTTTGATAACCTTTTCGTCTTCCAATTACGCTGTCAAAATCAAAGTGTTTGGCACTTCTAATGTTGATCATTACCATTTTTAATAGTATGCAGCTTGGTTTAAGAATCTTGTAGCATTTTCGAGTTAATGATTTTGAGGGTGCAACTAGTCCATCTTCTTATCTAACTTTATCTCTAGGGGAGTTAAACGCATTAGCTTCTGACTATGTTCTGTGAAAGAAAGAATCCCAAATGTTCATCCAGGAATGACCACATCGTCATGAGTTCATTGAGTATTTAGAATGCTGCCGATTGAATTCCAACTGGGAAGATCATAATAATTAGTATATTTCTCACAACAATCGAAGATTATTATCAGAGGTTTACAGTGTTCACTTTTTAGTAGTTTCTTAAAACCACCCTAGTGGCTGCACTAGCGGCCGCTATCGAATAGTAAAAGCTATGAAATTTGTATCATTCCTTTTCGCTGGGGGATTGGATGTCTTTGGAAGCTGTTGCCAGTTGGTTCCTAAACTTGGTTAATTGTCTATTAACCATGCAGACAGTAAGGGCTGAAATCCTTGGTTGCTGCCGTCTGACCATATTGAGAGGAGGGTTGATATAAGTAGACTGATGAGTGTGAGATTTGGCCGGCCTTAACGGGATAACGCAAGCCGAGCACTCTCTCTGCTATCCCTGCTCGGAGGTAAGGGTAGATATCCGGAACTTTGTGGTCTTCTCTGGTGGTAAAAGTGTATGGTCTGATGTGCATACCACTTCAGTGGATGTGCACCCTCGTAGAAGGTGTCCTCATGGTCGGTAACGTTTAGTCGACCTAGGAACCCCGGGGAAGGTCTAGCAAATCGAAGTAGTTTATTACAGTCAAAAGAAAGCTATTAAGTATTTCTTTCTAAAGTTTTTCTTCAGTTGATGACCACTTTAAGGATCAGTAGTATTATAGGATGAGTACTCAGCTGAAGTAACTAAACTAAGTACAGAGTCGACCAACATAGGTTTCCTGCTTACTAACACTCATTAGCATCTTCAGGATTGAAGGATTTCGAATGATATAAAGTACTCTCCTGATATCCTAGGTCTAAACAAACAGTATTCCTCATTCACTCTTAGGCTTTATCTGTTTACTTTGATTAATTAATTAACTTGAGTAAATAGGTTTAAGACAATTGACCGTAAAGCTTAAGATCGGTATTTATTATCTAATTAAAAATAATGAATAATTTCTTTCGCAGTGATTACTACTTAATATCGCAGACAGTAATCAATTAGTATTAATAAGTCCGTTGACCTCATCTGTTTGCTTTTGTGTATGTATGAAGCTTTTTCATGCAATTCACCCTAAGAAACATTGATCATTCCCTTTGCTGAATATGTGATCGAACAAGTAGAAGATTAAAGAATGTTATTGAGATAGGCAATCTTGATTACCTGCCTATAACTGAAAAGCTTTATTCATAGAGTAGTTTATTTTGAGTATAGAAAATATAGAACATAGAAAGATATGCAGTTGACTGTTTATTGATACTGGGGTGCAGGTACATCCACCGGACGAGTCCTAAGCGGGACGAAACTCTCGTCTTGGATTCCATTGCTAGCCACCACCATTATCCAGTTGAGTTTATGCATGTCTTTGGAAACATGAAAGCGATCGTTACAGTAGATAATGTTGTATTGGTTCTATCCAATCAGCTTCTCATCAAATTGCTCGATTGTGATAAAGTATTGTCCATACATTTACCATCTGTCTCATCTGACATAAATTGTTCACTGAATGGTAGGTAACTCATGTCTTCAAAACTGACGAATGTCTAAACTGGAAAAAGCCATATAAGCGTGAACAATGTTCTTTTCAATCAGCTTTCATCAGACTTTACACTAATATACATAAACTTTTCTCATATATAAAACATTAAACCAATCATTATTTAGTTTATGGTAATTAGAAAATGAAGCATGCTCAGACAAAAGACAAACTAGCCCGGTTCTGCCACTTCTATGTGCATTTATCAATTCAGCTGTTCCAGTGGAGAAAGCTCTATTGGGCATACAACTAGTCAGCTTAACAAACGTGTTACTGAACACCTACCATCATAGCTAGGAAAGGGATAAATGAAGTCAATACAAAGTTCAATTCTGTGACATTCAGTCGACAGTAGTCGTGTAAAAGACAAAACCAAAGAGTTCAAAATCATCTATCTCATTCCACAAAATCTTCTGAATAGAATTCGAACTCGTATTTTACATATAGCTGAGACTTTGTGCAGAGAAAGTTTGTTCAGCCTTTATGTCTGCCTTGGTCAGAGAAAACCTAATAAATAACTTCAAAGATAAATTCAATTTTCATCCTCTTCCGCTTTCTTCACCCCTTTCACATATGTTTATTTATTTATACTCGGTGATGATTGAAGGTGAGATGAAAATCTGGACCGCGGCCGGATTCGAACCAGCGACTATTGGGTTTATTTATTTGTTTAGGCTTTGATTATCTACACATTTCATCCTTTGGTATTACTTAACTTTTGTTTTTCCAAGTTTTGATCGACATTGTTTCAATGTTTGCAGTACCACGCTGTTCCCATTATTCTTACCATTTTCGGGATAATTACTATATAGTAATGATGAATAGTGGCTAGCAGTGGAATCCAGGATGCGCATTTCCATCATTATTACATGGTTAAGAACACAGGCAATATCGAGGTATCTGCACAGGAGCCCATATTTCAACAGAGACTGATCAATTCGATTCAATCAACGACTGTGTAATACAAGCAATAACACTAATTACTATTATCGCCATTATTTTTATAATTGTCTAGATATCTATTATTTACATGCTTCTTTTCCTAATTACCACAGACTAAATAATCCACCTTGATTAGTTTAATGTTTTATATATAAGAAAATTTATTTCAATTAACGTAAAGTCTGATGAGAGCTAATTGAAAACAATATTGTTCACGCTTATATGTCTTTTTCCAATTTTGATGAATGTCTGTCTGTCTGTCTGTCTGTCTGTCTGTCAATTCGTGCAATGTAAGCAAGTGAATAATGACCATTTTTAGTTGATACTCTGTTGTTTGAATCACACTTATTGTTTGATGAATATATATACATAGGTACCACCTGGCTCCTCAATCTCCTTGGTAGGCAAAATTAGCAATGTAAATAAATGTGGAGAGAAAAAAATGTTATCTCATTGTAGCGATTCACCTATAAAACTACTTTTAACCATCAAATCGTCTTTTTTTTTACTAACTTTATATTAAGTTCATGATATCCAGAGTTGGGAGGATTGTTGTTTTGGCTTTGAGTAGCCTAAGATGATAGAACTTAGTATATAATAATTGTTTGCAGTGTACGATTCACTGAGAATGTGATTTTGATTTGTGACTGAATGGTTTAGGGAGTTCAGTTTCAATTGGTTGGTCGTCGGTTCGAACACTACTCCATTTACCATGGTTTGGGCAGTCAGTTGGTATCATTAGCCCTATTACAACAGATGCGGTTCATTCTTTACTGTATGAATGTGTACGAAGTTGTTGAGTTTATTTCAGTTCGATTTTTTTCATTTTATTTTCTTCATAGGTGCTGCTCTGGGTCCACTTCTTACAGGTTTATTAGTACCATTTGGGTGGTCTGTTGTATTTAGCATGTTGATTGTATCCGATTTATTGGCTTTATTAATGTCAGTATGGATAATCATTAATTCACGACGTCGACAAAAACGTCACGGAACTCAATCAACGATTCGTACTTAGCCTTGTACCAAAAATCTAAAATGAATCCATGTCAGTTATATACATAGAGTGGTATCTTTCTTTCTAATTGATATCTTATCACATATCACCATATAATTTGTGCTGATGTTTTGCTTTTTTCTTGTTTTACTGTGTTACGTCTTTCATGAAAATGTCATTTTCTAATTCAATGACCGACATATCATGTATTCTACCTTTGTAGGCATTAAATGTTTTATTTGTTGCGAAGAATTATGCTTTTATCGACTGTTCTTTGTTGTAATTTGTTTTTTGTATGTTAGATATAATTTATTTAGCATACTAGTGACTTGTTAGTGAGTGTTATTAATTTCTCACGGTGATATCTGTTATGCACTAAAAGTAAATAATAATAATAATAATAATAATAATGGTTGTTTTTGTAAGCTATTGGCTTTTATTGCAGTCGGTGTCACCACATGAGTAACGCAGAAGTCAGGAGTAGATTTTTAGGGAGGAAAGGGAAGTCAGTTGATAAAGTTGTGAACCTTCATTGAGTGAGATAAGATGGCTGGGACAGGTGTTACATATGCAAAGTCACCGTCTGACTCATTGCATAATGTTGACCGAAGTAGGTTCAGGTTAGAAAAAGGCTCTGGGCGGCCAGACTAAAACGTCATCATTGCATAAAGTTCTTGATTGTCGATTTGAGCCTTGTAGGGCGATGAAACTAGCTGATTGGGGTCCATGTGACATGAGAAACCAGGGGTTGGAGACTAGGGAATATGGCTCAAAATCGATTTTAGTGGTCCAAATGTATTCATATTTTCTCACCTATGTTTTCTCTCTTCTACTGCTTTTGACCAATTTTTCTGTATTTCTCCATCCTTCATCCTATTGTTTTGTTACTTGATGTGCTAATATGAGGTTTGGCAACTTGGATTGTTATTTGGCATTGCTTAATCCTATGTAGTGATATTGTCTGTCTTATCTGAATAATCCATGTAGATGGTTACTTACATAAAAATCAACTTAGAACCTGGTACAATTTAATTAGCTACACTTTACAGCAACATGCATAAAAAGAGATTGACATGTAAGTACACAAAAGTGCCTGAGAGAAGAGAATATGAGTAGATAAAGGTTGATGAAAATATCCAAAACTTCGAAGATGAAAAATAGTGTGTACATCTGTACTGTTGTGATCAGTTTTAAGCCATATCACTTTGTCTACCAGTGATTCTTATCGTCTTTATGACCCCAGCTAGAGAGCCCCATCTTGCTTATATCAATCAGAATAATAGCCATAGAGTTCTTGAACTGGTCTTAGTATAGACACTTTTAGTTCACTTCTAACATAATCTTAACCCGGTTAACACCACACTTCGAAATAGCTAATGGATCAGCATGTTCAGTACAAGGCCACCTGAATTGATGATGACAGTGGGTAATATACGAGAACTAGCAGCAGTTGGAAATATTAGACCATTGGATTTCGACTCAATAGTTCAACAGTAACGTGCTGGCCATGGAAACTAAAGGTCTCGGGTTCGATCTCTGATGGGGCGTGGGTGCGCACTGCTGAGGAGTCTCACACTAGCACGAAGTGGCTGTCCGGTGTTCCTCCAACTGATGTCATTCCATGATTAATACCAACTTGAAATCAGTAAATCCCTAAATTCTATTATGTTTAGTCGGAGCGATAGTTATTGAAAGACTTGAAAGAAATCTATGTTAAGGAAGATATAGTTATTATAACTGCCGTGATAACCTGTCTACGATAAAACGTTTGCTACATCACACTTTATCCTGCTTACTTTGTTACGTTATTCGATCTTGCCCACTTTGTTTTGTTTTAAACCTTAGTATTTCATGTGAACTCGGCCCACCTCAATCGTCGACCTCTTATAAATTCATAACATTTTGAAGTTACGCTAATTATTTTCCATTCTTCAAGAATATTCACCTAATAATCATATAAGATAGTTAATCTTCATTTCACATTGCTGACTATCTTCTCTGATTTAATCATTTATTTAGATTATTCATGTTACCAGTTAGTCCTATCAATAACTTCTAGCCAACTTGTTAAAATTTCGTTTAATTATTGTAATGCACACAAGTTGATAGAGTGTAGGTTGTAAGCAGTTGAGAAGAATCCTTGAAATAACTTTAGCTTGCAAATAACTAACTCTACCTCTGTTTCTACATCAGACCTAGTAATATGCCACACTTGCTATGTTTAAAAAAGTTTTTAGTCAAATATTTCCTGAGTACAGAATTGATTCTTTCATCTGCTAGCCGAGCACGGAGATATTTTACTGCTGTTTGTTTCTTACATTCATTGAGGAACAGGTACACGCGTAATCAAACCAGTGCAAGGTTTGGGATTATACAAGTACCTTCAAAGAGAGCGCGAATCATCCACCGACAATACGACTGTGTCTACATGCTTTGCTATTTGCAGAACTTGCTTTAAGTCATCAGAATTACCATCGGTGGAGACTTCAATAAGCATCAACGAGCGTCACCTTACTTCCTAACTCCTACAAATCCAATCCACTGTACAGCCCATAGACGGCAATTGATTTGGGTCCAGTAGAGTAGCATGTTTTCTCCTAGACAAGTGTATGTTGCACCTACACCAGCTAGTCTGCATGAACTGTTCATCGAACCTCTTAATATTCATCAAGTGAATTTCAATAAATTGGTTCAGTACTGTATGTGTCTTAGGAAGACAGCACAAATCTATGGATCCAGAGTTCTAGCGTATGTGATTCTGCATAGGGTAAGGATGCTGAAACCTAATGTGAAATTGGCAACGTGGTTTCAGAGTGTTACATATGGTGTTTCAATAGCTTGAATAATAATTCAAACTGGGTTCGAACCTAAGGAAACTTTAGAGAGCGTAACAGCGGTGGAGACAAAAGAATACATAATGATGAAAAGGAATGGTGAATAAATGGGTTCTGTTGGCTTTCGAAGGTGGACTATGTTTCTCAGTCTCAAATGTGGAAACTGATTTCCCTTTAAAAAGTTGGGAGGGAAAGTGGATTAGTTTTAAGTTATTAAAAAACCCCTTCAAACCAATCATACAGCCTTCTTAGGAGTTTTAATTTTGATTTTGTTCGAACGGAAACACTTAACGGCTGTACAGAATTCCGTGGGGCAAACATGAGTGTGAATTATTCATTATTATTTTCCCCTTAGGTTCCTAGTGGGACATACGGCCTCAGTAGCACGTCACCATTTCACTCTGTTCTTTTGAGTCTTCTCAACCTGGCTCCACCACTGACCATTTCATCGTCACATGATCTCCATTTTAACCTTCGGACGCCTAACTCGTCCTCTTCTATTTGGATTCCACTCAACGGCCTGACCTGTCGCCTAATGTTTGAGAATGGTCTTCTCAGTGTATGTCCAGCCTAGTCCAAACCATCTCCACTTTCTTCTGGATATTTCTTAGGCGATAGGTTGTTGGTTGGTTCATTGTCAGGCCAGCCGGAGTGAATTCCTTGTTGCTTATTCTTATTATTCTGGCCATCTGATCTTCAGTGTCAGTATCGAGCGTAGATGGTAGCTTTTGATATGTCCACAGTTTGTTGGAAATGCTTTTTGTAACGCAACAAGTCTCTCAACCATCACATAGAAGCAATAACTTGACTGAATCAGTGTTGAAAATGCGGATTTCGTTCACGCTTTATGCTGAGTGCAGTGCTGTGCAGTATATCTTTACACTGATTATTTCAGCTTAATGAAGGCCTGTCTTGCTGTCATTCCGATCCTGGTTTTGACATCATCATCTGTGCTGCCACCTATAGTTGAGACGAAGCTGCTAGGCGGGTATGTAGAAGAGATAACCTTCTTTAGATTTCTCCCGTTGATGATGATTAGTGCTTCTTGTTGTTGGTTGGTTGGGTATTTTCATCATCTGTAGCTTTCCTACGTTCACTTGAAGTCCCGTTTTCGCTGCCTCACCTCTTCTGTCAACCTGTTAGTTTTCGCCTGTAGATCTTCGAGTTTGTGCAACATTAGACATAAATCATCGGCGAAGTCCAAATCTTCTACGGTCTTTTCATCAGTCCAGCCAGCGTATGCCCATCTTCCCACTCCTCACAGTTTGTTGCATGATCCAGTTCACCACAAGCAAATTATTCATACCATTAAGTTAACTGATTGCAGTCTTGCCACCATCTTGCATAGTAATACCTCAAGGAATAGTAATTCCAGTTATTGTAACCCGCTGGGCTATATAAGCCCGACCGCGATCTCAAGATGGCAGTTGCGGTTCGGCCCTTCTATCATTCTGTTTGTACAGTGGCACAGAAACTTTGATATACATTGTAAGATAGTTGAATAACGAGGAGTTGCTCCGTACTAGTAGAGAACAAAGGAAATAATTCTCTTCTGGTAAAGGTTAATTACTTAACTATGCATAGAATATTTCAACTCCACTATGGGAGTATATTCTAATCAAATTAGTTGGTCAAGGAAATGATTCTTCTCTGTCCATTGTTATCAGAGTGGTTTTCAGTCTTCGACCGTAGCCATAAGTTGGAAGTATATTCCGAAAATCTTGAGAAAAGATGAGAGATTAACTTTTACTTTATTTATCTGACTACAGGAACTAGGACTTATCTAAATGTAAAGTAAATCAATATTTCCAATCACCTGAATATCGCACACTAGATGAGGTCTGAGCATATTATCTTCTTGCTTCTTAACAATTACATGAGGACAACTTACTATCAAGTAAGCAATTCAATTTTGTCTAGCCAAGGAATTGAGTTTGATTTTAAGAATAGATTATGATCCATAAGTGAGCAGTCGTTCATATGGCTCAGTTATGAATTCTAAATGAAGGCTTTCATATGATACATGTGATGGTGGTAAACTCGGAGATAATTTTTTTTAAAAAGATGGAGAATATTTGTAGCTGAGGAGGATGATTTTGATGGTTTGTGTTTCCTGAGCTGGATGGTTTAATCGTGAAGCTCTCATTGTTGTCCCAGATAACATCAACAACACAAACTTCAGAAAAAAGTGAGCTGTGGAATTTTTTGCACGAGTGGCTTAGTAGCTTGTCATGATGACCTTGGCTGTGACTGGTTGTGTCTGTTAAAATTATCAGCGACTAGGAAAATATTGAAGACATGGATAGAGAAAATACAAAACTCTTTTAGAAGCTTGATATTTCGGTCAGTGAGCAACGGACAGACACATTGACGTTGACCCAAAATGTCAACCAATGAGAAACAGTTATAGGGCCAAGGTTCACTTCAGCAGGATGACAGGACCTTGACGGAAACAACCAATCACATACGACGCAATCAGGACACGTTTCTTAGCCCCTTGTAGAGGAAATCTCACAGTCCACATCTTTCTGAAGTTTATATTGTTGTCTAGAAGGAAGATCATGTGGCTCAGAGGACACGGCACCATTAGAACAAATTATTTTTTCAGCGGTTGCATAGCACTTTGTTCTGGCAAACCGAGGTTTAAATGGTGAACAACTATGAGAAGTCGTTTACTACACGGATTTAATAAATTTCGTCATATAGCAACCCTTGGCTAGTGAAGTTTTCACGAAAACTGTTTAATTATTACTCTCATCTAAGAATATCATCCACATTTTTTCTTTCAGCATTGTTAGGTTGAAAAACATCACTGATATCTGTAGATGCTATTCTCCTTTCTACAAGGTTTACATTTCTGTTAAGTGCAGTATTTTCATTTCGATTATTTTACGGTAATCAATATGATAAATTTACTGACCTTAGGAAGCATAATTTGCATGTTATCCTGAAGTTGATCCGTTTATATGAGTAAAAGAGGTCACCACTTTTATGATTTGTAAAGTGGCACGGCCAAATCTAATTCATTTACAATTAGAAAATTTCAAATTTGTGAAAAATGTATTTTTACTTTTGCACTAGTTAACGAATTGGTTCGTTCAAGTGATTAACAGATGTACTATTTGCTTAAGTAGGTTTCTAATTACAGATAAATAAATGAAGAAAGTAACGTTACAGTAAAAAAAAAGACTGTCAGAAGTTGGGATATGATTTCTAGCTGAATTTTATAACTCATATATGCAAGAGATCAGTACTCTACTTAACTTGGAGTTGCTAATGCATATAAGCATTTTATGAGGTCACGTATAGTGTGATATGATAGAGTTTTTCTTAACTACTTACAGTTGTTTGCGGATAGATCATGAGTCTAGACTGAATATGGTGATAATGATGGGGTGTTCAATGTTAATGCTATCAACTGTTTTGCTTTTTTAGGAGGGAGATATGTGAACACCTATTATTATTTATTTATCTCATCGGTTCCTAGTGGAATAAAGGGCTTCCGTAGTAAGTCGCCATTTCACTGTCTTCTCTGAAATCTTTTTAACCTGGCTCCACCACTGCCTAGAGGCTTTCATCTCTTCCTCACATAATCTTCTCCATGTCACCCTTGCCTCGAATGCCCAAGTCGTCCTCTCCCATTCGGATTCCACTCAACGGCCTGGCTTGTCGCCTAATGTCTGAGAATGGTCTTCTCAGTGCATATATATATATATATATATATATATATATATATATATATATATATATATATGCAAATCGTGAAGGAGTTAAACTACAAATAAAATCAATACAACAGTTTGTTTTGGATTGATCTAATTTCATGTATAGAGGGGGAGGGAGAGAGAGAGACAGAGGTATTGGTATCAAAAGTAAGGTTTAGTTTGTACTCATTAATTTTAATGTGAAGTATATTCATTGAGGTATGATGTACTATCATCGGACTTCACAATTCATCTGTATCAATTTGACTTAATTTCTGTTTTATCTGACGATCTTCATCTTGATCCGCTGGAACTGAAAGTAAAAATGCACATTTAATAGGTATTAGTTAATTTGAAGTGTGAACAATAACTTACCTGGTAACTTTAAGTAGTGTGTGTTATTATGATTTAATGATGGGTAGTGAGTGAGTGAGTAATAAACTGTGCTTTTATTGTGCGTAACAGAACCTGCTGTTTGAATCTATTTTTAATAATTAAATACCTACTTTACAGGAATAAATGATTTTCACTGAATATGCTGAAAAAAACTTCATAAAATTGTAAAGATTTTTAAAATAAATGGTGAAGAAGCAGTAGTATTTTTAAAAATTGAAATGTACTCATCAACCATATGCATATTCTTGTAATAAGTGATGTGATTTAATGATACTACTTGGCTGCCCAAACCTTGGTAGGTGGAGTGGGGCCTAAATCCTTGATACATTGGTTAAAACTTATCACTCTAGACCAATGAGGCACAGCTCTACAACTAATAGCATAGTTTAAGTCAATCAATAGCAATATATGACTACGTATTACTGTGTAACGATCCAAAGTGCTACATCTTATATCAGCACATTAAATAACAAGTTAGCACAATGAAAGATGAAGAAATAAAGAAGAACCAATCAAAAGTAGTAGAAAGTAGTAAAAGAGAGATACATCTGTGCCAATGAGACTGATTCTGAGGTATATCTTTTAAAGTCTCCAACCACTAGTTTCGATTGTCAGGAGAACCCCAACCGGTTAGTCAACATTTCTCTACATGGCTCACATCAAGAGTCAAAGACTTCATGTAAGGATGTCACGTTTTAGTACGGTCGCTCTGAACCTTTCCAGATGCGCAATTGCCTAGATTGTAAAATATCAAATTTCATCCACTAGTTATGCTTTTTTTTACATAAAAAAAGATTTCTTAAGAGCTATGTGCAAACGGATGATGAAATATCACCAAGCATCGATAACACAGAGTGGATGGTCAACCGCTCCCCGAGAGGTCAGCTGAAAGGAAAGTATCTCAAATAGGAGTGAGTTTGAAATTTAAAGTAGGTCACCTAAAACATGGAGATGTCTTATCTAACAAAAAAGCGCCATTAGGCTCAGTGGATGCGCGAACCGCTAAACAGGTTAAAGCAAAGTTTGTATTAGCACCGAACAAGAGAAGACAGAAGGAAATCTAAGGAAACTAGAAGATTCAGCTTTAAGTAATCTACGAAATGACAAATAACATTATTATTATTATTATTATTATTATTATTATTATTATTATTATTATTATTATTATTATTAGTCCCTTGGGTTCCTAGTGGAACATACAGCTCCAGTAGCACGCCTCCAGTGATCTCTGTTCTCTGAGATCTTTTGAACCTCGCTTCACAACAGCCCATAAGCTCTCATTTCCTCCTCGCACGACCTCCTCCATGTCACCCTCACCACGGACACCCAACTCGTCACTTCCCATGGCGATTCCACTCGAGCAACTGGCCTGACGCGTGATGTCCTCAGTCGGCCTTCTCAGTGCATGCCCAATCCAATCCATCTCCACTTCCTTCTACTGCATATTTGTTGCGTGATAGGTTCTTGGTTGCTTCGTTCCCAGAGTTCCTTGTTGCTTATTCTTTCTGGCCATCTAATCTTCAGTAGCGAGCGTAAGCGGCAGTTGTTGATGAATGTCTGTAGTTTATTGGGCATCCCTTTCGTGACGCGCCAAGTCTCTGAACCATCACAGAGAAGCACTGACATTGGTGTTGAAAATCCGTATCTTGTTCCACATGCTGAGTGCAGAAGATCTCCACACTGGTTTCAGGCTAATGAACACCTGTCTTGCTTTTCCGATTCTGACTTTGACGTCCTCGTCCGTCCCGCTTGTAGTTGAAACAGTGCTTCCTAGATAAGTGAAGGAGGTTACTTCCTTTAAGTTTCTCCCGTTCATGGTGATTTCAGTTTGTTGTTGTTGTTGTTGATGGTGGTGGTGCGGTATCTTCATCACCTCTGTCTTCTCTATATTCACCTGAAGTCCCGACTTCGCTGCCTCTTCTATTAACTTGTTAGTTTTCGCCTGTAGATCTTCAAGTTTATGTGACATCAGGCACAAGTCATCGGCGAAATCCAAGTCTTCTAGGTTCTTTCCCGCAGTCCAGCAAGCGTATCCCCCTCTTCTCACAGCTACCCACTGTTGTCTGTTGCATGATCCAGTCAGTCGACCACAATCAGGAATATCATGGGTGATAGTAGACAGCAACCTTGTTTCACTCCTGTCTTCACTTCACTTCACTTCACTCCAAAGGCATCACTGAGCTGAGCTTTCCATTGTGAATTACTTGGCTGGCATGTGGCGTCTTCATATAGTTGTTGAATGAGGCTGATAAAGGTTTGCGGTACTCCGTAGTAATGAAGCAGTTTCCAGATTACCTCTCGGTCGACGCTGTCAAAGGCCTTCTCAAAGTCGATAAAGTTGAGGTAGAGTTGAGTTGGCTGTCATTCTATGCTCTGTTCTATGATGATGCGAAGCGTTTGCAATTTGGTCTGCACATGATTTGTACTTCCTGAAGCCTGCCTGTTCCGGTGACAAATAACCTAGTAATTAGCAAATCTGATAATTATGGTAATTCAACAGAATTGATGGACAAATAGAAGTATTTCAATAAAATTGATGAATATATTTAAACACGATCATATGAAGCGTTCAAGAAATCCATAGACATTGTCATAAATAAGACTAGGAAATCTATATCCTGGTAGATCTGATATGCCGACTGAAACCATTTCTGAATGAAATGAATAGTTTTACCACTAACATAATTTAATTCGAAACAGTTTTGTTTTCTCTTATCTAAATACTTTGGATCCATCAATTGTACTATTAAATGTATGCTAGCTTGAGCATAAATACATTTCGCCTTACATTGCAATTTATTATAGAAAAATCACACACACACACAAGCTGTCTCAAATGGACATCAGTTTGCTGAAGGTTTATCAGCTCATTGACTGACTTGTCTTCCCTCCTGCGCATCCTTTGTCTAACCTCAGTATTACTCAAATAATGATTCCAACATGCTTGAGTGAGCAATACTGTGAAGATACCTGTGGTCGAAAACTTGTAGCCGCTTCATATCTCCCACCCTTAACGCTCGTGTTTTGCAGCCATATAGCAGGAAACATTGAACTGCAGTGACGTATACTCGCTCTTTAACAGGTAGTTGAATATCTCGCCAGTTGACGCCTCAGATGATGCAAGCTGGCAAGTGCCAAATAGGCCCTCCGTGTTCGAGCTGAGATTCCGAGCTGATACAACTCCCCAAGTAAGTGAAGTGGTCGACGGATTCCATCAATTCACTCCCTATTCTAAAATTAGGAGTAGTTTAAGACTGGTTCTAAAGCCCCATCTCGTACGCCAAACATACTCAGACTATTGAGTAAACTGTCTACAAACTATACTGCTCATATATAGAGTTAGAAAAGTTTTGTTTCTATGATTAGACATTTAAAAAGTACTTTACTGAAGAAAAAAGCAATGATTTGCTGTAGTTTTAAACATACATTTTGACTTCTTTGAACTGCTATACTTCAGCAACAAAAGGGTGAAAAAATGAGCAATTCCATTGTAACACACAATCAGTAGAAAAAGTAGGGCAGATATCACGATAGACATACCGGCCACAAAATAGGGAATTTTAAAACTTTTAGTTGCTTCGAATAGAACACCTAAGAAAAGTGAAGAAAAAAAGCATGAAGATATGATGTAGGTAATAAACAGGGTAAAAAATAATGACATTTCTCGAAGGCAAGATCTTCATCTTCAGTGTTTAATATACAGTTAGGAATTATTAGAGTAGACAATGGTAGTAATGGTAAGAGTAAAAATGAACACTAATATCTTGATAGAATATCATTTATTATTTCGTGATATCACAATCAGTATAGCCCACTCTACTTGTTGAGGCTTCAGGAACCAGACAGCATTATTTAACAGAAAGAACTGATAGCCTAGTGCAAAACCTACGCATGGTTAATAAAGCTTCTTTTACCGGTCAACCATTGTGGTTCGAAAAAACCCTACTCTTTAAGCGTATGAAATATACTTTGACAGCTTTTTCGCGATCTATCAGAGCATTATTAATGGATGGTGTCTAGCAGAGGACGCGTGTTTCGTCCTATTTGGGACTCGTCAACTGGATGTACCTGCCTCTCAGTGAGCCATGTTGTTCCCACTAAGATCCAAACGCAGCAGGCATATACGTGCTCGGACCAACGCATGGTCGCTGTCCAAATACGTACTCCAGAAGGAGCAGCAGTCTTCCACCGATCCTCTCCAGCGATGACTAATAGCATTGTGGTCTATTTGTGTCCATCTCTGAGTTGAACCCGGTGGACGCCAGGTCAGACAGTGCCTTTCTTTATGTCTGAAATTAGTCCTGGCTAAAAATGGGCGGTTATCTGAGCGTAGTTGTAACAGGCGATCACCGTTATCTGTACGTTCAACCGGGATTCCGAAAGTGCCATCTAAGTGCCTTTCTGTCTCACTCAGTCTACTCACCTGTGCATTGAGGTCACCTGCAACAACCACCACGTCCGAACGTTTGACTTTCTAGAGGAGGCTATACAGTTTATGATAGAATTCATCCTTCACTTCATCCGAACTACAGTCAGTGGATGCGTAAGCAGAGATTACAAAGAGACAACGGCGAGTCTCACTATTCCTTTCATTTCTCGCCGAGGACAATCAGTCGCATACCGCAGAGGCGACTATCAACTGAGATCTAGTCTAGTAGTGAGTTTTCTGCCCTATTGCTCAATGCTATGCCTACACCTGCCAGACAACGAGAGCTAGCTATTGAATCTCCAGAAACTCGAAGGGTGAATTTCATGGATTCACTAGATTGGTCAGGAGAGGTCAGGTGAATAATCACACTTGGGTCCTGTGTGCGTGTCTCACAGACACAGCACACATCCATGGCCCGAGTTGCTAGAGTCTTTGCTAACGAAGCCTGTTGGCCAATTTGACGGAGGGTGCGGACATTGAAGGCTCCAATATGTAATTTGGAGCGTGGTTCAAGGAGACCAGGGATGCTGTTTAGTGGACTCATATCGTTGTCGAAGGCTGCAGAGCTAGGAGAAATTGAAGATGATGTAGTATCGTTAGTTGAGAGACGTGAAGGAAGATTAGAAGGTAATGATGGGGAGGTGGATAGCAGTCTGAGGAAACTTGAGAGCTGATCGAGTTGTGAGGGCAGCTGACACGTCCAGACTGCTCACATTGTGGAAGGCTATTTCTTCTTAAGATACCTGAAAGAGATTTGTGTGACTGCAGAGCCCATCGGACATCTGCTTGAAGCCTATCACACGTAGCCTTCTGAGTATGATTATTTTGAACTTTTGTATTTTTGTGGCCGGATGGTCGAAAGGAAACGACAAATGAACCAACACCGCCGGCCCTGCAGACCGTGGGGGATGGTGGAGTGTGTTATTTTTGGGGCCGACCTTTTCTAACCCCCCCTTCCACTGAGAAGGCAGCATCAGCATGGCACTGCTGGTCATCCAAGGGAAACACCTTACTGCTGTCACACCCCATCCAGCTAGCAGCCGTACGACTTCGCCCTCAGACCCCCATCATAGTGTAGCAATTTACACTATAACGGTAACTGCTTTTCGTCTAACCACTATCCAACAGACCTTTCTGGTATGGTAGGACCTCGAGGGAACAGGCGTTTCACCAGCATAGCTCGTTGGGTCATTGTGATATGCAAGCCCGACCACTACGTCAAGGTAGCAGCTATCGGTCGAGAATGGAATCCCGACAGTAGCACTGACAGTGGACGCAGGGACAACAGCGGATATGATCACACCACTAATGTAGAAGGTCTGGAAGGAAGGAAAGGTACCTGCAGATTGGAAGAAGGGCTACCTTGTCAAACTCTGGAAGAAGAGCCACCTAAGTCTGCAATAACTGGCGTGGAATCATGTTGCTATCCACTACAAGCCAGCAAAATATCAAGCCACATCATCCTGGAGAGACTAAGGTGTGCGCTGGATTCAAAACTACGACCGGAACAGGCTGGCTGGCTAGTTTCAGGAACTACAAATCATGTGCGGATCAAATTGCAACCCGACAATACACATGGTCATAGAACAGAGTACAGAATGGCAGTCAACTCTGTACCTCAACTTCATCGATTTTAAAAACGCCTTCAACAGCGTCGATCGAACACAAACTCGAAGATCTACAGCCGAAAACTAACGAGTTGACAGAAGAGGTAGGGCAGCGAAGACGGGACTACAGGTGAAAGTAGAGAAAACAGAGGTGATGAAGATACCCGACCAATGCCACCACCAACAACAACAAGCTCCAATCACCATCAACAAAAGAACCCTAAAGCAAGTAATCTCCTTCACCTATCTAGGCAGCACTGTTTCAACTACAGGCGGCAGTGGCAGCACAGACGAGGATGTCAAAGCCAGCCACGATCGGAAACACAGCAAGACAGGCTTTCATTAATCTGAAATCAGTATGGAGATCTACTCTACTGCACTACACTCAACATAAAGCGTGAACAACATCCGCATTCTCAACACAAATTCAGTCAAGTCAGTGCTGCCATATGGATCACAAACTTGGTGTGTCACGAAAATCACTTCCAACAAACTACAGACATTCATCAGCAGCTGCCTACGCTGGCTCGTTACTGAAGATCAGATGGATTGCCAGAATAATAAGAATAAGCAACAAGGAACTCACTCAGCCTGGCAACGAACAAACCAAGAACCTATCACTCAACAAATATGCAGTAGAAGGAAGTGGAGATGGATTGGATTGGGCATACACTGAGAAGGCCGATTGGAGACATCACGCACCAGGCCAGGCCATCGAATGGAACCCAGATGGGAAACGACGAGTTTGGCGTGCGAGGTGAGGGTGATATGGAGGAGATTGTGTGAGGGAGAGATGAAAGCTTATGGGTGGTCGTGGAGTCAGGTTGAAATGATTTCAGAGAACGGAGAGTGGAATGGAGACGTGCTACTGAAGCTTTATGTTCCACTAGGAACCCAAGGGACAAATAATAATAATAACTAAGGAATACTTTGAGAATTTATGATGTATTGGAATCAGAAGCATGAATTTAACTTTTGTTTTATTAAAAACTATATACACCATAAAACAGTGAATTTAAAAGTGTGAATTACTTGTCAACGATAAATAATTCACTATTTAACACTACACAGTAGTCGAACTATCATTACATATATCAGTCATCAGAAGATGATCAACGCTATCACATTTATTAGGTTTCTTTGTATATTCAATGAGATGTATCGATCAGTATAATCAATAAACTAAGCAACTGAACACTGTAACTATAACATATTTTGATGTTTGAAAATTGAAAACAGTTAGTAATGCATTTCAGTTTCTTGGTATTTGTTACTTATTATCACAATGGTATACACCTGTGATTTCAAATGAATTAACAATCTTTTTTCTTTGCATTACTCATTAGTGTATCGTTCAAATATACTCCTCCTCTCTTCCCTCTTAGTTTCTGCTTAAATTGAATGCAAAATGGTCGATAGAATTCGATAAGCACTCAGAACTGGACAGCATGAAATTAATTGATCTCCAGTAACTAATCAATGCATTTTATAGGATTTGATGTAAGTAGTGCATAACCATTATAGATCATTATACGTTGTAGGATGAAGTCAGTGCATAAGTTGATCAATATATTTCGTTTAACAATGTGAAAGATAAAATAAAATTGATTTTGACACGTTACTAATTACTGTAATGTATACAATTCCATCAAAAATCAGCTGCGTGAAAAGTAGTTCACCATTATGCTATACAACTTTTCAATGCGAGGCACTGTCAGTTGTGCCAAACAGGTATGTATATATTAATGACTGGTAATGGCTAGCAATAGAATGCAGGACATGCGTCTCGTCCCATTTGGGACTCGCACCATCATAGGACAGAGTATAGAATGGCAGTCAACTCAACTCAACCCAACCTCAACTTTATCGACTTTGAGAAGGCCTTTGACAGCGTCGACCGAGAGGTAATCTGGAAACTGCTTCATTACTACGGAGTACCGCAAACCTTTATCAGCCTCATTCAACAACTATATGAAGACGCCACATGCCAGCCAAGTAATTCACAATGGAAAGCTCAGCTCAGTGATGCCTTTGGAGTGAAGTGAAGTGAAGTGAAGACAGGAGTGAAACAAGGTTGCTGTCTACTATCACCCATGATATTCCTGATTGTGGTCGACTGACTGGATCATGCAACAGACAACAGTGGGTAGCTGTGAGAAGAGGGGGATACGCTGGCTGGACGGCGGAAAAGAACCTAGAAGATCTGGATTTCGCCAGTGATGACTTGTGTCTGATGTCTTGTCACACAAAGTTGAAGATCTACAGGCGAAAACTAACAAGTTGACAGAAGAGGTAGGGCAGGGCAGGGCAGCGAAGGAAGATGGGACTTCAAGTGAATATAGAGAAGACAGAGGTGATGAAGATACCCGACCAATGCCACCACCAACAACAACAAACTGAAATCACCATCAACAGAAGAACCCTAAAGCAAGTAATCTCCTTCATCTATCTACGCAGCACTGTTTCAACTACAGGCGGTGGCACAGACGGGGATGTCAATGCCAGCCAGGAACGGAAAGACAGCAAGACAGGCGTTCATTAGCCTGAAACCAGTGTGGAGATCTTCTGCACTCAGTATAAAGTGTGAAAAACATCCCGATTTTCAACACCAACGTCAGTCAAGTCAGTGCTTCTCTGTGATGGTTCAAAGACTTGACGCGTCACGAAAGGGATTTCCAATAAACTACAGACATTCATCAACAACTGCCGCTTACGCTCGCTACTGAAGATTAGATGGCCAGAAAGAATAAGCAACAAGGAACTCTGGGAACAAACCAACCAAGAACCTATCACGCAACAAATATGCAGTAGAAGGAAGTGGAGATGGATTGGATTGGGCATGCACTGAGAAGGCCGACTGAGGACATCACGCGTCAGGCCAGTTGCTCGAGTGGAATCGCCATGGGAAGTGACGAGTTGGGTGTCCGTGGTGAGAGTGACATGGAGGAGGTCGTGCGAGGAGGAAATGAGAGCTTGTAGGCTGTCGTAGAGCCAGGTTCAAAAGATTTCAGAGAACGGAGAGTGGAATGGAGACGTGCTACTGAAGCTTTATGTTCCATTAGGAACCCAAGGGACTAATAATAATAATAATAGTTGGATATAATTGCACCTCTGTGAGTGATGTTGTTCCTATTAGGACTCGGACCCGGGAGCAATCGCTTCAAACGCCGCAATGTTATCCACTGAGCTAGTGAGTCACAGCAGCCACCCCTTGTGCAACAAGTGTAGGATAGTTCTAATTCGATTCTATCAACGACGGGGACTTACAAAGTATAACAAAAAACTAGGTATATAGAGTTGAGTTTCTTTCGGTTATTATGCTTGTATGACTTACACAGAAGCGAAGTTTATAGATAATTCAATATATTTTACCAATTCAGAGAAGACAGACAGACAGAATCAACGTAGAACCTCGCATACAAGAGCACCACTCCAAGTTGTCACACTTCGCAGTAGTATACAAAGAACAAGCGTAAAACGAAAAGTTATTTCAAAGTAGATAAAATTGTATGAGACTATAAGCTATTTGAAGATAACGATTAGTGCAAATACTTAAGTTTTAGATGACGTCAGGGAGCGAATACATTTGCGTCATAGTTACCGAATTTCAGCCATGTCACCAAGAGTCCTCAACCACTGATTCCTGTTGTCCAGGGGCCATCACCCTGGTAGTCTATATCTCCTTACACAGCTGAGATCAACAAACCAGAGACTTCATCGACTGATGCTTCGTCTTGGTCTTGTCCCCAACATTTCTCTAGGTGATTTTGTATTCTCTGAGCTGAATAGTTTAATCGTGAGGCTATCACTGTCATTTCAGACATCATCAACATAAACTTTACAAAGAAATGCTCTATTGGGTTTGCCCCACAAGTGACTTGATAGCTTGTCATTTTGGCTTTGTGTGTGGTTGGTCGTTTCTGTCAGGATCTTGTCATAGTCTCCATGCTTCTTTCGGTTGGTTGTCCTCCTGACGTGAACTTTGACCTTCTTGTTGTTTCTAATTGGTTGATAGATTGGATCACTGTCAAAACATCTTTTGACTGCTGATTGGCTTGAATACCAAGGTTCTTCCTCTATCTAGGATTGCCACATTTTCCTAGTCAAATCTGTGTCAACATTTACCCCTAAGCATTGATACGAGCGAAGATATGTCACGAAGCTTCACTGCTAGTTGATATTCATATAAACAGACACGAAGAGGGTGACCACTCAGACCGGCATATTGTTTCCGAAGTTTATTTTGTAGATACCGTTTGGTTTGCCTTCCTTTTCTATTGCATTTTTTGGCCTACATAATACAGAGTGAAGAGATCTTGTGGACTTGTGAGCTACAGCCATTCCAAAAGGCTTTATTAATCTGGTTAGGATCTCGGAGACGTTATTCATGCAAGGTAAGACAATCTGCTTGTTGATTTTTGAGGCTGACTTCTTAGTTGACGATGAATTAGGTAAACAAAACGTCTCTTGATGAAGTTGTATGGATAGCCTTTCTTCTGGAAAACAGTCATTAAACAGTTTGATTCTTTTCTCCACAGGGTTAATATACAACAGTATGCCTTCGCTCTTTTGAACATTTTTGTTATGCAACTGATTTTGTGTGCTATTGAACTGTTGCTACTGTAGTTGAGGATTTGATCCATATGAGTTGGTTTTCTGTATACTTCACTTTCCAGTTTTTCCGAAACCGTCCTAGTGATTAAGACATTTAAAAATACAAGTTCGTGATTTGATTCCTCTTCAGTTGTGAATTTTATGTCATCGAAAATGTTGATTAATTTCTCAGCTTTTTTTAATCCATTCCTTTTATTGATGAAAAGCATACCATTTACATATCGGACACAACGTTTTGGTTTGACCAACGGCAGTACCACATTTTCCAATCTCTGCATTACTGCTTCTGAAATTAGTCCTGATATAGGCTATCCTATTAGCGTTCCTTTTGTCTGTTTGTAGAGTTTGCTGCCGAATTGAAAATGTGTTGTAAGGCATAAATTAATTAATCCCATCAAACTTGAACGTTGCAATTGTGTGCGTTCTGAGAGGTATGTATCATCACTAAGGAGAAGGGTCATTGTATTCTTAACCAATTTCGGTTCGATTGAGATGTATAGAGCTGTAACATTGAAAGACATCGTCAGTTCATCGCTGTCAATTTTAATATGTTTGATCTTTTTCGAAAATTGTGTCCAAGAGTTGACAGAGTAGTCGCATGATTCTACTAAACGTCTGGGTGCTCTGAAAAATTCTTTTGAAAGATTGTATATTGGGGTTCCTGGCAGTGTAGCGATTGATCTTAGTGGGATTTTTGGTTTACGTATTTTTAGTTTACCATAGAAACTTGGGATAACAGGCCAATAGGACTACATTCACCACTGCTCTTGTTTTGTAATTTGTCCCCTTCTGACAAGTCTGTCCAAGGTCTTGGCGATTATTATCATTATTATTATTATGACTGTTATTATTTATCCCTTGGGTTCCTAGTGGAACATACGGCTTCAGTAGCACGTCGCCAGTCCACTCTGCTCTCTTCAGTCTTCTCAACCTGGCTCCACGACTGACCAGAAGCTTTCATTTCATCTTCACATGATCTCCATGTCACCCTCGGATGTCCAACTTGTCGTCTCCCATTTGGATCCCACTCAACAGCCTGATGTCCGCGAATGGTATTCTCAGCGTATGTTCAGTCCAATCCATCTCCACTTTCTTCTTCATATTTATTGGGCGATGGGTTCTGGGTTGGTCCGTTGCCAGAGTTACTTGTCGCTAATTCTTCCTAGCCATCTGATCTTCAGTATCGACTAGGGAGTCAGTGCGAGTACGATTGAGTAGTAATAACGCAACAAGAAATCACATGGTAGTCGGCTAAAACTATTGGTGACTGAAGTGAAATAATGTTTTATATTTGGAGCTTTGTGGGGATTTATTGATTGAATTCAGGTTAGTATTCATCACAAACTGATATCAGTTAACGAAACATTGGACGGCTACTTCGTCAGAGTATGGAATTTCTCAGCAATGCGCACCCATGATGCCGCCCTCCAAGGATCGGACCTAGGGCTTTCAGGTCCCAGGACCAGCACGCTATTATTTAGGAACTGGATGGGAATCGAATGATCCATATTTCCTACTTCTATTAGTCAGCGACATAGAGTGACCTCCACCCGTTACCATCGTTGAGTAACTATCCTCACAATTGACTTGATTTACCCCACCTGTATCGACTTCTCATTAGAACTTTGAGAATCCTCATCTCGAAACAAGTCACTAATGAGCACTTAGAAGTAATTCAGTTTAAAGGTTTTCGATGATTCTCTTCCTAACATCAGTCGTGATCTATACAACTTTAAGAATAAAATCATCATAAGTTTTAAACTAACTTAATACAAATAAGTGTTAGAAGCAAGTTTTACAGTTTAACTACAATTCACCTGCTAATGGAGGTCCAAATACGCTCGATATACCACGTGATAATGTGATTAAGCCAACAGCTGTAGTTAATTCATTCATTCCAACTAAATCATACAGTATGATTGTACTGAGTGTTGAAAAAATACCTTAAAAGAAAATAAATGGAAGTAAAGATTATTAAGTTAGATTTGAAGAGGTAAATCAACTATAAAAATCGTCAGTATCATTCAAAAACCATTTGAGTGAACAAAGAACATTCTTTTCAATAACTTCTTTACATCCTACAGTTATATGTTCATCTACATTGTGTTATTTCTCATCAGCAATATTTGAGATTTCAGGCAACAGTTTATTAATAATATTATTTATTAATATTAGCATTATTGCTATTATTATTTACCCCTTGGGTTCCTAGTAGAACATACAGCTTCAGTAGCACGTCTCCACTCCACTCCCTTCTCTGAAATCTTTTCAACCTGACTCCACGACCACCCATAAGCTTTCATCTCTCCCTCACACAATCTCCTCCATATCACCCTCACCTCGCACGCCAAACTCGTCGTTTCCCATCTGGGTTCCATTCGATGGCCTGGCCTGGTGCGTGATGTCTCCAATCGGCCTTCTCAGTGTATGCCCAATCCAATCCATCTCCACTTCCTTCTACTGCATATTTGTTGAGTGATAGGTTCTTGGTTTGTTCGTTGCCAGGCTGAGTGAGTTCCTTGTTGCTTATTCTTATTATTCTGGCAATCCATCTGATCTTCAGTAACGAGCCAGCGTAGGCAGCTGCTGATGAATGTCTGTAGTTTGTTGGAAGTGATTTTCGTGACACACCAAGTTTGTGATCCATATGGCAGCACTGACTTGACTGAATTTGTGTTGAGAATGCGGATGTTGTTCACGCTTTATGTTGAGTGTAGTGCAGTAGAGTAGATCTCCATACTGATTTCAGATTAATGAAAGCCTGTCTTGCTGTGTTTCCGATCGTGGCTGGCTTTGACATCCTCGTCTGTGCTGCCACTGCCGCCTGTAGTTGAAACAGTGCTGCCTAGATAGGTGAAGGAGATTACTTGCTTTAGGGTTCTTTTGTTGATGGTGATTGGAGCTTGTTGTTGTTGGTGGTGGCGTTAGTTGAGTATCATAATAAACTTATATCATACATACATATAAGGTATTCTCTTCAGAAAAGTCTTTTGTGAACGGGGTGGTGTAGGTATCAATCATTACTGGAATCTAATTGAAAATAATTCATTGTCTAAACAACTATACGATCTATGTAATAATAATGATAGTTTAATAAAGAAATAGGAAGGTGTGTAGGAAAGCTGGATGCCATAAATAAAGATAGGTAATTTGAGGAATAATTGCTTGATAGAATAATATTACTCATACTTCATACTGAAGTTAGTGCTGAAGCTGTCGTCTGGAAAGATGATAAAGGCTCTATGACTAAACAATCCGGCTCAAAGAACACAATACAGCCAAGACCATCCACTTGAGCAACAAATATTCTCCACCATTTCATAATATTACTCATGTTAGGGAACAAAATAGGTTAAGAAAGTGTGTTAACGTTACTGCCGATTGTAGGGATAAGGTGAGATCTGTAGTACTGCATTTGAAAATAAGGTTACCTGGAGCAGCATGCTATGGAGTTTGTGATTCCCAAATGAGACTAAGGTAGTGTAAGTGGAAACACTTGCTTTTTTTTGAACACAGAACTAGGGTTGCTTAATCTTGATTGCCAGTGCTTCAGCATTCTGAAGGTTTCGAAGCTGGGCACATTTTCGTAAGTTGATGGGAACCCGATAAAGAGTAGAGGACGACTTATTCAAATCTACCTTATGGTTCTAGTTTGGTAATCATCTTTACGAGACTTTTGCTTAACAGCAATGAGAGGTGTTCACCAGCACGGAAAATTAAATTCCTAGAGCAGCGACCGACGTGACTGCACAGAAACAGTCGAACTGATAAACATAACAGGCCAGTCTAGCCAATTCACCTTTCAGTCCCGATGTCACCAATGAGCGCATATGGAGAACTAAATTTGTAAACTACCAGCACTACAAGTTCTCTAAACTGATTTGAGTAGTGTGGGAACTAATATCTAGATAGGGACGTCCGCTCTAGATTGCAACCGAATGTATATTGGTTTTCAGCTAAACGTTGAAATATCCTTTCTGGGCATTTATGTAATCACATGTTTCTTTATGAAATGATCAGGATAGACATTTTCGATTAGTTTGCTGCGTAAAGTTGTCAACTCTTCTTCAATTGTACCTGCCAAACATACAGCCTTCAGTGTGTAACTTGGAGTCTTAATCTGATTTCGTTTGTACCGATAAATAAATCCTTACTCCCAACATTATATACAAAAAACAGTTTTGTGAGTCTGTCTAATCAGTTTTAGTCTGTGGGATACAATCGTCAGATACACCTGTCAACAAAATACTTCTTGATCTCCTTCAATAGGATTCAGTTGAATTACATATTATTTACACCGTTTATTTTTTCGTCAGACAAATAACATATTGGATCGTTTACGGAAGCGTAAGTGAGTGCTTTTGATGTACGTCAAACTACGATGACTGAGTTACGCAAGTCTATCTTGTTTCTATTAGTTCTGCACCTTATATCAGTCTATAGTCCAATAAAAATATGAATTGAATAATTTCTGTGTAATTACACAAAGTTTCAAGTGATTTCCCATATGTAAAAGGATAAAATTGAGTTCCTAAGTACTATAGACCACTTTCATTCTACACATCTTGCCATTTTGTCATTCTAATAACAAATAATTAGCAAAATACATGAAAAAAAATCAATAAAATGGGATAAATATTAGGAGAAATGTTTCTAATCATTGTCATCTTCTAGAGACTCGACGGCCTAGTGGGTAATTCACTGGAGTGATCGGTTCGCGGTTCGAGTCTTGGTGGGAACAACATCGTTCACTGGGAGACAGATACATCCAGGTGATAAGTCCGAAGTAGGATGAAACGTGTATTCTGGATTATACTGCTAACCACTATCCGTCATTAATATTGAGTAGTTTGGTTCATAATTTGTCAGCAGAGAATAGATGTCAATGCATAATGATGTCGAAAAAACTTGGTTTATTGCTACATTTCGATTTTATCAATCGTTTAGTGTACCATATCATGTTTAAAATTAATGAACTCAGTATATCACTGTTTCCTATTTTCCAAAAAGCGACTATGTAAGCTTTTCTTCTACGTAGGAATACTTTGTTGCTGTAAGCAGAAAGTTCTTGATTTCCCTTTCAATCTTGTACACAAAATATGTATATATATATTGGTGTAAATAGGACAGTTGTAGCTTTTAAAAGAATTATTAAAAGATTCACTTAGACTCCAGAACTACTGGGAATACACTGACAGATAAATGTTACTAAAGTAATCTCGCTGTTGAATTAATAGTAATGATCTCGAATTAACTGTTGGCGTAATGGATGTAAACAAGAGACTGTTTCATAGAAGTTGTAACTTGTACGGAAAAGAATGCCTGAACTCGTTTAATAACTCCCACTTACTGTTAAATCCTGAACTGAACAGAAAGTTAAGCTCCAGGTTAAACATTAATTTCTAATCCACAAGATGAAATGATAATTCAGTAAAATATCTCTTACTTCAATAGTTTTGTATAAAGCGGAAATAAGACAGGTAGTGACTGAGTAATCAAACAGAAACTTTACTAGCTGTTTACTTTGACAATATTTGAATACTTTCCTCACTAGACTGCTTGGAGTTTGAACAGACTATTTCAAAATCATATTATAACGTAAACATAGTTCATAATAAACATATAAGTACAGTATAGGGACTATGGTAGCACTATACTTTACGCTTTCTGGAAAAGGGTATGACGTGCAGATTTATACGAGAAAATATTTATACCATTCCTACAACCCATAAAGTTATATTACTGGATAAGGCAGTGAGAACACTGTTCGCAAGATAAGACGAAATCATTTGTTTGGCTGGATTTTCTTCAGTTGGATACAATCTGAATAAATCAGTAAATAATCGCCATAACAAATACTAACATATCTCATATCAAGGGAGAGAGATATCACGTCCGAGAAGAATTTCAATGAATCGAACAATGTCTACAAGATAATGGTTATCCAATGAAGTTTGTGTAGAAGTATTGCAAAGGCAAGGAGAAGAGACGGGGTTGTATTACTGTTGAAAAGAAACCAGTGTTTCTTATGTTGGCTTTCAATGAAAGAAAAAAGGAGCGGTTGTCTACTAGGATTGTTGAGCACATATCAAAGCGTTCATGTCTTAGAGATCCATCTTCGTTCAGGAGTACAATAACTCGTCAATTATGTGATACGCAACATCAAGTAAATAAAATGAAATCCTTCATAATAGTCAACATACAAAAGACCTCGCATCTACTTCAGATTGCCGAAGCCGTCACTATCCAATAACTTCAACAGGAATTGTGTATTCAAAAGGAGACTGTTGCCACTTTATTATTGTCCTGGTAATTAGTAACTTTTCACCCTTTCATCTTTCACAAAAGTATTTTCAATATATTTATTTTGTGTAATTCTGAGATGAATGGAGATTTTTTAATTTAGAGGTAGCATTCAACACGGATTGATATCAGTTGGGTAACCATTGAAAATCTGGGAACACTAGACAGCTGTTTCGACTTAGCATAGGACTCCTCAATAATATGCGTCCATGATCCGGCTAGGGACCGAACTTAGGGCCTTCAGGTCTCACGGCGAACGCGCCAACCATTCAGCCATTTGGTCGGTTTTCAGTCGTTGACAGTTTCCTCCTTCTGTCAGTTCGCGATACAGAGCAACTATCACTCAAGGTCCGCATCCGCTTCCCTTCCTACTTGTTGACCCCACAGGTCACGGCTTCTCATTAGAACTTCGTGATATCCATCTGGAAGCGTGTCACTAATGAGCACTATACATCAATGAATTTTGGAGATGAATGGAGATTTTGATTTAGTGGTAGTACTGAAGTTTGATACTAGGACGAAACAGCTGTCCAGTGTTCCCAGGTTTTCAGTAGTCCCTCAACTGACATCAATCCATGAATAATGCTACCTCTACACTTATTTTGTGTTCATTCTTATCCGTATTCAGGTTAATTCGTGTTTCACTATTATCACATTTGCTATTATTATGATAGTTTTGTCTCACCCATTTATCAGTTTGTGAACATGATATTTTCATATAGTTATGCTATCCCCTCTGCTTACTTCTAACCTTATCTCATTCACTCATGAACATTCTTCATCTTGCCTTATTGAACCTTTATATAGTTTAACCTAATTTATCACCTGAACTTTTGTGTCCTGAATTATTACGTTTTCCTGATCTTTAAAACACTAACCGGTATCTTAAAAACGCTTCATACAACCAACTGGAAGTACAACAATAACTATGATTTATTGATACCTGTAATTTCCCACTTTTATTCCGAATTGAGTCTATCAACCTTTCTGGGAGCAAAACTACTTCCTAGGTTACAGGCAAATCCAGCTGATAAGTCCAAAATGAGACAAAACACACCTTCTAGATTCCACTGCTAACCACTAACAAGCAAATTACAATACTTATGATTACATAAAATAAGAAATATTTACAATAACAACCTTTGGACATATCTTACTTCGAAAAACTAGAATTATGAAAATTTAACAAAATTTTGTTATTTTTTTTGTAAAAGGTAAACATTTTAAACTTACCACTTAAGAATCCATAAAGTGCAAAGGCTATAGCCATACCTGAAAACGTTGTCAAGACTGGCATTGAACAGACAAGTATTCCAAGTAGAAATTGTGAAATTGTTTGTACAATTAATGGAGATACATGTGGTAAACCACTTATCCATGCAATAAGCAAGCGTGAAGCAATACTTGAACCTCCTAAGAAGAAATAAATTGATCAAGTAAAAATATGAAGTTAATTATTTTACTCAATAATGTTTTGTATCTGAACTACTATCCCATATTAATTCTTAAACAATCAGCATAGCTCATATATTAGTCTAAAGCGATCTGGAGTCAACGAATAGTTAACTCAAAAACAATAAATAGAGAGTTCATTACGAAATGGGAGGATAAAGATACTGATATGTTACTCAGAATTATTCACGTGAATAATGCTATGAATAGAAAACGACTTGAATGACCATAGAGGTTGAATCCTTATATATTACAGTTTGACTTGTTCTACTGCATTGTTGAGATAACTACAGTTGATCACTCAAGTATATCCAGATCTATAGCTGTTACCCTGATGTAGTCGTCAAGCTTGTACGTCACAATGACCCAGCAAACTATACTAACTGGGAAGCTTATTCTCTCAAGGTCCTACCATATCAAAAAGGACTATTGGGTAGTGGTAAGACAGAAAGTAGTTATGGAGTAAATTACTACTGTGATAAGGTTCAGAGGGTGAAATCTTACGGTTGTCTGAACCGGTGTGATGCTACTTTTCTTATGACAAGAAGGGGTTAGAAAGAGTCAGTTCTAAAATTACCATACTTCACTCTACCCAGCGGCATACCGAAGCCCGCAATATCACTTCATAGTCGGAGTTCAAACTAACAAACTTATATCTCCAATTTCTAAAACGGCAGTGTGTGATCAAACTTAAGCAGATATCAGTCAGCAGTCAGGCACTAACTTTTCTTTTTTAGATGCCTCAAAAGAACCAGCCTCCTATGGTGTAGGCAAACGGAAAATGTCAACCACCGTCACAACTTCCCACATCTTTACCTTCCAATCTTCCTTCATATCTTTTGATCATCCTTCCTTCTTGCTCTTCAGATCTTGGTTGCGATCCGTGTTTGCGAAACAGCATCACTGATCCCCTGAAAGCACGTTCCAAACTAAACATCGAAACCTTCAATGTCCGCATCCCATGTCAAATCCGTTAACAATCTCTGCTAGTCAAAAGCGTAGTATCATGCTCCATGGATGTGAGCTGCGTTTGTGATACCCAAGTGTTTTCATTCACTAAACCTCTCCCTCCCAATATGATAAATCCACGAAATTCACCCTTCGAGTTTCTGAAGATTAGATGGCTAGTTCTCGTGGTTTTTGCAGGTGTGAGTCATAAGGCAGAAAGTGCCCTGTTCAACTAGGTCCCAGGTGGCAGTCACCTATGCGCTGTTCAACTGAACAGTGAGGGCAAAAAGAAATAATGAGATTTTCCGTTGTCTCTTTGTAGTCTCTCCTTACGTACCCAGTGACTGCAGTTCGGATGAAATGAAGCACGAGTTCTACCGAAAACTGTTAAGCCTAGTACTGAAGTTCAAAATTCAGACCTAGTTGTTGTTGCAGGTGATTTCAATGTAAGAGTGAGTAGGCTAAGTCAGACGGACAGAAAGGCACTTAGGCGGCAATTTCGGAATCTCAGTCAATGGAACTGATACCACCGTCCACCTACTACAACTGTGCTCAGATAACCATATATTTTTAGTCAGTACAAAATTCAGAAATGAGAGACATTGCCTGACGTCTAACGACTTCAGTTCAACGGTGGACACGGATAGATTATACTGTTTCAAGTCGTCGCTGGGTAAGGTCGTTGGAAGACTACCACCCCTTCCAGAGTACGTGTTTGCAAAGCGACCATGCGTTGGTTTGCGCACAATTACGTGTGGATTTAAAGTGAAGAAAGAAAATTGCAGCAACAAGACCATTGCGAATACAGATAAACAGTGAGAGCACTAAGGCCGCTTTCAGTAGGAAACTGGACCGACAGTTATTGGAACAGAACACTATCACTCTTCCAAGCTTGGTGCAATTTTCAGTCTGCTGCAAAAACAGCGTTGAAAACCGTAGGCGACTGTCAAACAGTGCTTAAAAGCGATAGGTATCAACACAACAAAACCGGACCTATGTGTTCCAAAGAAATATGTACATCGACTTTGCTTACCTTGGCCCACAACACCGTCGACACATTCTTTATGAACTTTCCTACCACAAATTGCACATGTTAACCTCCTACCCCTTTCTTCTATAATGTCATTACATTGATAAACATAGACTTTCTTATGTTATTGGTCTTATGTCCTTTATTCATACTACTACCATTAGTCATTTTTAACTGTGACGTAACACTTCACATTTGTTATTCTCTATTTCATCATATTATTCATATGATTTTCATCCCACTTAAAGATTATAAGTCATCACACTACATAATTATCATTTGACCATTGGTAAACAAACACACACATTCATGGTCCAATAAACGTATATAAACGAATCATCATCTGTAGATTTCATCTCTTCGTTTAGTAACTGTTGTGTCAGTAGTGGTTTCACTGCACAACTAACACACTTATCAGAGGATTGGTGGATACTGAAGCTCCACCTGGGGGAGTTGAAAAACCCTGATTCCAAATCATCGGTGCCCATGGGCTTCAGGTTCCAGATAGAACGATTGGCGTATGAACTTATTTTGGCCACCGGTAACCATGGAAATGCAGCTCCTGGTATTGCTTCACTGCCTTGTGGATTAGGCTTTAAGTCATAGGGTCGGGAGACGGTCTCCTAAGACAACCACCCACTTCGACCTGGGCTCCCTGGGAGTATCCCAGCCCTCATACAAGAAATCACATACAGCTGGATATACCCACCTACCAGTAAGTGATGCTGTTTCGACTTCTACTTGAACCCAGGATAAGTCGCTTCAAACGCCAGAGCGTTATCCACTAGACCACTGAATCACAGTAACCATTTCTAGTGTGACAGGCATAGTTTTGATGTTATTGGTCGTAATTTCCTGTCGCTGATTGGACCGAACTTATTGGTCTTTATTGGCTTATCGGTTCTTGAGCGGATGCATCTGTTACCTTTAGTTTCAGTGTGGTAGTGATGATGGATAATGGCTAACCACTAACAGCTAACAACCAGGTCCTAACTACTAACAGCTAATGATAACCACGATTCATTATTATTAATGAACTGTACAGGTTTGAAAAGAGATCGAGAAAAGGATATAGTCTACTGAGAAATGCATTTTTTATCGAAATGAATACAGTAGTAATATTGTGAAATGATTACATTTTATGTGAGTGAATTTTCTCAATATTCAACTTTACGGTATTCTAGTCTGAAGCATAACAAATAGGTAAATGTTATTGCTCGGCGCCTAAACTGACAGATACAAACAAAATAAGAAAAGGAATATAAAACTTACCCATTATAGACAAAAGGTAAGATGACAATTTATTTGATATACCATAGACTGATGCAAAGTCGCTCACATATATCAATGGTACATACATACCTTAGTCAATTCCAAAGAATTTCATCAATCAATGATCCACCATTTTGGTAATCATAAAAGCAAAAAAAAGAGAAAAGCAATAATGTAAGTGTCAGTACGAAGAATAAAGATAATTAAGTCAAAATAAAATACAATTTATCAAGACGTACATCGAGAAAGGATACTTTAAACTTGTGATGAAAATAACAGTTAGTCAAAAGGGTGTAGTAGTTGAGTGTGTTGACCACTTTACCTACCTGAGAAGCAGAATCAGCACTACCCTGGTGGCTCAGTGGCCGATGAAAACTCTGCACGGATACAAAAGGTTCGGTTGGCTTTTGCCAACTTAAAACATTTTTGGCACCCCCGCGATATCCGACCGCCTATTAAAGGTTGAATGCACTGTGCTACAGTCCACTCTGTTCTACTGTATGGCTGTGAAACATGGCCATCAAAAGTGGAAGACATGAGAAGGCTTCAGGTATTTGACCACCACTGCCTTCGTAATACAGGCCGTATTCCGTGGTGTCACCACGTGAGTAATGCAGAAGTCAGGAGTAGATTTTCAGGGAGGAGAGGGAAGTCACTTGAGGCAGTTGTGAGCCTTCATCAACTGAGATGGTTGGAATATGTGTTTCGTATGCCTAACAACTGTATGCTTTGCTACACAATGTTGGGCGAAGTAGGTTCAGGCTGGAAAAAGGCTCGGGATGGCCACACCAAAACATGGCACCAATGTATGAAGTCTCTGGCTGTTGGTTTGAGCTATATGAGGCGATACAGACTACCCGGTTGAGGTCCGCGGGACGCCAGAAACCAGCGGTTGAAGACTGTAAGAGATGTGGCTCAGAACCGATGTCAGTGGCGCAGACAGATGTATACACACATTATTCTCATCTTAACACTACACCGAGTCCCATGAGTTTCTCATTCTTCCTTTCTCTCTTTCAGTACTTTATATTTCTTTTGATTGAATTTTCTTTTCTTCATCTTCCACTTCACTCCCTTTTTACTTGATGCACTGATATGAATTGTGGCAAGTTGGACCATTACGCAGTAATGCCTAGCCCTATGTTGATTTGGATTGGAGACAAAGGATTCTACATGTGACATAGATATGTAGATAACATTCAAGATCACCTAAAAATTTATATAGTGCTTAAACATATGTCTCACTCTCTTATGAAGTCAACGTTGGTGATGTCACCAAGCCTGATGACGAGACATCCCTTTTTGAGAAACATCAAAGCTCAAAGGATTTTATCGCTAGTTTTGAATGAATTCCTGAGTATTTGTTGATTCGTTTTAACAGTAGGCGAAGCGAATGATACCATGAAAACCCCGGAGAGGGGGTAGTAATAAAGTTATTAAAATTCAATTGGTGATGAAAACAAGATCATCCCCAGAAAGACATACAGATGAACAGAATAAACTTAAGACCTGGTACACAAATACATCGGTTCATATTGCAACATCTTACAATAGTATACTAACGAACAAGTGGAAGGAACAAGAATGATATCAAAGTTGTGTCAGAAAATAAGCAGCTTGAAGACAAATGTTACTACAAATATTCAGGCTTTAGAGAACGTCGTGGGGTGAATATATTTGCGCCACTGTGATAAATTTTCAGCCGTGTCACCAAGAGTTCCAAACTACAGATTCCTATCGTCTTGAGGACCACAACTGGCACCACAGTTTACATATCCCAACACGGCTCAGACTAACAGTCAGGGAGTTCATGCACTGATGTTAGGTCTACGAGGTCTAGGTAACCGTGACCTCTCTTCAAACCCAATCCAAATTCCTCTAGCATGGCACAGTGAGGTAGGCGATGGATCGACCTGTGGATTATATGTCCAGGCCAACCCAGAGGACAAGGTTCACAACCTCTCTTGCCTGGTATCCTTCGTCTGACCTCAACATTCTTTACATGGTGATTCCACTGAATTCGAGCAATGCCACAATGACACTTATGATCAAAACTCTGTAATGCATTCTTTTGTAGTATCATTACTTCATTCCAATGAAAAATGATATACCTACCTACTTTATTATAATTATACCAACATATATATATTACTGTTACATTCATGAGTAGAATATAAATGATAATCAGAAAAGATAGTAAACATAAAATGAAGAAGATTAACTTACCTAAAACAGCAGTTAGATTAGAAATCCACAATATTAAATATTTCGGTTTGCGTAGAAGTGATAAATCTAACATTGTACTCAATACATCAACGATAGGCTTAATAGAAATGAAATTACACTGTACTCTTCGAGTACATCTTGTATATTTAGGTGATTCCTCATAATCATTTGGGCTTAATTCATCAACAGTATCAAACTTTGAATGATTAAAGTGTTCTTTATTTACAGGTTTATAAATTTGTTTATCATTAGGGAAACAAGTCAAACAGTCATATAATCTTTTTAAACATGAAAATGATGAACATAAACGACCATCTCGAAGACGACGGATACCAGTTAGGCAAATATCACACAAAGATATATCATGAATAACACCGTCATCATCATTGAGATCATCAACTTCATCAGGAGCTAAATTTTGTAATCTACTACCACCATAATCAGAAAGACTTTTATGTGATTTTTCATCTAAATTCTGTTTTGTCAATATACCTCTGTTATCACCATCATTTGGTAAAGGTATACTTGTCAATGAGACAATAAGTGATTCCATCCAATTGGATTGTGATTGATAGAAAGCGGACTCATGTTCACAGTCAGTTAGACCACGACCATCATTGTAACCATTAGTATCATTCAAATGAATTGTTAAATGTGAATTAGAAATATCTCTATCATTCAAATTTTGTTGATTAGCTTTATTTACAATGTTTGTCGATGATAATCCAATATTTGATAAATATTGTTCAGTTGATAGATTTGGAATGGGATTACCACTAAAATAGGGAAGTAAAATATTTCAAATAGGCCACTGATGATGATAATAATATACACGAAGAAAGGAATGCTCTAAGAGAACTATATAATAAACATTTACCCTTAAAATTATTACAAATATTGATACTGGGTGATGATTCAAGGTAAAATGAAAATTTGGAAAACGTCGGGATGCAAACCATTGACTTCTGGGCTACCGATCCAGTACTTTACCCGATAATCTACGATACCCAAATGCTGATCAGATCTGAATTTATCTCCAATCACCAAGAGTTTTCCCCAATTACTATGTGAATTCGTGATGCATTACTATCGCTTGATCGCCTTTACACTGGATGCCCAGCCAGGACTTCTCATCTCAATCCAAATACAATTGAATTAGAGACGGGGAACGGTCTAGATTTTCACTTTATCTTCAATCATCACCCAGTGTCAATACAAGTCTGCTGAACCATAACTATCTTGGTTGTATTGTGTTCTCTGGGCTGGGTTGTTTAATCGTGATGCTTTCATCGTCTTTCTAGATGACATCATCAGGACTAACTTCAGAATGAAGTGAGCTGTCAGTGTCTCTCCGTGAGTGATTTATTAGCTTCCTCTGATTGTTGTGCCATTGACTGTATTTAATCTCATTATTTTCTCATTCTGCCTTCTTCTCTTTTACTACCTTCTACTTCTACTTCCTTCGACGGATATTTCTCTCCTTCTCCATCTTCCATTTCACTACCTTGTTACTTGATGTGCTGAAATTAGGTATGGCAATTTGGATAGTTATGTAGTAATACCTGGTCCTATGGTAATCTTGATGTTGATGCATTATTGTGTAAATTTCTAATATGTCAGACAGACAGACAGACAAGTAAAAACAACGTACAACCTCGCACACAGGTGCATAGGCTCAAATTGCTACACTTCACAGTATTATACAAAGAACAAGTGGATAAAAAATGACTAATATCAAAGTAGACAAAGTTGTATGAAAGGAAAAGCAATTTGAAGATAACGGTTAGTGCAAATTTTCAAGGATTAGGAGACGTCGAAGAGCGAATACATTTGCGACATTGTGACCGATTCCCACTCATGTCACGAAGAGTTCTCAGGCTCTGATTCCGATCATGTGGGGGACCCCAACCAGGCAGGAAGTTTACATCTCACACACTGGTCACATCAATAGTCAGACGTTATGAACTGATGCCAAGTCTTAATCTGGTGACTCCCAACCCTCATCCAACCCAATACCCAGTGGATCGGTTTGCACAATATATGTTTGACTAAGGTTCACAACGTCATCAATCGACTTGCCTGTCTTACCTAGTACCCTTCGCCTGACCTCAACATCGCGGACACGGTGATTTCACTAAACGCAAGCAAAGCTACACTACTGTCTTTGTGATAGCACATCATAGAAAGAAAACAACTCTTTCGGTAAAAATGATATGGAATAATTTGGTATAAACAGCTATTTTTAGGTTACCTGAAAAATATATCACTTCTATAGAGAGGTCGTGAATAGTCTTCAACAGTAATAGATTGATGTGGTAATGCAACTAAAACAGGTTTAGAGTCAATTTTGTAAATTTCCAATTTCTGTGGATACGAAGTTAGTCCACTCATAACAGAACCACGAATAAGACCAGAGCTAATTGGATTTGTATCTGGAGGAATTCCTCGTCTATCTCTGAAAAGATTTGGGACAGTAATTGCAGAAGTGAATTCTCGACGACCTGTAAGTCCAAGTAGTTGATCATGAGCACAAGATTTGGTTAATATTTCATCTTCTTCAATAGTAGGAATATTTGGTGTTAGGTTATGTGACAGATGACGTTGTCTGGAAGTAGTAGGACGTTGAATTCTCTGGTTTGGTAAAAACTGATTTCTTAGAGGCTGTCTAGCTCGTCTATGGTTGACATCTTGCAGGAATTTAGCAGATGCATTACCAGTGTGTTCATCATAACCTGGATTCACACTTAAACAAGGCGTGGAGAAAATATATGATGTTGGGTCTGTTCTACCAGATCTACTATGTGAAAAACTGATCAACTTTGGTGACATTTTTGATAAACTATGTATTACTGATTGATCATCAAGTAAATTACGCTACAAAAGACAAAAATTAAAGAAACATTGAACACTGATTAGCTTTTGTAAAGAAAAATAAATATTTAAGATCCACTATTTTGATGATAATCAACTGAAAGTTTTACTCCAAAAGATAGACAACTCAGCATTAGACTTGATTTTCTAGCTAAATGTCAGAATAGAACATTTTCTGATTATTTTCAAGGAATAACTTTATACAAAAATGTTAGATAAGGTTAGTAGTCAGTAATAAAACCTAATGTCAGATGTTAGACAAGCTTAGGGCGTATGCGTTAGACAAATGGTTACATCAATGATACTAACTTTTCATCAGTTTTATCCCATAGGTGACTTGCTTAAACCTTGGGATAACGAAAATTTTCTGCCTAATATATTACATCAAATTTCTTCTACTCAATTTGTTTGAATTTTTTTAATAAATCTCTTGAACGTGTCATGTACTTGTGTAGACTTTAAAATAGTTTTAAACTACCGTTTTTTTAAGTTAACAATAAAACAAAGAAGAAACGATTCGCTGGTAAGAGATAGGCTTATAAACACATAGAGACACAGTAGTTTATTATTATTCCTTGGATAACTCGTTCGATTAACAACCCCCATAGATATTATAATCGATTTTATATTCATTCAGTAGTCTAAGCCAGACACTAATGTAGTACCAGATGCGTTGTTTCACGTTGAGACTTTTATTACTAACATTATTTATTATTATTATTATTATTATTATTATTATTATTATTATCAGTCCCTTGGGTTCCTAGTGGAACATACAGCTCCAGTAGCACATCTCCAGTGACCTCTGTTCTCTGAGATCTTTTGAACCTCGCTCCACGACAGCCCACAACCTCTCATTTCCTCCTCGCACGACCTCCTCCATGTCACCCTCGGGCGTCTAACTCGTCGCTTCCCATGGGGATTCCACTCAAGGGTGTGGCCTGACACGTGATGTCCTCAGTCGCCCTTCTCAGCGCATGCCCAATCCATCTCCACTTCCTCCTGCATATTTGTTGAGTGATAGGTTCTTGGTTGGTTCGTTGCCAGGCCGAGTGAGTTCCTTGTTGCTTATTCTTATTATTCTGGCAATCCATCTGATCTTCAGTAACGAGCCAGCGTAGGCAGCTGCTGATGAATGTCTGTAGTTTATTGGAAATCCCTTTCGTGACGCGCCAAGTCTCTGAGCCATACAGAAGCACTGACTTGACTGACATTGGTGTTGAGAATCCTGATCTTGTTCTTTATGCTGAGTGCAGAAGATCTCCACACTGGTTTCAGACTATTACTAACATTATTCAAATACAATGATTATTTCTCTTAAAAATATTATACACGGAAGAAATCTGTTGGACTATTACACGCTGACAATTCCATACTGTAGCACAATTCCTGTTTGGAATAAACCTATTATTATTATTATCATTAGTTGTTATCCATAACTTTTACACTTACCATTTCATTAACGTACTATTGAAAGAAGCTTGACATTCACAGTGTCTTATAAACTAAGATTTCCCTTCTATATTCATCTTGGTGGCTAGTAGTGGAATCCAGAAAGCGCATTTCGTCCTATATTTGACTCATCAGCTAGATATACCCACACCCCAGTGAGTGATGTTGTTCCCATTGAAACCGTAGCCCAGTACTCATTGATTCAAACGCCAAAGCATTAACTACTAAGCCACTGCATTACAATAGCCACCTCTTCTTTTTAGTTTCCTGGATAAGACGGCAACTTTGAATTTTTTATCATTCAGAGCTATTTAAAATATATTACTAAGAAAACAGTACTTTTACTTTTTAAAGATTGTTTTAAATGTTGTTAAATTGAAGAGAGTCGTAATGCTTCAACTGTAGGCTTATGAGTTTCCAATATCATAAGGAACCACTTTAGCAACTACTTCCCATAATGCATATTAAAGTTTTCAGGCATAAAAAGACATCAATGACCCCTCTTCTTTGTATAGTAATGAATGCGTTCTAAATAATGTTTACTATATATTTTATTACGATGAAATGGTTTAACTAAAATAACTCCATATTTTACCACTAGGGAATAAAGTGATCTGGATAGCTTTCAAAAGTCATCATAACCATGTACTTAGGTTTGTTCATTTTGTGATGATCAACTGATTGTTTATTGGAGAGCAACCGAATTCCTATTGTCTAATATTCAATGTTGACGAGTGCTAAGAAGCAGGGAATCGATTTTTACAGCATCCCATCGATTGTCTCCAACCAACAAACAAGGTTATCATCTGTAAGTCAGATATCTTGAACTTACCAAACTGTAAAATAAAATAACCACAAAGGTTCATGAGATACACACTGAAGAGTTCTTTTTGGTAAACTGAATATTATAAACCATGACGATAGAAGCACGTAAGGTTCGATCTTCAGAAAATAATAGTTCCTTATTCCTTTATTAATTAAGAACATTTGAAGTTGTAAGTATTACCGGTTAGCCATATGGAATACGAGTCGAAGAGTGAAGTGTCATCTTGATCCATGACATAGTGATATGACACAGACGTGGAAGATTACAAAACAAATAAACAAAAATGCGTAACTGTATAATGCTCACTAGTGACCTGCTCCCAGATGGATGTCACGAAGTTCTAATGAGAAGCCGTGACCTAAGAAGTCAACCAGTCGGAAGTGAAGCGGATGACAACTGAAGATCTTAGGTGATAATCGCCCTATACCGTGAATTGACAGAAGTTGGAAATCATGAAACACTGAAAACCGGCCCGGTGGCTGAATGGTTAACGCATTTGCCATGAGACCTGAAGGTCCTGAGTTCAATCCCTAGCTGAGTTGTAGATGAGTACTGCCGAGGGGTACCGCACTAGATTTTCAATGGTTCCTCAATTGATGTCAGTCCACGATGAATACTATCTCTTAAAACAACTTATATTTGAAGAGTTAATAGTAATGCAGTAATACTAGGAAACTATAAAACGGTTTTCATAGCTCTATCACCCAGCCATCAAGAAGATTAGCGAAAACTAATTGAACAAAGGGGTATTTTTGTCGAGTTTACAAATGATCTACCCAACAGATCATTGAGAACGAAAGCTTCTTCAGATTAGCTTTAAGGTTTTACCCAACGTTTTAAATGTTCCCAAATGCCAACTAAAACTAGTCGAATTTGTAGTGGATTCAGGTGTAAATTTCAAGGAATAATAACATTTCTCAACGCAAAATCTTTGAAATATATCTTCTATTTCAGTTACCGGTAGCAGTGTCTCAGGTAGACAGCTACATGACAGTAATAGGCAGTATTCTAGCACACAATATACAATGAATTCATAAACTTTATTTCATCATAGTTTTAGTGAATAAAACATATTGTGTTACCCGAGTAATTGCTACATCAATAAGCATGCACTAAAACGTTCCTTACAAAAGGATTAGCAAATGCGTATGATAAGATATTACTACCGAGCAATCTGAGTAGTTAGAAACCATTCAGGCTGATCTGTAATATTTCGCCAGCCAGATCAGAGTGACTTAATCACCCATAGGCGTTTCGCTCGTTTGCAGCCGGACTCATCAGTGGTATGAGCGAACAAATTCGGCTCATAGAGCCGAATTAGTTCAAATCACCTCAATCTGGTTAGTTGACTTGCATGGACCAGTATATTTAAAATAAGATGATCAATTTGTCAGTAATTTACAAATTGCACGCTTCACGACGACATTTATCACAGCTGCTCAACTACGGTGTTAACAAGGTTTCCGCTAGAAACCACTAAAGTATCATGCATTAACAAAAGAAACTACTAATGAACGATTTGAGTAGTTGGAAACCACTCAAGCTGATCTGCTTATGATTCCTAACGAATTTGATGATAAAGCAATTCTTTGAAATGAAATCTATTAGTCTATCAAACAAGTGTTGATGTATTTTTTTTCATGAAATTACAACAAATTGATTCCCGTATGATTAAAAATAACCAATAACGGGTACATTTATCAAAGTTTCAGATTACAAAGGGTCTTCATTGATTCGTCTCAATTTTATTTCACCTTGATAAGAATTCAGACATCTAAATTTAATAATCTAGTCAACCAATAGATATTGTATCAGATCACCTGGCAGCATAAGTTAAGTGAAACCATTTGGAAATTGCTAGTTAGTTATTAAAAGTATCACAAACTAGGAAAAATTAAATCATATTTCACTTTAATATACTTTAGGTTTATAGGGGCTTTATTTTTAAGGCTGTATTCATCATGGACTGATATTAGTTGGTGAGTGATTGAAAACGTGGGAGCACTGGATAGTCGTTGCATCCCAGTATGAGATTCTTCCAGCGGTGAACGCCCACGACCCCATTTTTCGAGTGATCCAACTCAGGAGCTAGAGGTCTCACAGGAAGCCCGTTAGCCATTCAGTCAACTGAAGACTTTGGTGGATAGTCACATCACATCGCGAACAGACAGGAGTTGGAAACTAAGTACCGCTCAACTCTAACGTGATCCTATACATTGATTGACCATCGGAGAGCAACCAATCTTATGTTGTCTGGTCCTGAGTGCTGACCGAACTCTGTCGATTATTTTGGAGTGTAGCCTTCAAGCTAGGAGCCTCACCATTATGGTGCACTATGATGGGTGTTAGTTGGTTAGAGGTGATCGGTAGGAGTCCCTGGACGTGAAAACTGAAGGTCGTAAGTTCGACCCCTGGTGGGACGGGGTGGTGGGCATTTGTGCTGCGGAAGACAAAACGGTCATTCAATACTCCGATACTTATGATATTTAACTTCGACAATTTTTAGACTGTAAGTTGGTTGGTGGTAATTGGCTGATTATTAAAAAAAACATAAGATACAACTCACTGTCAACAGGCGTCAGAAGTTGGATACGAGGAAAACACTGCTTATAATGATTCAAAAAAAACTAATCTTAACTGAGAGAAATGAACATTTTCAACGGGTTTTAATTTCTGGATGTTTAAGTATGTCAACTCTTCTTCAAATGGAACAGTTTGGTTAAATAGGTCTTACACTGGCATGATAAAACAGGTTTCGGATTGCAGAATCTATATCATATGCAAATAGTAGTTTGCCTTTATGATGTCTCCTAAGGTGAAAATGCGAGTTTTTGTAATTACATTAATAACCTTATAAATAAGAAAGTTATGAATATTATTTTCAAAAATACGATTTATTTCTAGCATTCAAAGGTATTACCCTCTATAATTAATCGACAAAGGATGGATTTCAATTGATTGGAAACGTACCATCGAAGAAATGTAAGCTAATTTGATGAACTTACATTACGATCAGGTTGGTTGGACTGTTCTTCATTTTGTCTTTCATCGCTTCTAGAGTCTTTCTCAATATCTTCCCGCCTGAACGTTTTATCTTCATGTTCAGATGATTTATCATCTGTTTGTTGATAATTTTCATGAAGAGAATTCTTCAGTTTGTCGTCTTTTACAGAAGTGTATTGATCAATAGATTCGGAAGAGATTTCTGTTGTCTCTTTTGTAACGGGCAAATTTGACAATGTTACTTGAGTAGAATGTGCCAAACTGCCTGAATCAATCAATTTTCTATCGACTTCATTTAGCATCTTCTCCTGATCAGATAATTTAGGCATTTCTTTTAAGTTTTCGAAGTTTTGCATAAAAGTAAAGAATAAATGTTGAAAAGAAGAAAAAGGGAACTCAGACACATCAAAAACAAATTAGCTATTGGTTACACGAAGAGAAAATTGAAAATGAATCTCTCAAGAGTAGGAGAATATCCTAATTGTGACTTTCGAATGTGAAAATATCGAAGTGATGTCTGGTTAACTACACGTTAAACTAGATGACCAAAGTAAATACCGAATATCGAAGTGAGTGAAGGTCAAAAAGTACTGAAATGCTGACCAACTGGTTGTTTGTAAACACCTTCACTAGTCAAATAATGATTTGAAAACATAGTACCAGTTCAATTATCGAAAACAGCCAAGATTTAGTAGACATGTATTGATACTGGGTGATAATTGAAGGTGAAATAAGAATTCAGGCCACGGCAGGATTCGACCTCCAGGTTACCGATCCCGTGCTCTTGAAACTGAACTACTAGACCTGGCTGCTGACCAGGTTTTTATTTCACCTCGATCACTAAGAGCTTCTGTCCAACTTCTATGTGGTAGGGATAGTAATGTGTCACGAATTCGAAGGGCAGTCGGACAAAACCCTTAGTGATCGGAAGGAAAATATGTTATTAGACCGGAAATAGTCAATTAAGGATTACAGGAAGGTAAGTAAATAGCCACCAAGTACCAACCAGTGAATGTAAAGCTACTTTCCTATCTCCACGATCATAAAAAAATAAATACGCGTCGATTATTTAAGGATCATGTGAATAAGACTGCTAAGGACAACATAAAGTTTGGCTTAATACCACATATTAAAGTTTACGTAGCTGAAGTGGTAAAATGAAATTAGCTGGATGACTAAAATAATCACTAATCCATACGAAAGATGAGGGGTAAATCCGTACAGGATTTGCAAATTCAGTAATCACCCATACACCATAACTGATCCTATAGTCAAGGCTATCCAAAATAATCGAATAGTCTTAAGACTTTTTATTCATTGATACTTCAAAGTTCCTCGATCCCACTTGCCTAGAAGATAACGCTTTAGCGTTTGAAACGATCAGCATTGGCTTCGAGTTCCAGTGGGAACAATATCGCTCATTGAAGTGCAGGTACATCTAGCCGACGAGTCCTAAATAAAACAAAACGCATGCCCTGCATTCCACTACTAGCCACCAAGTAGACTACACGATATTGAATTTTTAGTTCTAGCCTTTATGTTGTGGTTGAAAGGGATTTATTTTCATGAGATTATCACATATCTGTCGTCTACTTTTTTCATCGGTTCGATATAGAGTGGAGTAAATCACCTAATTACACAGTAACCGGAATGTATTTCTGCATTAATTTAGCCAGCCTATGACACATTCAAGAATACAACTATGAACTCACCTTGTTCATTTCTAAGTGAAAGTAAAGTGATAGGATAAATTTGTATGCTAAAATACCGATCACTAAACGTCGATGATATGAATTAATTTCTGACGCAATCATTCTATTGTACATGGATAGTATAACGATATGCCAGATACCATCAGCCCATCGACTTCGCCAATACCTCTTGTATTTATTAGCTAGGTTAACGTGATAATAGGTTGACAAGTCAGTTGAAGACACAATGACTATGATTGTAAGAATAGATTTGCATAAATAGCCAATCTTTTTTACTGACCGATATCGTTAGGTTTCCTCAAAATCTAGTCCAAAAAGCCATTTTTAATCCTCATACTACTGATAAGAAGTATTCATTTAATGTATACATCAGGGTGCACGTGTTTGTTATTCCTAACGAGAAACTATGATTACTATTTGCTGATATGTTAGTAGTTCTCCTATATTAGCATATGGATAGAACAATTCGACTCAGTAAAACAACGGAGAACTATAAGCATAATAACAAACAGTAATAACTAATACCCGTTGTACAAGAGGCGGCTATCGTGTCTCAGTGGCCTAGTGGATACCGCTCTGGCGTCTGAAGTCAAGGATAAGAGGTTCAGGACTCAGTGGGAACAAAATCACTCCTCATTGGGGTGCAAGTACATCCAGGTGACAAGTTCCAAATAGGAATAAACGCGAGCCAGTGTCATTTAAAGATAGGATGATGATTTATGATATTTTTCTCAATACATTTTCTTGCTAACAAACTGATAACTATGTATATAGGGCAAATAACAGTTGACCAAGTAGTGCACAATAACTATTTTATTGCATGTTCAGTACTTGCACGGTAGTGCACACGATTAGTCTATCAACCTTTGTAGTAATGCAGAATATCGAAGAATCTTTCATACAGTCAAACGTGCCCATTGATGACAAAAAAAGAGGTGAGGAGATTGCATTTCTACGATCACAAATGCATTCAATACATATCGTCCATGTAAGATAAAAGCCATTACTGCAGAGATGTACAGAGTTTTACAAACTCGAGATAAGCTTAGACAACGTGATAATTCCATATGGAGGTTTAATAATTGATTTTAGGTTGTAATTCATCATGGACTGACATCAGTTGGAGGAACACTGGAAACCTGGGAGCACTGGAGAGACACTTCATCCTAGTACGAGACTCATCAGCAGTGCGCACCCATGACCAGTAGGAAATATGGACCGTTGGATTCCGACCCAGTGACTCGACGGCAACGTGCTGGTCACGGAGCTTGAAGGCCCTGGGTGTGGGCTGCTGAGGAGTCTCATACTAGGACGAAACAGCTGTCCGGTGTTCTTAAGTTCCCAATGTTTCTCCAACTGATGTCAGTCCATGATGAATTCCAACCTAAAAAAGTGATAATTGTTAATAAATATTTCTTCAACTAGATATTCATCACGGGTGGATATCGGTTGGAGAACCATAGAAAAACTGGGAGCTTTGGACAACTGTTTCGTCGTAGCATATGACTCCTCAGTAGTGTACACTCATGTTTCTTCAGCTGATGTCAATCTGTGATGAATACCAACCTGAAATCAATTAATCGCCATAAACCTCCAAAATGAAATATTTCTTCCCTCAACTTACCTCTTTTTGTGAATATCTGGATGGAAATTTCCAAAGAAAAAATTGTACTGACTGAGGTTAATCAGATACTTTTCGCATATGTTTACTGAGTCATCACCTACTTAAAGTACAGACTTCTCAATGCTGCTTATTGGTTCTAAGCGTCTCCCACCATATTACTCCCTTTATTTCTTAAATATATTTCCATTCCTGTTATTTTCCCTATTGGTAGTGTGGACTGTTGTAACTTGAATAGCAGCAATTTTTTGGCACATTTCTGCTTTCGTCTACACATGATGATAACTAAACATTATTTTATATGAATGATGAACATTTGCTAAACACGGAGAAATGTATATTTAAGAAGAGATTTTTTGAGGCTTTGGAAGATCCGAGCTGTGGAGAATACTGTTAAGAAATCGAATAACATGAATGTGATCTTTGGGGAGTTTTTGGCTTAACTCAGATTTTACTTTATGCATATTTATTGAGTATTACTAGACAGTAGAAATATTTGCGTTAAATTACTCACTATCAGAGATATAATCAAATTCAGTGTACGAACAGAAACTCAAGTCGACTTGATTAGGAGAAAACCATTTATCTGAAATCTGTGAATAAACAGAGGTCTTTTCCAGAAGGTTTTTTCAGAAGTAGAAATAAAGCTTAAACACACAAAAAACAACTATTATTAAGTCTGTATGAATTGTTGAATACCCTTCAACGCTAATCACTTCATTTTATCAGTAAAACAGTAGTTATTACAGAAATATTCTGGAAATAGAACCGTTATGTTTGTGTACGATGAACAGTAATGAGCACAATGTACATAAATATTATTATTAGTCCCTTGGGTTCCTAATGGAAAATAGGTCTTCAGTAGCACGTCTCCATTCCACTCTCTTCTCTGAAATCTTTTCAACCTGGCTCCACGACAGCCCACAACCTCTCATTTCCTCCTCACACGATCTCCTCCATGTCACCATCGACTCAGACGCCCAACTCGTCACTTCCCATCGAGGTTCCACTCGAGGGTGTAGCCTGACGCGTGATGTCCCAATCGATCCTCTCAGTGTATGCCCAATCCAATCTATCTCCACTTCCTTCCACTGTATATTTGTTGGGTGATAGGTTCTTGGTTGGTTCGTTCCCAGAACTCCTTGTTGCTTATTCTTATTATTCTGGCAATCCATCTGATCTTCAGTATCGAGCGTAAGCGGCAGTTGTTAATGAATGTCTGTAGTTTATTGGAAATCCCTTTCGTAACGCGCCAAGTCTCTGAACCATCACACAGAAGCACTGACTTGACTGACATTGGTGTTGAAAATCGGGATATTTTTCACACTTTATGCTGAGTGCAGAAGATCTCAACACTGGTTTCAGGCTAATGAACGCCTGTCTTGCTGTCTTTCCGTTCCTGGCTGGATTTGACATCCCAGTCTGTGCCACCGCCTGTAGTTGAAAGAGTGCTGCCTACATAGATAAAGGAGGCTACTTCCTTTAAGTTTCTCCCGTTCATGGTGAATGCAGTTTGTTGTTGTTGGTGGTGGCATTGGTCGGGTATCCTCATCACCTCTGTCTTCTCTATATTCACTTGAAGTCCCGTCTTCCTTCGCTGCCCTGCCCTGCCCTACCTCTTCTGTCAACTTGTTAGTTTTCGCCTGTAGATCTTCAAGTTTGTGTGACAATACATCAGACACAAGTCATCACTGGCGAAATCCAGATCTTCTAGGTTCTTTCCCGCAGTCCAGCCAGCGTATCCCCCTCTTCTCACAGCTACCCACTGTTGTCTGTTGCATGATCCAGTCAGTCGACCACAATCAGGAATATCATGGGTGATAGTAGACAGCAACCTTGTTTCACTCCTGTCTTCACTTCACTTCACTCCAAAGGTATCACTGAGCTGAGCTTCCCATTGTGAATTACTTGGCTGGCATGTGGCGTCTTCATATAGTTGTTGAATGAGGCGGATAAAGGTTTGCGGTACTCCGTAGTAATGAAGCAGTTTCCAGATTACCTCTCGGTCGACGCTGTCAAAGGCCTTCTCAAAGTCGATGAAGTTGAGGTAGAGAGCTGATTGCCATTCTATGCTCTGTTCTATGATGATGCGAAGCGTTGCGTACATAAATATAGTCGACTTAAATGTCGAACCAGAGCTTTTGGTCATACCGGACTGTGCCAATACCCACTGAATAGTTTTTTTTCAACTATTCTCACTAGTCTAAATTCATTACATTTATTAAAAACAGCTAGGTGCCATAGCTTGATCAATGAATTGGCGGACAGGCTACATGAAGGTCTGTAGTTCGCGTCCTGCCACCACCGAGGTTTTTGTCTCATTTCCAGTCTATCATACGGAGGTTGGCTTGTGCAATCTTATTAACTTCTTATTATGAATGGAATAACTAGTGCAATACCTTTCTTTTCAATTCCATATTCACTTTCTTTCTTGTCAAACTGCTTTCTGAAACAAGGAAAAAACCAAATCGAAAATTTAGTGAAAAACATGGTATAATAGAAGGAGGATTGTAAAAGAGAATTTTAAATTCACTAGGTAGTAGAAACAGTTGATCAACATTCCTCCTGTATTCGATGATGAAAGTACCAGTTCCTTCATGATCGTACATACGTTTACCTGATAAGTACCAACAAACATGAAACAAAAGTCAATGGTTTCCTGCCAGTCGACTTATAGGCTTTAACACCTAGAACTAATCCGCTATGAAGTTCATCTATGAAGTAAAATACAATCTCAGACTTCAGGTAATTAATGTCTAAATGAAAACACGTTCTTTATGGGTCATGTCTGATTATGCAATATATTCTGTTAAATTTAACTTTCCGCATTTTGATTATCATCTTCATGTATAATTCCCCATAGCTTGCACGAGAAGACCTCTGACTTCTAAAAGACTGGGATGACTAGTCTAGTACACCTCTGACTCCTATACACTACTGTCACTCTAATCAACAACCTAAATACCTCCATCTCTGAAGACGTCGGGTGGTAAACTGTCATCGTTTCAGGTTCAAACAGCTTTATCAACTCCAACGAGCGTTGAAGAACTAACATCTACCTCCCAGTCAGGTTCATGCTGGACGTTAGATGACTGGAGCGTTGCTGGGAGCCAGCTGAACCGTCCTTCAAAGTGTTATGCCCGACGTTCTAGCCACATGTCCTACGAGGTTATGTGCATTCCATCCTCTTCAGTGATGGCTTCACTCACCATTGTCTTGTTCTGGCCGGTATCTTTAGGAAGCCTAAATAGTTGCCAAGTGCTACCCAACTCTGATGCCTTCTCCATCTCCTGCTATTATCACCCAACACTGGTCGTGATCGTTACGGAGACTATTAGTAAACTTACGTCTAAGTTGCTTTTACCTTTTGCCGTTATCTGTTCAGGCTGGGATCAGTTTTCTCACATCAATCCGTTCAGATTACGTCACAGAAATCCAATGATATTTGCTAACCTTCGGGTTTAGGTTACTAATTGTCTTTACCACTGTTTCTATAGCAGACTTAATATCACGTCAGATTTCCTCAAGATGAGCATTGCTGTCATGTTCCGATGAATGTCTAGCTATATTTTACCGAAACGTGTAACATGACGTTCTCGTCTTCCAACTATAACCTATGACAACAAGAAAGTCGAAAATAAGGATAGATTCTTGCTAGAAGCTTTACGAAATAATCGGACCAAGTTTCAAACTAACCAAAATCGGAAAGCAATAGACATTGAGAAAGCAACAAATCACTGAGGATCAAAAAATCTGTTTACTTGTGGACGTAGTAGCTTATAAAGAGCAGAGAGTAACTAGCAAGTGACCTTCGGGAAAAAGTGATTGAATCATGAGACTTTTTATTAAAAAGCGAACATATGTCCACCATTACGATAGACAGTAAATATTTTCGTCTTGGATACAAAACCACCGATTTATCACATGGTATACGTGGAGCTATCGCTTATCGGTTTATGCAGTTGACTTTTAACCAGTTTGTCACCAGTTTGAACACCCCTCTATCTACTGAGATTTGAGTAGCAAGGTAGCCTCCATACAACAGATGGGGTTCACTTCAAAAATGTAAACATGCTTGCTGAAAGCATTTTATTCATTCTCAGCATGAGATAAGCCTCATCCCTGTATTCTTATACATAAAATATACCATAAACGAGCTTCGTCAAAATTAATAGATTTCGAAAAGTAAAAGGGATAGTGAAATGAAAAAAATTAGGCACAAAAAACTCATGAAAATTTGTTTGGTTGTGGTTAGCAGAAGAATCCAAAATGCGCGTCCCGTCTTATTTGGGACTCGTCGGCTGGATGTGCCTGCACTTCAGTGCGGAGCACTGTTCCCCACTGAAACTCGAACCTCTTACCCTTGACTTCAAACGGCAAAGCGTTATCCACTATGCCACGGAGGCACGACAGCCGCTTTTTGTCCAACGGCTAATATCGAGGCATACGCATAGGAGTTCATATGCTAAAAGATGTCGAACAATGCGACCGAATAAAACAAAGGAGAATCATAAGTATATCAATAAATAGTAGTAAAAAAAAACTCACTTTTCAGCTTTTTCATTTTCGAACTGTTTACTTGTACTTTTAGTAGATTCTTTATTGAAACTTTTTTGTTCATCTTCATTTACTTCATCCACTTCATAAAGAGTTTGACCCATTCGACCAGTAGAATTGAAAAATTGATTTGATCGAATAAATGCATTTGATAAAAATAGATTACTTTGAATTTCTTCAACTAATCCAATAGCAGTTTCATCGGTTTCTTTTAATAAATCTAACGCTTCTAATTTACTTTTTGGTTTCAATGGACGATACAGACATGACAGACAAACACCATGGAGCATAAATGCAGAGAATAGTATCAATGTATTCGACCAACCATAACGCTGTTTAAAAAAATATAGCGAAAAAGTAACCGATTTACTCATTAGTATTTATTTGAAAAAAAAAATCGGTTTCTGAGACCCTAATATACTTTATTGTACTTCATTTCATACTAATCATCTATATATGAAATACTATGCCTATTCCATTATTATCAAAAGTGTAGTTTTAATCATCGGGTAATACGCCTGCATATGCTCCAATATACATAAGGAAATATTGGGCATTTTCTGAATGTATTCGATAAAAATCGACCGTTTCACCTATCAAATACTTCACTTGGGAAATAAGTCAGTATCAGTAAAAAAAAACATGACATTATTGCTTAACAGTTCAAGTTTTCATTTCGTATTTCAGCAAATCAAGGTAAACGGGACCAAAATAAACGAAAGCGCAAGGTTTCTCCTTGATATCGACTAACTGACTGACTTTGTCTCCTCTAACTGTTCTAAATAAATGTACTGCACAGCAGTCCAGTCTGTTCTCCTGTATGGCTGTGAAACATGGCCATCGAAAGTGGAAGATATGAGAAGGCTTCAAGTGTTTGACCACCGTTACCTTCGTAGTATAGGCCGTATTCCGTGGTATCACCACGTGAGTAATGCAGAAGTCAGGAGTAGAGTTTTAGGCAGTAGGGGTAAATCAGTTGTGACGAGGTCATGAACCTTCATCGGTTGAGATGGTTGGGACACGTACTACGTATGCCTAGTCACCGATTGCCTCGTCACACAATGTTGGCCGAAGTAGGCCCAGGCTAGAAAAAGGTCCGAGGTGGCCACACCAAAACATGGCACCAATGTATGAAGTCTTTGACTGTTGGTTTGAGCCATGTGGCACGATGCAGACTAAGTGGTTGGGGTCCGCGGGACAAGAGGAACCAGTGGCTGGAGACTCTAGGTGATCACATGGCTGAGAGCCGATGTCAGTGGCCCAGATGTATACACATATTATCCTCATCTTAAAACTATATCGATTCTCATCATTTCGTCATTCATTCTTTCTTTCTTCTCTTACTTTATATTTCTTTTGACTGAATCTTCTTATCTCCATCTTTCACCTCATTACCTTTCTACATGATGTACTGATATGAGCTGTGGCAACTCGGACCGTTACGCCGTAATGTCTGATCCTATGTTGGTATTGATGATGATGATGATGATGATGATGATGATGATGATGATGATGATGATGATGATGATGATGATGATGATGATGATGATGATGATGATGATGATGATGATGATGATGATGATGATGAAATAAATGTCAGTTACTACTCATTGCCACCATCTTTTACATTTCTTTCACTCTTGCTGACCACAACTGTTGAGATCATGCGCAGACTTTTATCAACCTATGTACAAGCTTCTTCAGCTGCTCATTTTGCTAAGAGCCTTCCGGGTATATGTTTGTAATAGAGAACGAGCAGATCAACTTACAACCTGGCATAGAAGTGCGAGTTAAAATTGACAGGAAAAAGAATGAATACGTGAGGGCTAACGAAAATACTCAAAAGTTAATTCAGCAGTAACCCATTTTGCAAGGTCAAGTTTCACTGATCCTTCCTCACTTCACCTCACGCTCTTCCCCACTGTTTTTACAGCAGACTGTAGCACTAGGATGATTGAAGATGACTAATGTTTTCCTGTTCTGCTACTTATTTAACCAGTGCCTCTATCATAGCAATCCTAGTATCCTGGCAATCAGACTGAGCTCTTAACATCCAGTTAATTTCGAACAGGCGAGTAGTTTAGTCATACAGAATGTCAGTTACATAGTTATCACTTGAAATATTCTGTATGAGAAATTGAAGGTAATTTTAGTTAACCGAATTCAGTTAGAACCGTTAAGTTTAATCGAATGTAAACTATCATAAAGCCTAAGGCTAGTTCATTTGTGAAATTATACTATCTAATAGTGAACTAGATACAATAAAATATACTGATATTTTGCATGATGAACTTCTCTTATGACAAACTATGTCATTTTAGAAATACAATTGCCGAAAACTATACTGAATTTGATCACATTCTGAAAATTTAATATTTTTACACCTACCAGAACATCTGATTGATTTACTTAATAAATCGATATGAAGTATCTTCAGCATGGAATGCAGGATAATTAAGATAGTCTATTACTCAAATATGTATTTCTGTGACCTTTGACCATTCAGAGACACCAAGTGTATAGTTGGATTATTTCAGCCACAAAAAAAAATACTATGAAGCACCTTTTTTATACCTATTGTGCTTCAGAATAAGAAATGGTTGTAATTAATCCACCTCTAATGTTTAGTAAAATTATGAATAATGAGAACTTTAATCATTTATGCAGTTCATTAAGGTCCTGTGATGTTACCAACAGACTGGCTGAATTTACCCTTGTTATTACCGGGTCGAACTGATCCACCTCTGTTCGCTCGTATGCAGATGCCTCGATACTACCGGATATTCATAATGTATTCATATTGGTGACAAGTAGTGGAATCCAGAACGCGTGTTTCGTCCTATTTGAGACTCATTAGTCGGATGTATTAGTGGCCTAGCGGATAACGTTTTGGCGTTTGAAGTCATGGAAAGTGGGTTCGAGTCTCTGTGGGAACATCACTCACTAACGTGAGGATACACCCAGCTGACAAGTTCCAAATAGGATGAAACACACATCCTAGATTCCACTGGTAGCCATTAAGTAGAGCGCAAGGTCAACTGAATGTTAGAAATGAAAAAAGTTAAATTATGCAGGAATATTTCATTATTTGTTAGTTCAGTGAGATTTGTAGGCATTTTAAGTATCAGCCGTTGTTTGACTGGTAGCGATCAAGGCAAATTTTATGATCCACTTTCATTTTTCTCAGTAGTTATTTACAAATCTTACCAACAAACGACTCAAACACTCCAGACTTCAAATAATTCTAGATCTAAATAAAAGAAGTTGTAGGAATATTTTACTGAGCGGCAAGATTCAATCATAATGATAGATCACAGCCGCTATGTCCTAAACGTATATAAAAACCAAAAAACGGTAGTATTCTCAATGATAGAAAAAGGTGTAACATGTAAATATAAAAGTAAAATGTGTGCACTGTGGTAGAATGCAATTCCATCTTTATTGATCTATTGGTTTTATTACACAGTGTGACAGTATTGTTTACTGGATTACATTTAGGACATAATTTATTGTCGAGTCATATCAAGATATAGTTTGTCCTAATTTCTTCGTCTCTTTACGAGTAATAAGAGTAATGAGAGTAATAAGATTTTCCATATATCCGGAACAGGTGTTGATTCATTCCTGCTGCATGTGTTAGGTGTTGACTCGATAATCAAAGATTCACTTACCAATCTCTCTCCCCATCCTGTTATGTTAGTTTAAAGAGTGTTCACCCTGTCCCATCCATCCTATTGTGTGGTTTTTGTGTTCACTCTATTCCACTACTTTGACCTATATATTTGACCTGGACAAGACGTCAGTTGGCGATATCAAAATCCATTCTAATGGGCGACATGAATGCCAAACTGGGAGGGGACAACACGGGAAGAGAACTAACCATGGGTCGAGAGGCGCTAGGTGAAATGAATGAGAATGGAGAATTGTTTGCAGAATTCTGTGCATTCAACGATTTGGTGATTGGAGGCAGTGTGTTCAGGCACAAGGATATCCACAAAGCGACATGGACTTCACCAGATGGACACACTAAAAATCAAATCGACTTTATCTCAATCTCAAGAAAATGGAGACGCAGTCTACTTAACACAAGGTCAAGAAGAGGAGCAGATGTAGGTTCAGACCACTCACTGTCTAATGGAAGGAACCTTCCAAATCAAGTTAAAAGCCTTCAAGGAAGCTGGTGATAGACCTCAATTCAAGTACAACACTCGGAAACTGAAGGATGAAACTACAAAGGAGATCTTCAAAGCAGCCATCAAGACAAAATGGGAGACATTGAGCAACATCCCTGAAGAAACCTGTGTGGAAGAGCACTGGAAGTCTTTGAAAGCTATGTGGAAAGAAACCTGCACAACAGTATTAGGAAGGAAGAAGAAAGAAGACAAGGAATGGATCTCGACGGATACCTGAAAGCTGATAGAGGAGAGGAGGATGGTGAAGCAGAAGATAAACCAGTGCAAGGATGCTCAACGACAAGAGGAACTGAGCACAATGTATAAAACACTGGATAAAGAAGTGAAGAAGAGTGCACGCAAAGACAAACGACACTTCTACGACACACTGGCAAGTGAAGCAGAACAGGCTGCAGGTAAGAGAGACTTGACGACATTGTATCAAATAACCAGGTTGCTATCAGGGGCGAGACCAACACAGATGAAACCAATAAAAGATGAAGAAGGAAATTTAATTACAAAAGAAGAGAAACAGAGGAAACGATGGGCCGACCACTTCAAGAAGCTCTTGAATCGACCATCACCACCACCTGCACTTCGTCCAGAAATACCACCTGCAGCCGCTGAATTACAAGTGAACATTAATCCCCCAACGAAAATGGAAGTCCTGAACGCCATAAAGCTACTGAAATGCGGGAAAGCAGCAGGACCAGATGGAATACCGCCAGAAGCACTGAGAACAGATGCAGAGACAACAGCGGACATGCTCACACCACTATTGCAGAAGGTGTGGAAGGAAGAGAAGGTACCTGACGATTGGAAGAAGGGTTACCTTGTCAAACTGCCGAAGAAGGGAGACCTCAGTGCTTGCAAGAACTGGCGCGGAATCACTCTCCTGTCCACCCCAAGTAAAATATTAAGCCGCATCATCCTGGAGAGGCTTAAAGATGCACTGGATTCAAAACTGCGACCGGAACAGGCAGGCTTCAGGAAGTACAAAGCATGTGCAGACCAAATTGCAACGCTTCGTATCATCATAGAACAGAGCGTAGAATGGCAATCAGCTCTATACCTCAACTTCATCGACTTTGAGAAGGCCTTTGACAGCGTCGACCGAGAAGTAATTTGGAAACTGCTTCAATACTACGGAGTACCGCAAA